ACTACATCAATGCAGTTTATAAGAAATGAACATTTCATGCAACAACCTATTCCACTGACCCCTTATCATAATATCAGGAACTGACCAACTCATCCATGGTATGATACAACTTAATGGAAGAAATATTTACAATGCATTAGTCTGAGTAAGCCGTCCCTAAAACAGTAGTATAAATATTCTATAGGCAAAACAGAACTTTACCTTCTTGCCTTCTTTGTATTCCTTAGCAGCTTAATATTCATCAAAGAAAATCTACATTCATTTGTACACTCCCATTTACAGTTAAAAAAAAACAAAAACAATAATGATGTCATCTCCACACAGATCCTGCCTCAAAAAAGGACGGTAGGTGACATAGTAATAACCAGCTGGTCACATTGCTGTGTCCACTCTTTCGTTTTCATTCAATCTGAAAAAAAGGGGAAATGTGGCAGTTATTTAAAAGATGAAAAGTCACACAAAAAGTTGCTTGCTGAGCGGCAGGACATTTTGACAGGCAACCCTGAATCTTCTGTGTTTTTTCCAAGTAGCTCAATGGCCCAGAATTGACGGTGCAGCATTCCACTGTGTCCTATGAGGACTTCTTACTATTTCAGATTCACATTTGCTCTGATGCAAGAACTGTTTCAGTTAAAGACCTTATTGGATAGTTCCCTCCTAAAACAATCCACAACAAGGCACTTGGGTCCCTCAATGTTCCAGCTTTGTGTATTTTGTACATTCATCAGCCAGTGTTGGAAGTGAAAAAAAAAAAAAAAAAAACCTGTTACACTTTAATCAGTCCATCACCGGCGGTAAACATCAACCATGTCTCCATCCCCCAAGTCCATCTGCATGACGTGAGGGCGGTCATACGGCGACACAGACTGGTTGTCCTCCTCTTCGCATGCAGCGTTCACCGATTCATTTGAAGACTCAATGCCTGATCTGTATCCACCATCGGGACACAAATTACCCCTTTCAGCGTACAACAAACTGGCACGGGAATCGGTTACAGAGCTGGCACTGTCGTCCTCAAAAGTCTGCTGGCAATTCTTGTGTACTTGGAGCGAAGAAATCTGACCGTTCTGGGCTTCGGGATAGAGGATACGCTTTTCAGGGTCCTGGCATTTATCATCAATATCCTGAAAGAAATGCACAAAAAAGAGAAAGTTAATTAAATACTTCTTTTTTTCTCTTTTTTTTTTTTTTAAAGATAATTTAGTCACTTTACCAAAAATTTAGGATTGGGTATATCCATAGTCCAGGCTTTAACCAGACAGATGAGAATCACTATTCCGATGATTGCAAGGCCGAGGACAAACAGCGGTACAACAGTAAGAACAACCAAATTGTTCTCTGCAAATGATAAAACAAACATGAGATTAAGGCAAAAAAAGATTTGGACACCAAGATCATTTTGGATGCATAACATCGCACAAACTTGACGCGACCAACTGGAACAATACTGAATCAAAAATCTGTTACCGGCTTGTAAATTAGGCCTTAGCCATGATGTGTCCATCTGGAACACGACAAAGTTATCCCTCCACGTGAATAATGCATTAGTTCCCCAATTAATTGAAGACTCCCAGAAATTATCAGAAAGATAACTTTCTGTCACTTTTCACCTGTCTTTGGAACTATTCATTTGCATTAACCACTGGACTCTTTGATACTTTAAGGCAATACCGAATATTCCCCGGGACAATAAAGCTACTTCAACAAGGTTTCAAGGGAAGAGACGATCTGGTTTGCAAATCATTTGAGGAGCTTTCCATTTTGTGTTTGGGGGTTGATTGGTGATGACAAAAAAATTCTAAGCAAGTCAAATATGAAAAGTCCATATATCTAAATAGATTAATCCTCCTAATGCTATATTTCTCCCCTCATAAAGCTGCATTAATACTCATGTAAAAATGACTTACCAGGGGTACAGTTTTTAGGAGTCTCTTGAAACATTACTTGAGGTACACCATTTGTGGTAAAATGTCCTTTAAGCCTGACGCACTTCTTCACCCCCTCAGGAAATTTTACGTCGCCTTTACAGGTAATTTGACTCCTTGTGCATGACACATTCTGTTGCATCTGAAAAAAAAAAAATCAAACTGATTTTCAGGAGAGCGAGCAGAGTATTGAACATGGTTGTATTGTCGTATTGCAAAAAATGGGATTAAATTAACTGTGCTGATGCAGCACTTTTGTAGTCTAGTTGATTCCTGAAAGCGTGTTTACAACATGAATACAAAGCAACTAAAACTCCGTTTGTAATAACTGATCTAATTCAAATCTAAAAGGGTTCCCATTTCAACTTCATCCCAGTTTTCTGACAGCTTTGCATGAGTTTGTCATTTGCCCTTCTTTGACAATGCATTTTAAATGCAGGACATATGCTGCATCATCTTGACCACAATCCACTCGTTGGGCCGTGTGGGGTTCTGCGTACTGCCTTGATTTTCTCGTAAAAGAGGTGTTAAGTGTTTTCTTCTCAAATAACTTGCATGGTCCAGGTAGTTCTGAGCCTTTTGATTTTGTGATAAAAATCAAAACACAAAATGATAAAACTTTCATTCGGTGGATGGCAGCTAAATCTTTCTTACCTGATTTGTAATTATGCTGAAATGGAATTCAAGGTCTTCAGCGTCCTTCTTCAGTTCCTTATAGAAGTGGATGGGATTCTCGAAACTCACTGTAACCCCTTTCCTCTTCTTATCCTCGTCGACATCCCATGGAGGAAACTGTAAAACACCTGAAAGGAGATTTTCAGCTTTAATCGGGCGCCAGTCCTCAGCTTGAAGACTTCATGACTTGTCACACTCTGCATTCGAGAGTTTACTTACATTTTTTATCGACCGTCTTCAAGTCGTTGAAGGAGAAGGACTCCGATGACACCGCTTCAGACTCGTTGCCTCCTTGTACAGCCGTTACTGTGACGACCAGGTAGTTCAAGTAGTGTTGCCCAGATTGCCATACAGAATGAGTGAGATCATAAAGCTGATCGGCCGTATTAACCACTTCATCCCTGTAGTAAAAATAAGCACGTGTGTAAGTCAACAACAAACTAAAGGATGAGCTGGACTGCAGACGAAGAAGAAGAAAGGGAAATGAAGGGTGAGCCTACATTGATAACCAGGGTCCTTGCCTGGCTGTGATTTAACTGCAGGGGTCAGGGGTAAAAAGATTGTAGCGATCTAAATCCTCCCAAAAAGCACAATTTCTTTAAGCCTACCAATAACCTGGGGACAGCAGAACTGTTGTTTCTTGTTCAAATCTTCCACCAAATCATTTAAATGAAAATATTACACATTTGATCTTTTACTCCACTTATTTTTTACCTGTTAAAATCACCAGAACTTTTGCTGCAGAAAGGAGGACCCGAGACAAAAGCTGCAGCCTTTGCTAAAAAAGGACCACAAAATGTGGACCATATAGATTTCACATGAATATTAGCTAGACAAATGTCTGCAGCAGCATGGTCATGATAAAAGAGAATGCCAGGATGGAGCAATAAAACTTAAAACACTCTAAAACACTGATTGTTTCAGAGCAGTTAGGCTTTATCACACAGTTAAATACAACCCTGGGTTTTTATTGCTGATAAATGTAGTTAAAGCACATGAAGCAGATCTGCTTATTTGGAGGCTACTCCTATCCTGATGGTGAGAGTGCAGCATTAGAGAAGAAAATGAGATTCGGAACCATTAAATTGGTAGTTGTGTGGTATCAGAACAAGAAATAACTTGCTTTAACCTGCTTTTACTGTCGACTTAGGTTCCCTGTGTTAGTGCCAATATCTTGATATGCCCTGTTAGGATGGAGCAACCCATTTGATCCCACTTAACTGACAGCCCTGAACCCCAGAGCAAAATGGAAATGTACCGTTCTTCCAGAGAAAAAGCAGCAGGCTGTTTAAACTCTGGGTGCATTTGGTTAAAAATGCAACAAGTGATTCAAATCTCTATTGTCTTTCAACATTCAGTCCCAGCTTAACGTCAAACCTCAAGTTCAAATCTGGACTTCACAAATTTCTATTACTCCTATTTTCATGTATCTGGTTCATATAGCTTAAGAAAGCAGAGTAGATGTTGTATCACTCCATCATCAGGATTTTGTTTGATATGGAATATATTTATATCCACTCATCTTTTTTGAAGTCTCAGGTCCTGATTGTAGATTTGGAATTGACCACACCATAAGCAGCTGCACCGTTACAATTTTTTTTTTTTGAATAACACGAACAAGACAAAAAAGGCCTATAGGGACATGTGTTTTTTCCTATTGTATTCTGGAGTAAAGCTTGTCTAAAAACGTTCATTTTAAGCTGTGCACTTTTGAAAAGAATTGGCATAATGCACGTCTTTTGTGGGATGAATGACCGCAGCTGATTCTTACAGTTTAGGTCCTTTGATGTTTACTCTGAAAGTGGTTTGCGGTCGCTCTCTCCTGTAATCCCAGCTGACAGTGGTCTTCCGATTTGCGCAGTTCACCTTCACGTTCGCCGGAGGAGGGACTGCCAATGAGAAGGGGAAGAGAGAACTTGAAATCGGGTTGAAACTCAAAACAAACCTTAGCCAACCAAACTGGTCACAGTGTCATAACAAGCTGTCTAATAAGAAGACTATCAATCACTCAGTTAAGAATGCTCCCTGAATCATACCCCGAATGTTCCCTGTAGGCGTTAACAAAAGAAGGCCTAATATTTTCTAAAGAAAATAGTTGTTTCTCTTTCTTTTTTTTTTTAACTATCCCTTGCGATAAATCAACCTCACCGTCATTTCTTTTTTCCCCTCCCTTTGAACAATCTTTGCAGTTGCTTTTTTTCCCACTGCAAAGATATTCTTTATAAATATTGTAAACATCCCCACAAGAGTGCCCCACTATAACAGATATTCTTTAAACGGATAAAGTAGCTACGGTACATACAAGTTATCTTCTTGTTAATGTCCCTATGCTAAGAGGTAAATGGAAGTGTTAATCCAAATAGTATGAGTAAGATATAATAACTACCATCCATCAAGTCAATCAAACACACCTCATTCTTTTGGACACGTCTAGCAAGTTAACCTTTACACGCATACCATATTTTACAAGAAGACAGTTGATGCACCTAAGGTGTAAGAAAGAATAACAATCCATTACTTCCCTTTTGAAAGTGAGCCCTTTTAATATCCCTTCAGCTAAATGCCAACTGTTAAATGGCCTGCAACTCACCAGTATAGGTAACCACTCAAAAGTTCCCTCACTCTAAAAAGGACATTGCATCAGCTGTGCGCGTCACTACAGGACAGTTTTCTGAGGGCTGAGCTAGTATTTCAAACACAGATTGTGCAGTTTGGAAGGAGGGGTTCTATCTTCTATTCACACTCAAATGTACTGAAAATATGAATATAACTTACCGAGTATAAATATTTGACTATCTTGGATGACATTGATAACTGGTTTGCTGTAAATGTGCCATTTCAAACATGCAATTGCCACCTATATTTCACTGTTAGCTGATTTTTTTTAGAGGTAAATTTCCACAACAAAACCCTTCTTGCTCCGTCACCGTATATATCTCTGTGGACAACATAATCCGTCTCTTACAAACCAGCATTAAAGTTAAAAAACAAGCGTAATAAATTGATTTATAGGACTCTTGTTTTGGGATAGATTCATTGACACATGCAGCTGTATTCTAGTGCAGTGATACTTATTTTATGTGGGTTTTTCCTCCTAATATAAGCTCTGCTTTTTTTTTTTTATGGCCAGCATGGCATGACACTTGTATAAAACAAAACCTGATGTGTTGAAAAGAGAAAAAGTCAAACTTTTAACCCCAATAGGGAGGTAGATTAATACAGATCAGCATTTGTTTTTAGTATGCAAACAATCCACCTTAAAATCTCGGTTTTTAGGCAGGATTTTTAGTGGTTTCCTAATTTCCCGTCCTTCAGATGCCTTTCACTGACAAATGTTTTTTTTATTTTATTCCAGTTTGAGTGTCTTTTCATGTTAACATAAAATTAAAGACCCATATTGATCCTTCAGTACACAACACAATTTACATAACAGTACCTGTGTAAACTTTTTGACGTTATGTAGTATCTGGAGTTTCATTTTGAAAATTGAACACCCAACACTTCGTGATGCTTTTTTTCAAACTTACTCCCCGATTCTGAAGTGATGCCTTTATATAACTAGTGCAACGATAAAATTATTATTTTATTCTTCCACTGTCCACTTTGGCATACTTCAATATATTTCACATACACATTCTTCTTTTTTTAATTAAATGACAGCTATTGTTGGCCCTATTAGGCTAGATATGACAGATTCTTTAAAGGACTCTGAGAACCTCTGAGGATAATAAAACACGTGGAAAACAAAGGATCTTCCACTTGCACTTGTCGTCGATAACGCCAGTGGTTTCAACCTTTGTCTTGTGATGCCGAAACTTTACAGTTACAGGTTAGGCTCGAAAGATAAAAAATAATCAGGGATGGTTTGAGGGTGTTTTGCTCAACATAGCAGAACACAAATACACCCGACAACACCAGTCAGTCCTGTTTCCAAAGCGGGAAAAACAACATTCGACACGGAAATGCAAACTGAGGTATTGCGCAAACTCTGCAAGAGAAACACCGACTGTGACCATGTTAAAGCTTTTAAAAGTCCAGCTGGTGACACAGACACCTGACCTCAGTCTAAAAACGCCTGCGTATCCAGAAGCGCCCACTTGACTTACAAATTCTGACTTTAGCGTCAATGTCATCTTTTCAAAAAGTCCCCCGCTTCAAAAGAATGAGTGGAAAACAAACTCTCCATTCAGGTACAGGGTACAATCTATATAGATGGTTATAACGCCCTAAGACACATTTGCAATAAAATACACACACCCCACTGTTCACATGTGGACCTTGAGCACATCAATAAATACTTCATGAAGAATAAGAGCTGCAGTCAAAGTCTTAACCAGCTTAAACTTAATGTGGCAGCTGGGAAAACAACTTTACCTCAATACTTTAAACTTAGAAGTGTCATTTTAAAAACCCTCTAATAGCACACTCAAAGCCAATAAGACCACAGTGTTAAGGGAAGCTGAGAAGAGCTTTGATTTAATTTGAAAGCTGTGTTTTCTTTGTTTGAGAACAACATGCCTATGTGACATGTTTATTCTTGTGCAAAGACTATCTGAGATTTGATTTGAAATTATCCTAAAAAACACACTTGCACTCTGAAAGTTTCACTTGTTTCTCCAAAACTGTTTCAACCTCAATGTGAGCTCTACATAGAGCCATGGCAGATTTTTTTTTTCTAAATCCTGTTATAAAGTCTGTTTGATGTCATATTCATATGCCCAAAACAAGTTATACAAATACCACACTCCAAGCCTATTTACCAATTGTTTGACCTTTTCTGTCTGTCTGTGTGGCCACTTTCTAACATAAGAAAAAAGAAAAGAAAAATCAAGCTCTTACAGGTATGGAGCACCTCCAAACTGCCATCTGCCAAAAGTTACAAGTTATTAGTAAGGCCTTTGATCTTTTTTTGCCATTACATTTTTTAATTTCCTTGAAGTAAAAAAAAAAAGTTTTTACATGTCGTCAAACGTTTTTTTTAAAAAATGTCCTCACAATAGCGAAGCAGGTTGACACAGCAATTCCAAGAAGGCCGCTGTTTTAGTAAGAATTTTCAGGAACATATCAAGGATAAATTAATCATATCTATTGAGAAATATTGCTGTTTGGCCACAGTTTCCCTCAAGGAAGAGAGCAATTCCCGACTATGCACAAAACAAACTTCCAGAGAAATAACTCATAGGAACAAATGGAGAGTCGTGGCATGCCCCATACCTTCATTCCACTGAATAGCCATTATCTCGCAATCGCAGTGTGAATCGGTGTATATGTAATGTTTTTTTTTTCGTTTTTTTTCTACATGATAGAAAGTGTCAATAGGATGAATTGCCTGATGTCTGGGAGAGTACGGAAATGACTGTAAAGGCCATATCCATTTGTGGTGTTGATAAGTTCAATCTCAACATAGACAACGATTTCAGGTTCAGTTTCTATCTTAATATCATGTGTAAAACAATCATTTTGATTCTGCACATGGTTTTCCTTATTTTTACGGCTTCAATAATAAAACTAGTCTGACACATCCACATTACAACATGAGATTGTTGGTGATCATTATCTCTGTTGTCACTGTCCTATTTTTAAAAGTAACAAAAAAACTAAGGTATACAGGTGTCTATATATTTTTCAGGTAAAGTTTGAATTGTTTTGCTCCTTAAAATAAAATTGTTTCCATTACAGCCCATAATAATGATAATCGATGGGCTGGTTAGTTTAGGATTCCTCCCAAAAAAAGTAAAATAAATCTATATCAAAATTCTACTTACCAACATCTGTGGAAACGGCGTGGATAAGGATCACAACCACCAACCAAAAGCCCAGCAGCATGATTCAGGCTTGTAAAGCTGATCGAAACCTTCCAATTGACCGTCTGCTTCCTCCTGGATCAGCAGCCCAAAACACTGAATCAAATTAATCTACAACTGCCCTCCACCGGACGACGTATTTGATTTAATGTAGTGCGCTATATGTCCGATGTTTCTTCTGAATCCATTTTTTTTTTCGTTTCCCTTAATTTACTAGTATTTTTTATAAGCCATTGACGCCAGTAGGTTCATCGGCTCGTGCGCTGTTGCGACGGGAAGGCAAAGACTCACTAATAGCTTTCACCTGGAAAACACCTTGATGACGCCCGGGTGTACGGAGAGCCAGGAAGGTCAAAACGCGCCATTCATTTAAAACACCGTGATGCTACTAGCAGCAGAGCGGAGTTTGAAAATTGCACTTCCTAATTGCACTATTAACCAGGAAATTTGAACATTTAACTGTTTCCCAACTAAAGAACCAAGAACCCGAGGGTGGTGCTTCCACTGCTGGGTAAAGGGGGGTAAAGTCAGATGTCACTTCAGTCTGACCTCAAACAGCAAAGGTGACCGCTGTCATGATTTCTGAATAAAAGAAAGAAAATTTATTAGAATTGAATAATTTATTAAGCTTCATGACATCATCATCATCATCATCATCATCATCATCAGTTTATGCACTTATACTTCTTTTTACTATCTCCTGACACGTCGGCTTTGTGTTGTTGTCACATGCCATCTATATTTGTCCATGACCGTAAAATGCTTTTCTCTTTTGAATGATTCTAAATGTGCTTGTTAAGAGAAGATGGACTAGTTGAGGCTGATGCCAGACGCATAACATTGTTCTCATCAGCTCTCTTGAGGTAAAAGACTAAATCAGAACAAACAATGAACACCATATGACTGAAAACACAGTATCTTTCTTAAGACAGATTAACAGCCCTTTTCTCTTCTTCATTCACTGAAAATTAATTGTTGCAATACATTATTAATTTAAACACAGTTACAAACTAACTGGAGTGAGACCTTTACTGACTGACCTGCCTCTGCCTTTCAGCCTTGATACAGGTGCCAAGTGGTCTTTGGAACAAGCAGTTTCAAATTGATAGAATTTAGCATACAAATGTTTGTATATGTATATGAAATTTCAGTCCTAGAAACAAAAAGTCTGTTTTCCTAATAGGCTTTATATAATACGTGATTACAAATTCTTCTATCCATTTTAATTCATTACTGGCAACAACAGGTTCTGCTGTTGTCACTATTTGGCATTGTTTTGACAACATCATTTCTGAGGGTATACATAGTGAATATAGACACAATTTCCACTAGAAAATAAGTCTAAAACAAATGACTGTTAACGTGAACGTGGATGCTGATATATCAGTCACTTAACCCAGCTGCTGTTAACTTCCCTAACTCTTTACAACAAACTCACACTGCAGTAATACAAAGAATTCAAACAGAGAGGGTAATAACTCTGTGTCGTTCCCACTATTAACTATTTTCTAATCCGTTGTCGACCATTCATGAAAATTCATTTCATGCACAATCCAATTTAAGAAACTAGTTCCAGAGACAAGTCAGTGAAAAAAACATCATGTTGTCAGCTGGCTACAGACACAAAATAAAGTGAATAAAAACCGGTCGGTTACAGAAGAGTTTCTACCATTTAACACAACACTGTCAGCAGCTGCGGCTTCCTTTGCATTTTTAGTTTTTCTTTTTTGCCTTTTAGTATTAGCATCAACTTAAGCGTAAACAGTCATTCATCCCACACTGTGGCTCAGTCCTGCGTTTTGTTTGCGGCGTCCTTGCGGGTGATTATCTTATACACGCTCTCTCTGAAGCTGCTGTCGGAGGTGAGTCTGCGGGCCGTCGCCCGGAGCTCCTCCATGTTGTCCTCCTCAGTGCTGCCCACAGCAAACGACTTGGAGTGTTTTACTGCAGGGACAAAAGTAAAGGGCCATCACTGAATACCAAAAAAGGTCCTTAGGACTCCTTTAAATCACACATTTTGAGCAAAAGCTGAATATCACACTGGGGAGCAGAAACAACCCAGTTAGACTTAAAGAGACCAAATAGTGATTCTGTGTTTTTAAAACTAATTTTAAAAGAACACCAACAATAAAGCCTTTACCTTTAAAACCTGAATTACTCATCACGTACATTTTTAGGAATCGGGGTTGTATGGTTTTGCCATAAAAGTCCAGAAAAAATATAATCCGAACTATCAGCCTTAAACGTTTTTGGCTCCTTTGACCACATTTTTGTCCACATGTCCAAAACAAATGTCACAATTCGTGTTCAGAAATGGTAAGATAGCTTTTTCTTGTCCCACATACAAGACTGTAAAGCATATCATTTGCAAACCATTGTTGCTGTCTCAATTTATATATAGCCTACTGTATATATTTATATATATATTTGAAAACCATTTATTGCAAAGCATCTAGACCTAATCTTGTATAGTTTTCCCAATTCTAACATGGAACCATGCAATGGAGGGAAGCAGAAAAGTGTCAACAGTTTTGCATGGAGGCCCAGAGACATAAAAATTTAACATTCCATCCTCCTTGTAATGCTTTGTGAACAAAGCATGTAGATTTCAACTCCTTCCTTTCCCTTAACTAACAAATGCTCAATAATATTGTATGACTCCTTGGAACTGAAATTGACATTTCTGAGTGCATTGTGGTCATCAGAGCAGACTTACACCAGTGGCGTTTGGAGGCTCTCCTTTGGATGCGGCAACTCTTGATCCTCCGTGCAGCAGCTTTGTGAAGGTACACCGCGTTTTTCATTATAGCCGGGAGCTTTGCCTCGATCTCTGCTGCACAGATACACTCCTCGAAGAACTCTGGAGAGTCACACACACATACAATCCAGAAAAACATGATACTTATTCTGCTTAAATGGACAAATATTGCTTCCATCTAACAGAAGTTATTCTTATTGCAGATTCAAACTCATAAGTTTTCATGGAAAGTACAAAAAAATGTGAATATTCCCTCCATAATAGCTATTAGTGTTTGCCTGCTCATTTGCAATAAATATGACAGTTGATGGAGAAAAATACTTCTGATCTTAAATTACACTTAATCGAATCAAGCATATCTATGATACCATGTATAGCATCAAAGTTGTGTCCATTACTGGCCAGATTTGTTTAAATGCCTCATGTTTCTATCCTTTGGAAACTCATCATTTACCACTACCCCCACCGAGTTTAAATATGTGACATATTTGTTTCAGTCAGACAGACACAGTAAGCATGCATGTGGTTTTATTTGGCTAATGATTAGATATTTTAAATGAAAATTAGCTCAGTAAATGGATTAAAATGATAATTCATTTTCATTGAGCTTGATCGGTCCGGTCTGATAGGAATTCCTCTCTCCAATGATCCCTGTAGACTGAAAAATGTCGGGTACACATTTTCTGTTTAAGCAACCCCTCCTTAAACAATGTAACAACAATGCCCCCAACCTCAGGTTTTTTTAAACCTACATGGATTTGGAGTACAAAGTGTCAGGCATTTAAAGGCATCCTTAAATAACAAGGAAGGTAAATAATTTAGATTTAATCGTTTAAGTATCAAAAAAGGAGAGAACATTTCCAGACAGATAAAATAAGAATTGCCTGCTATAACATGGATGGAGATCACTTTGAGAACAATGTGAAAGAATATAACTACTATAGGTTGCCATCAGGAGAAATAGGTTTGTTGGTTGCTGTTTAGTTTGAATACTGGCTGGAAAACACTCTGCAATCTTTGTCATTTTCATGCAGGACAAGGCGTCCTTAGACACATTCACATGCTCTTCCTGGCAAGTCGGCACAGGCCTTTAAGATTACGGAATTACACGCCTTTCGTCATCTGACTCACATGGTCATGAGAATGCGTGGGCCCTTCTCAAATGTGGGATTGATGGGGAAGATAATACAAGGTAAGCGAGGGCTGAGTGCTCTCTTACTCTCAACTGCCAACGTCATTGCTGTGCACATCACACGGTTCATCTCAGATTTGAAGACAAGTGTGAGATAAGTAATGCAGCAGGTACAGGAAGACTGGTCCAGTGAAAGCTTAATAGTGTATCAGGTGGTAAAGAGCCAACAGGCACAATGGAATTATGCAAAATTAGACTATTACCAGTAGACAGACAGGTGCTTGTTGAATGCAAACAGTCTAATTTGTTAATTTTGTTAATTTGTTCCTTTTTTTAAATCTAATTAGTGAGAGATTTTCACATTTCCACTCACCTTTTCTTGCTCCCATTGTCTACATGTCTGACTTAAACGCGCGTTTCATTCAATTAAATAGAAAGCAGCGCCCTCACCGGCCATTAAAATTCATTAGTAACTGTGACAAAGATGGGATCCACTCACTCCTCAGCTGTGTCACATCCCCCTTCATCTTCTCATCTCGCTCTTTGGTTCGTTCCAGGGAGTTCAGGCCTTTCTCTAGGTCCTGCAGAGCCTCCTCGGCCTGCTTCAGCCTCTGCTCCAGCTCCATCCGAGACTGGATCTCCACCTGGGACACGGGCGGGGAAAACAAATGTAACTGAATGAACACAAGCCCTAAAATGCTGCTACTTTTCATTTTCAACAGGTCACTCGATTTATATGAATATCTTCATCATTTCTGAGTGCTGCAGGTATATAATTCTTTCATTTTATTGGTTAATTTAGACATACATTTTGCTAATATTTTCCTCCACTGTTATTGACTTTTTTCATGTATATGGCCACATATAGTAATATACTCTCCAGAGAACGCTTTGATGTCGGCTCATAGCATCATATAGTTCTGTGGGCATCAGTAATTGTAGTTATTTGAGTGTTATGTAACTATTTATCAGCTCTGATTGTGTAGAAAAATATAAAGAAGTTGGAACATAATAAATCTTAACATTGATATCCTGACATTTCTTTGGAAAACAATACTATGTATTCAGATGGTATTACTCCTTAAAATAATTTACACGAATAAGAGATTAGTAATGCTTATTTTCTCTTACCTCAGGACAGATGAACTTCTATAGTGACAAAATACACACTGTACATTTTTGTTTTTGTTTCTTTAGTTCTTTGCGTTGTTGTTTTGTTTTGTTTTTCAGCTTGTTAATAAGAAATATATCCACAAAAGAAAAGATCGTGTTTTTTTTTTTTTGCATAATACTGAGGACTCATAGGATCCAGGCCTGGGTCTTATGATTCCATATTCAGTGCGACAATCAGAGTTATTATTCTGGGTGATTCAGGAACCCATTTCTTACAGCTGTTTGCAAAGACATTAATTTCAGCTACATTTACCAAAAAAGCTATATTCTTCATGAACTGGGATGAAAATTTTAGACTTTTGTTATGGTCCAGAGTCCGTCAAGGTCACTGTTAAATCTGTGAGTAATAATTAAACCATTTGCTTACCTAAGTCCAAAGCTAACCCCAAAGAAGGTCAGTAAACTAACCAAAGACTGCCGGCTCATTTAGTTTGACCGGCAGATATATTTTTCCTGAGCCACAGAAAAATAACATTTTGGCATCTGAAAGAATTATCAACAACTAACTTGGACATATCTTGGTAGTACAAAATGCACAGTAAATTCTTCATTAGTCTGAGGACATTTCAGCTCTGGAGCTGATTCGGTGCACGGTTGCAGCAGGCTGGAAGCAGCTGAGTCGTGGTGTGTTACCTTGAGCTCAGCCTCGGTCTGACGTTTGTCCACCGTGAGCTGGGAGAGCGACTGCTGCAGCGTCTGAGCCTGAGTGGAGTAGAATTCTTTCTCCTGCTGCAGGACTTTAGCCCGCTGCTCGTTCTCCAAGAGCCTGAAGAATGAAACACAGACCAGCATAAAAAATAAAGCAAACTCTGTTCTATTGCTATATCTATATAAAAACTTTAAAACTGAGGGTTAAATACGGGCAGTTTGGAGCAGAAGGAGCCATGGATCACAACCAGAACAGCTCACAATCCTGTATTTTTATTTCAGCCTCCATCCTACAATGGATAGCTTCACCAGTGACAGGTAAGGGTGTCAAGATTGGGTATAAAAGGACCACATGAAACTACAAAATCTTCAGAGGTAATGAGTCATGTCAGTTCTGTCTAAAAAATTACTGATTACTGAAAAAGAAAAGAAAAACAGGCAAATTACAAGATTACAGTGTATGATATTAACTGATACTTTGAGTCTGTGGAAATCTGTGCGTTCAAAAACCAGAAACCACAAATCTTTGACTACTAAATTACAATACATATGTACGCATATATATGTATCAAATTTGATAGTTTTATCCGTTCAATAAAAGGTCTCAATATGAAATATTTTTCCGATAAATTCTCCCTAGAACCATTATTCTTTTATGTTGTCATTGTGTTCAGGTGTAAATGTAGTGTAATTCAATAAAATATATAATGACATTCATTCAAATATGTGTCTTTTTAACTGAATTTTCAGCACTATGAGAGGAATAGAAGATGAGCTCATAGATGTAAATCATATAATCTATGTATATCATGTTGATCTAGGTAAATCATAGATACTTGTTTTTCACCCTTAGGAAAGTTTTACCAACTGAAATTTGGTGCTAACTTTCGCATGAGACAGGAAAAAAAGCATATCAACTATTTATGTTGTTTCACAGTGCAAGTGAGGACCAGAGTGATTTTGTGTCTCAAATGAGGACTGATTGTCTGTTTGATGATGTCACGTGTTGTCCATACTGTGCAGCCTTACTGTCCGTCTGAGGACACCAGAGAGGACGTTGGGCGTAAAGGTCCGCCTCATGGAAACACGGTGCTATGGATAACAGCACTCGTAACTGAACATTAGTGCTACCCAGTCAATATCAGCAGCCTGTAATATCCCACTTACTGCACTCCATCAATGAGCCGGTTGTTTTAGGATCAATACACATTTCCACTAGCTGTTACGTCTCCTGCACCATTAGCATGGAAGTTTACCAGACAGCCCATAATCTGATACACCGTGGCAAATACAATCTAACAGACAGTATGATCACATGAGCCTCTGCTGCCTTAGATTCTTCGGTCAGAGTTTGTATAGAAATAAAACCCCGTTGAAATGTAAATAAAAAACTGAAAACTGAATGTTTTACAAATCTCATTCATTCTAAATAAGATTTGTCAAGTTAAAAGTAGAAACTGATTCATCTTTACTCAATGATGGCAAAGTGTGTGTGAAGTGGGGGTGTTTTTTTTTAAACAGCAGGAGGCATCAGCATTCAGCTATGTGGCTGGGTATGAAAAGAGCACCTTTATGAAACCAAGTCTCTCAAAAGCAAAGATGGGAAGGACTTCAAAAGTCTGCCAGAAAAAATAACTCATAAATAACTAATTTTGAGTCAATTCCAAGAATATTGGTCCTCAAAAATACTTTGAATATCCCATCATTTACAGCATAAAATAGAAGAATATGTTTCCGAAGGGCAAAGGAAACAGCCCGATACCAGTACTGGATGGCAGTGATTTCTGAGCTCTGGAGCAGCCCTGCTATAGAATAAAAAGGCATGATTCCGTCATGGAAATCACAGCATGAGCTTAAAAATCACTGCCCCAAAGCACGGTTAACTCTGCAATCCACTATCCACAAAAGCTACGTTATGCAAAGCAGAAGCCCTGCATCAACGAGATCCAGAGGGGCCGTTGCCAAAAGTCACGTAAATGGATTGAAGCAAAGTGGAAAACTGCTTTGTGGTCAGACATAAATATTGGAGATTATTTTTGGGAGATGACTAAAGAGGACGCTGAGCATCCAGCTTGTTATCCGTACGCTGCTCAATATCCTGCATCTCTGATGTTACGTTGGTGCATTAGTGCCTTTGGAACCGACAACCTGCACATCTGGAAAGGCGCCATCAATCCTGAGAGGTTTAGGGGAACAAATCCAGCTGCCTTTGTGCATCACACAACGCAAAATAGGACTTCTGACCAGATAGGATCCCGTATGAGACAAGGATAGGGCAATAATCCTCTAACGAGGCTTAAGAAGCAGGCCTCCTCACATCCCAGATGTTTACCGACTGCTGATAAAAGCAGGAAGGATGCAACACGTTAAAGATCAACCCGTTCCCAACTTTTACAAAGATGTGTCGCTGACCAAGCTAACATTTTTCAACTAATAATATCTGTCTTACTTTTAACACTCTAGACTTTTAATATGGAATCTTTGTTCTGTTCTGACGAAAATAACTTGCAAACTAATTCATTCAGCTTTTTTCACAGTTGCAGCCTCACAGCTTTTCCGAAATGGGGTTATGTTGAATTTAGATTGAGCACACTTATATATTAGTGCCTGGAGCATTTTCCACCTCTTCTTTTGAAAATGATGGACTTTTCACCATATTCACAGACTATCAAAGTCCTAAAAAGATAAATACTCAGAAACTGTGTTAGAAATAATGTTAAAAATGATGTCAGAATGTGATTAAAACAGTCATTTCAATCCGATGTTTACACTGATTGGTCTCTGGGCTCACTCACTTCTCACCCGCCTGCTCCTTCTCCTTAAGTAGGATCCTCATTTGCTCCTCGATGTGTCGCAGGTCCTGCAGGAGGTCCTTGTCCTCACCTTCTCCGCAAGTGGGTTCGGAGCTCTCCCCCTCCGCCCCCTCCACCTCCGCGTCCTCGTGCTCCTTGGCCCCCAGCAGCTCCAGCCTTCGCTGTTTCTCCAGAGAGAGCTCCTTAAGCGACATAAGGCACCCAGGTTACACATGCAAACCTATCCAAACTTTGTATTATTTCCACTGCTTACTCCAAAAGATGTGACAAAAACAAAAAGTTTTTTGACCTCCCTGGAAAAACTCCATCTTTGCAATAGCGCAAAGCGCATTCCAAAAGCACGCTCAAACTCAATCCAATCGTAACAGTGCAAACAAGAATTGTTAAAGTTGATTTTTTTATTGAAAAAATTAACAAAAGGTGAGAGAAAGAAAAAAAAAAAAATCAATGGTGATGATGCAGAAATATCAACCTGTGCCAAGGGGAGAAAACACAGAGTGGCAAGTTTTTCAACTTCCCTCAGTCCCACCAAACCTCTGGGAAGTGTTTTGGTGACGATTGACTCAAAAGTTGAACTTTGACCTGACATAAAAACGGCAATTGTGCAAAGAGAGAATGCACGGCAGGTGCGAACTGAAAGCGCACGCTAAGCGTAAGGCGTGGAAACTGAACCACATAGCGTTTGCAAGCTGGTCATGAAGACACTCCTAGGGTTGATAGGGCTCTGATTGCAACGCGATCATGCCTTTTTCTGACCTCGCAAAGCCCTTTTCAACGTGTTTGTGCAATTAAAGCATTGATCCTGAACAGTTTTCGTCTGCATTGTTCCACTTGTCTCCTGACTGTAAAGGCTTAAAACACGTGACGTGAATGGAGCCCCGGCACAAGCGGCCTCAGGAAGTCGGCGGGTTTGGGACAAACAGGTTGGCCTCACAGGGGTTGATCTTTAAATACCTCTATGGATTTCTGAAGCGTAACCGTTAAGCTGCTCAGCTCTTCTTTTTCGCACTCGACACCTTTCAGGGACTGAGCTGTGCCCTCCAGATCTCTGCCGTGAGCACACAACAGAAAACAAAAAAGCCACATGAGCTCAAACCTGTGTGCAGCATCATCAGCACTGGTGAATGTTCAAATCAAAAAAATTTTTTAAACGTAGCGGAGTTGTTACAGTTTGATCTGCTCCTGCTCTGCCTTCAGCTCAAGCACCACCTCCTCAAACTTCATTTTCTCTTCCTCCAGAACCTGGTTGAGACGCTCCAGCTCCTACGGACACACAAATGGGACTCTTTCCGTGCATGTTCGTCGAAAAACAAAAAAGCAAGCGACTCCCGGGTATTCCGAGGTTTTAAAAAGAAGCCATTGAAACGAAAGGTCTCACCTCTCGCTGTGCTCTTTGATGACTGAGCTCCTCTGTCTCCTCCATCAGTTTGTCTGCAAGAAAACGAGGAGGTTCACATGGACAGTCCCCGTTTATCAACCCATTCGAAATAAGCTCATCGATCCGATGGAGCAGCGCCTCTTTCGTTTACCCAGGTACTCTTGCTTCTCCTTGGCCAGCTGCAGTCCCTGTGCCTCCAAACTCTCAATCATTGCCTCCCCAAGCTGGGAGTTTTTCCAAGTGCTGTTGGTTAGAGGAAAATCAAAGGATTATTCCAACAAAAAAAAACAAAGATGGCTAACAAAACAACTTTTGTGACAATCCCTTTGTGTTGTGATAGAGGAGTAGTAGTAGTAGAAGGTGAGTAAGCCCTCACACTTTTCCGGACTCCTGGAGCATTTCTATCCACTGGGCCTGCTCCTCCTCAGCCTCAGCAGCCAGGACGACAGCCCCCTGGGGAACAGACACACCGTCATTCACATCACATCAGCGTCCCGTCAGTGTCGGTCGGGTTCAGGCTGTAAAAACATCTGCCTTCTAGCTGAGGCGATCATTTCCAATAGCTCCGACTTATTTGAAATTCATTCAAGAGTTAACATCACATCCGAGAGGGCTGGCTCACATCTGGAGCTGCGTGTTTTCAAAAGTTTTGGAATCTTTCCACCTGGATTGGGTCTACAATTATTTTTAAAAAAGAGCCTGTTTTTTAAATTGTCTGCATCTGAGACATTATGCATCACCTTCTTATAAGAGAACATTATAAAACTTTGTTGAACACTATCTGATATACCTGCTGCCAGTGGGCAGAAGACTACATTGCTATAAATTGGACTCATTGAACAGTAACTAAGAGCAAATATATAAAAACTTGCCTTTGTTTTTTTTAATGCTTTGTTAAAGATGTTGGAGTGAAAAAAGGAATATCTCCATTTTTAATAAGATCAGGCTTTAAAAGGTTAAACATGATGAGGCTATGGGAAAGGAACATATGCTTACGGTGAAATCTTCAAGGTTGACCACGATGCCAAATGGCATCCCCATGTCCTCATTGGCTGACACCACACAACCCCCCAGAGGAATGACTCCCTAAACAGAGAAGCGTGTCCATTATCGGATCCTCCGAGTTCGGTTTTTGAACTCCTTTTTCAAGTCATGAGTCAATAACCCTAGCAGCTCACCTTTGGGTGGATGTTGAAGTACCTGTTGGACTCAAAGCTCTTCTTCTCACTTTCTGCATAGTAAAGCAAGAAGCTGTCTTTGATGATGAAGAATCTTTGTGCCGAGGAAGAAAAATGAAACCAGCAGTGACTGAACTTAAAACTGAACATTTCTGCCCGACACAGAATTTTTCCATTTTTGTCCATTTTATCATTCTGGACACTTTAGTCTCTTTTCATTCTAAAATATTACATATGTAGGGGCCAGGAAACCCAGCTTTGGTTACAGCACATGCTTACACCACCTGGAAATCAGTGTTTAATACTAATTTTGCCACTTGGAGGGGACGGTGCATCCTCTTAATAGCTGGATTTTAAGCTCTTAGCATCACTGAAGGATTAAATCTGTGAAACTCTGCTAAACTAAAATAAGAAAAATGCTGCTTTGAAAAAGCGATTGGTCTTTTAAATGGTGTTCCTGCAAAGATTATGACCGTTTTGCAGTTATTCCTTTTTTTTTTTTGTTGGACCTGTCCACGGTTTGCTTACTTGCTTTTAGATTTTAAATGGAGGCAGAACCTTTAGCCTGAGGCTGTCCCGGTTGCCCATCATGAGAATTGAGTTGTGTGTAGAATCACTGTTTTTGCTGGAGAAGCAAAAAAGCTATATAGCATAATACAATCTCAGCGTCTTTACACAGAGCGAAATGTTTTCTTGCAATCAATTGAAATCATTTTGTCTCTGTACTGCTGGCATGCAGTATAGTATATGAACCCCCCCCCCCCCTTCCTTCTCCCAACCTCTTATGTAAACCAGCTGTGGCCAGTGAGCTCAATTTCAACTTTATGGATTCTAAGCACTTGCTGTCAGAGTGAGCAAAGCTTGTTTCAGTGTTATGCAGCTGCTTACGGGACCCATGACTGCTGTCTGATAGCCAAATCTGACACCTCCAAGGTTGAAGAGTCAGAGTTTTTATAAAACTGAGGGTTTGCACCACCTGGCCTCTCTGACTGGACTCTGGTCAACACAGAACTAAGCCAACTACGATATAATGCATAGGGGTTGTTCCTTCTTGTTTTCATTATTGTGAAAAAATTATAGATAAATATTTAAGTGGTAAGAAGAAAAAGGCTCTCTCTTTACTTCAAAGCTCAAATACACTGATTTCTTTACATGTTGTTTTATTTCCTACACAAAAAAAAGTCATCATAAAGATTACAGCATGCAATCTAAAGCATTGTTCATCAATGATGATGTTTTGACATGTTTTTTCTTTCAGCTTTAAAAAAAAAAAAAAAATTTTTATAAATTTTAAAAATTTTTTTTTTTTTTTTTTAAATCACTGGTGAGAACAACAAAAGCCACTGAATCTTTGAGCTCAGCACGTAAAGAAAGCCCTTACTGAACAGAGTTAAATCGACTTTCTGGCTGGACTGTGCATTGTCGCTTTAACTGTTATGTAAACTAAGAGCATTATCCTGACAGAAGGTACCCACCCCGGAATTTTAATCAAATTCACACAAGAATCAGGAAGTGTCAGAAAAAGCAACTACGCGTGTATTTATGTAAACCGACCCCTCTAAAGCCCAACACATTAACAGCTTAGTTGACTTGACCTACGCATGTCATCCTGCAATAAACTAAACCCAACTGCTAAATATGAGGACTTTAAAACTTTAACATTCAGCCCAACCATTTGGAAGAACACGTTTTCCACTGATTATTGGTGTAGAACATCCTAGAGAAAGTCCACTTATCTAAACTGGTTTTAAAATTAAGTTTAGGTATGTGATGCCTAAATTAAGCATGAGGTATGACTTTTCTTGTTTCTTTTACTTCACACTTTTTAGTGTCGCCCAAACTAACTGTGAAACAAAATGCTTTCAGAAACAGCTGCAAAGAGAATTAACTAATTTCCACCCTAACACAACGGTGCTGTTTATAATTCTGTCTAATGGTGCTGTCTAATTTAGACATTCTGAAGTGATGTGTAAAACATTTTTGGCAAACTTCTAAAGGCACAAATATGTTTTTAAAAACCAATCCTTTTTTTTAAATCCTTTTTTTTGTCTTTCTTTGCAATTGACAGACAGCAAAAGGACCGTGACCCTGCCCATCCACCCCCTCCCTACTAACAACACTTTGAAAGTAGATTTAAAAGTAGATTTTTGTCTTAAAAAGTTGCATAAGACAGGGGTTGCATCTTATCCTCACCTGCGGGACCACTTGGCTGATGGCCGTCCAAATGGCCTCTTCCACAGCACCCCGTGCAGCTGCACTTTGGTGCTGATGTCCAGCACTTCAGAGTCGGACTGCTCCATGGACGACCAGGGCGACAGCAGACTGTTTCTGGACGAAGATGAGAACATGCTATCTGGCTTCCTATCCCCCCCCCCCTGGGAGGATGGGGCTAGTTTAGAATTGAAACAACAAAAAAAAACAAAAAAATCAATGAAATAAAAAAAATAAATCGCTATAAAGTCAGTCGATAACAACTGCAGCCTGGGATACACACCCGATAACACACTGTAGTGCTGCGGGCAGAGGCCGCTTCGATACGGGGCAGGAAAAGCCGCCAACAGAGTCCAATAACCCAGCAGGGCGGAATGATGCGGCTGCCAATACGCTCATCAGCTGGAGGCGGACTGACACTGCTGAGCAAGGATGAAAACAGGATGACAGAGAGAGAGAGGGAGGGAGGGAAGCTTTAGGAATGAGTTGCTAAATCTGAAGCCGGTCGATATATTCCAGCCAGTAAAAGCCGTTGTTCAGATTACTGCAGGCAGCATGTCCAGCTCTCAGAGGGGGACCAACTGTGTGGTCTCTCCCCTCCATCCCACGCCCCCGGCTGTAAATTAGGGGGGGACATCTGCGGCACGGCTTTCTAGTAAAGAGGATGGAGAGGGAGAGCGTTTCACATGCCACTCCGGTGTCACGGGTACCAGATTAATTTGCGGTACATGTGTTAAGAGCGGATGGAGCAGGGGCAGATTATGAAGATCCCGGAGGCTCAACTCCAACGTCCAGGACAGTGAGATGAAGGCCCATGTGGTCCTGACAAGTTAGAAAAAAAAAAAAGCTTCTTCCCATTTTTTTCTATCCATAAACCATGTGGGCCAAATGTCAGGAGTAATAACTGAATATCAGGCTCCTTATCAAGATGAGAAAATCAAATTATCCCACTGGTCTGTTATTAGACAGAATAATCAAAATATGCTTAATCATTTCCAATCTTTTCTTTTTTTTTTTTTTTATAAAGGTTTTAATATTGGCATCTTAAAACACATTTCTTGTTTACATAGCTTTGTAAATAAGGCCAACGCATTCTGGAATGACAGAAATTAAACAAATGACCTCTGGTCCCAGTCGGCAATGATGAGGAAAAAAGAAAAAGTGGATTTTTTTCTCCCGGCTCTTCTGTCTTCATAAATTTAGCAATCAATCAGTTGAAAATGCTCTTTAGAAATGTGACTTCAGAGGAAATGAGGTCTCTGACTTTAAAAATGCACTGACAGGTTTACAAAGTGTAGAAATATTTGAGATTTCAATGGTCAGAGCTCCCAGCCAAATAAAAGCTCAGTATTGCCAGCTTTAACTTATCAAACGGACTCATGCCTGAAACACCTAAAAAAAAAGAAAAAAGAAAACATGAAGAGCCTTGTCTTTTGTTGAGTTTAATGCACCAGCTATCATCAGATCATGGATTAGTTTTTTTTCCAGATATAATCCCTTTTAGGGCCGACTTTAAGCCTGCTGATCTTCAAAACTATTGAACCAAAGTTTTGCCTCAATTTCCGCAGTTTTCTGGGGCATTTTTGTTGCAAACTACCTCCTTTGGGTATGTGGATTTTGGTTTATTGAGATCTTAAGTGTTGGTAGAAACATGCACAAATCTATTAAAACTCTCCAAAGTGAAAACACCAATTGTCTGATAAAGTTTAAGTCAACAATTCTGGAATGTATCCTTTTTTTCTGTAGCAGACCCTGTTGCTAATGAAGAATATTGCAATATTTCGACTGTTTGATCATTTTCTTAGCCATGAACGCAGAGAAAAGGATTGTGTATGGAGCCGCTGCCTGAAAATTAGACTTCTCTTTTTTCTTTTTGGATTCTGATGCTACGTTAGGAAGATGAAACTTCACAAACATGCCCAGTTGTAAATCAACAGCTAGGATATTTCCCTTTTACACCCAAAAAAAAAAAAAAACTAATAAGACTTAAAAGAATCTAGTCTGTTGCAATCCACTGCTTTCTCTCACAGCCTTAAATGAAAATACTTCAACTGTCATGATGGGTTTTTTCTCATCCTATAATCTGGAATTAATCGACAAGCGAGGGCGTAAATCCTTAATGCAAATCCATAAAAACTACTACTTCTAAAAGAGAATTCAGTGTCGAGTCAGTATTGCAAAGTCCATTCAGTTCCAAAAATGCAGAATAAGAAATTTGTATTTTTAAAAAAAAGAAAGAAAATAAAAAGGTGAATAAACAGATCCTGTGAAAGAAAGGAGTTGTTCTGTACAATATAGATACACAACTTAACACATATACAAACATGAGCCGGCACATTGATACAGTAACGCTCACCAAGCCCAAAAGTCCTGATGGAAGAGCGTGCAGCCGGCTTACATTTCCAACCATTTCTGTGCGAGACTGCAAAGAGAAGCTGGGAGAGGGCTGCGTTCAAGAACATCAAACAGGTTTGGATATATGAATCCCATCACAAGTGCCGCTCTGTACATGTATCAAAACTTGATTGCACTATTAAGTTAAGGGGTGGGGGGGGGGGAGAACATTTTACCCCATTTTATATTTTTCAGCCACACAGTAACATGTGTCTGTTCTCCTGATACAGTGGTCCCTGTTTTGGTTTTCAACCCAGGACATTTCCCTCCATGAAAAAAGAAAAAACAATCAAACTCTTTCAATCATTCACAGCCGCTGAAATAGCCCTCCACTTTTAAATGTATACAATCACTTAAGACAATTATGTACAGATATTTGTTTTTTCCTCACGGGCTGTGTTGCAATTCATTTACAGGTCAAAGAGAAGAGAACAGAACAGAAGAGATTCTATCCAGAAACTAAACAAAGCAAAAGTGTCGCTTTTGAAATGTTTAAAATGATAAGTTGATTGGCTCTTTTCCTAAGGCAAGCTCAGGATTATGAAGACTGGACCGGGAATCTTGCAGGAAAAAATGTTTAAAAAAAAAAAAAAAAACACGCCGGTATCACCTGAAGCCAGGTTTCTCACCATGAAAAAAAGGAAGAAAAAACAAAACACACACTTAAATTTAAACAGACAAGCATAGATTTAAAGAAAAAAAAAAACTGTTAGAAATATGGAGCTGGTTACTCTTGCCCATCGGGTTGTTTCTAAGACTGCGGTCCTGGTTGGAGAATGTGTGTTTCACACTCGTTTAATATGGCACTTAAAACAAAAAATAACAGTTCTATTAAATAAAAAAGTTTTAAAAAGAAGGTTGTTTACACTTTTTTTTTTTTTAAGTATCACAAGCTTAATCCGTTTTAAAATTCACTTCGCAACTGCCCTCTAGTCAAAGATAACACCTTAAAAAAAAAAAATAAAAAAAAAAAATCTGAGCTGGGTCTCGGAGTTCGGAGAAGCATGATGACGCAACAGAGGAAATTCCACACGGATCTGAATGAGCTTTGGGGAAAAAAAAAAAAAAAGAAAAGCTGTCTTGTGGGATTTCTGGTGGGACAACCACGCACATACGGTAGCTGTATCGTGTTTTCCGCTCCGGCTCCTCCGATGCCATTAAATTTCCTTTCGGAAGTTTGTTTTTCAAACTCGCATGAAGTCCTCGCGAGACTCCCCAACCGGTCTACAAGGTCCATACACAGACAGTAAGCAATGAGACATTTAAATTTCAAACGTTTATAGTCCGTTTCATCACCCCTCCCCCCTCCTGTACACCTGTAATTTATTTAATCCGCGCTGGGTTTAATGCTGGTGGCCGACGGACAGCACCAGGGGGATCAGGCAGCCCAGAACCAGAGCCCCCACCTCCACCTTGCTCAGTCCCTTCCCTCCGTTGCCTCCGGCGGGAGCGTGGCTGTGGCCCCCGCCCCCCACCTCAGGGAGGACGTGGACGGTGGCCACGTAGAGGAAGGTGCCGGCAGAGAAGAGCATGGCCACGCCGGTGGCGTTGATGTCCGACAGGGCCTCTTTGCTGCTCTGAGAGGGGAACAGATGGGGAGAAGAAAAGAAAAAAAAAAAAGGAAAGTGTGACGCTAAGTGCAAGTAAGCCTTCAGAAAATATTGCTGAACAACCTCATGATATGGAATGCCATCTAGGTTGGACTGCTCAAAAAGGTCAGATTTCCCGCTTTTAAAGGCATTTTAGTTCATTTTTCAGCACAAACATTGATCCACTCCGATGGCTCTAACAATTAAGCACTGAGAGATAAGCAGGAATTACTAGGGTGTGTAAATCTCTATTATGAGACGATTAAACTCAAAGCAAATATGAAGGGAAAAGAATTTTTAAACAAATCTGGGCAGAAAAAGTTCAACAGAGTTTACCAAGTGGTTATATTAAATGATAAAATGTGTAGCAAGTTAAATATGTGGTCTTGTTCGAACAGCAATGAAGAATCCTGGCTGAAACAGTAAAATATGTCACAGCTCATCATTTAATTATTGACTGATTTTAAGATGTTTGACAAGCTGATTGATTTATTTATCTGTTTGTTTCTGATTCAATCCTCCCAAACCTTGCGTTTATCAGGTCAAAGCATCTTCACTGTTAAAATGGGGGTGGAAAACTTTTCACATCCCTAAAAGTTATAATAGCTCCTATGGAATAAAAAAATCTAGCTTGAGTATGATGTGCATCAAGCAGAAAAAATTTCTAGGAAAAAGACATTTATTTCAAATGGAGAGATTATATTAGTCCATTTGAAGATTAGAAGCTGGAAGATATGTTGACATTTTTGGTTGCCGAGCTATATTAGTGTCTCCTATGTGGCAGAAATCTAATCTGACTTTTCCCCCCTGAGGGTTTTCCACTCAGGCGCTGATAAACCTGAACAGTGTCGCCGAGCCCCACAGGGAACAGATGGCGGTGCCATTTTACATCAGTTACCACTAATCCCCTCCTTCATAACGCAAGTAGAACCTTTTTAAAAACATGCTGGCGAAAAAGGCCACGAGGATCACGTAATTACCTGACTGAGGCCTAAAAATGTGATCATGGCGAGGACGGGCGCGGCCAGGGCGAAGACCAGGAGGTGCTTGCGGATCCGGTTCCTCTCCAGTCCGGCGTGCATCAGGAACGACACCAGGCCGAACGCCGCCGGGGCCTGCGGTCAGCAAACGTGAGCAGTTAACGTCAGCGGCTCCCCTGTGAGAAACCACTCTGAAATGTCTTTGAAAACTACCTTATGCAGCATGATGGCTACGAACACGATGAGCTGGACGCTGGTCTGAGAGGTTGAAGCAGCAGCTCCTAACGCCACTCCGTCCGCTGGAAGGGAAAAAAACAAGAAAGATTTAACTCTTTGTAATTTGATAAATATTTCCAAAGTATAGAGAATATTCTAAAAGACATGCACATGGCCAGTTTGCAGACTCACTGATATGTACATATCAAATCTGATGAAAGCACAGTTTTATTGTAAGGTAGTCTCTACTACTTCTAATGGGGGAAAAAAAAAACGTAATGTGTCATTTTAAGGATTAGGGGGTGAACAGAGTCCAGACGCTGAGTTTAAAGTTGCCAAACTAGACTTACCTGCAGCGTGGACCACAAGGCCGAGGGTGGTGGTGATTTTTGAGGAGGCGACCCTGGCCGACTCCGGGTCTAAACCAGAGGAGAAACACGAGACACAACTTTCTGCAATCAGGAAATATTCAATGGCTAAAAAAAACAAAGAGCTGTTAAAGCTGTAACGCTGACCTTCGGTGTTGTGGACGTGAGAGCTGCCTATTTGGTCCACCAGCAGCATGAAGACAAAGCCCAGGACCAGAGACACCCCGATGCAGGCGTGGAGCTGCTCGTGGCCGTGCTCGTGTTTCCCGCCGGCGCCCAGAGCCGCCTCGCCCTCCGCCTTGGCCTGAGATGCTTCGGCCACTCCGACCTGACCGTGGCTGTGATGTTCGCCTGCATGAATAGACACAAGTCGGGATACAGCTAAAGGAGGGATGGGGACAAGTTACCGTCTAAATCCCGCTTAGCCCAGAGGCCACCACAAAATAAATACACAAGATCGAAAAAAAAAAGTCAGTTACGCAACAGATAGGTTTGTCAACTCTTTGCACTTTGCCACTACATGAACTTTGCTCCATGTGAAAAGGATTCAAATAGTTTAAATCTACCTAAAGCACATAACTGGCATAATTTTTTCTTTTGGTATATTCAGCTCCCGCTGACATAATCTGAAACTGGCCTGGGAAGAGAAAACAGAGATGAACAGAAAAGATCCCAATCTGAAACAGGAATGGAGGCCTTATGTAAATCAGTGCACCCAAGGCACTTTTTAACATGAAAAAAAAAATAGAGGTCAAAGAAACAACAGGGAGAAACTACAGCTATAGAAAACACAAATTTTGGCAAATAAGGCATTGCCCTTTTTGGGAAACTATCAGGCTTCAGCTGTAATGAATCACAGGAGAAAAAAAGGAGTCTATCAGTTTTCCAATCACCTTCATGCATTTGGATGAATGTTAGGAGATAATAATAATACCTCACTGGTTCAGAATGTATCTACTGCTCCTGTCACGTCAACGAGAAACATCACCAAAACAAAACACATTTCAAAATATATATGCTGCATTAGTTCGACCAAAATGGGAATTTTAAATCTTAACATGACTGTCTCAAACCAAACGGTGCTTCTACAAACACCACTAACCCATAGATTTATTTATTCTGTATGTGTACAATCAGCTAAACTCAAATGGACGAGAGATCTGCAGAAAGCATTCCCTCTGGGATTATTAAAGTTTTTCTGATTCTGATTAACCACATGGTCATCTTGGTCATACCAAAATACCAAAATATATGTATTTCAAACTAACTTTTGTCCTGTGTATTTCTTGTTCTGGTACAAAGTAATAATTTCCTCTGTCCAAAAGACTGAGGTGATTTGGTAATTGAAGGAATTTCCAGTTTCAACTTTCGTTTTTTTTGGCTGTAGATATAGAGCACCGTCCACACCTTCCACCTGAAGCAATCAAAAACCTGTTTGGTTCTTTCGACAAGGCATTTCGAAAATAAACAGCAAACATCCAGGAGTACAGAATCGTTTTCCATGTTTTTCTGCCTCAAAAGACGTGTTTCTAATGTTTCCCCTCGGATTGATTTTCACTTTTAGGAATAAACTCCACCATGTGTCATCATGAGTCTTGATTCTAAATTACAGTCTTCTGATATGATTGCCATCATTACCCACTCTGTGCCATTCCCCACATCAAGCCCAAATATAATATAATAGAAAATATGGAAATAGGGGAAATCTGAAAGATGTCTGTAAATCATTTGGATGACAGTACCCTCAAACTAAAGCTTCAACTTGGACCTTTTTGCCCCATTTTAGCACCAAGCATAAATATAAAGACATGTAAAGAAGAACAGTGACGGGTGACTCAAATGCGAAGATGGGGAGAAGCAAATATTTTACTGACTAATCTTCTCATCTAGACTGGGGCATTCTACCTTCAAGGATTTCTTCATAAAGTGCATGGACTCCTTCTGGGATGATAACAGCCAGTGCAGTCCCACACAGCAGCCCAGCTCCCAGCACCGTGATCAGCTTCAGCTTCTCCTGGACAAAACACATGCAAAACAAAGCTTCAGTACCAGACGGTACACAGCAATTGGTTCACGTACAGCTGATAACGTTACAGAGTTTATCATGTGATCAACTTGTTTTGAGTAAATCACAACACAGAAAGGAGCTGTGAGTTGTGGCTGAGATTGGCCACGAAGTGAAAGCTCTCAGGGGGGTGAAATGCTTTTCTACATGTAGCTCAAACTTACCTCTGAGAAGTTGAAAGCTAAAGGTATTGTCCCGGCCACGTAACATCCCACCAACATCGCAAGAGACAGCAGGCTGATCGAGCTAAAATCGTCCATGACTGCACTTCCCTCTTCGGTTATTCAGCTGATAGCTAAACCATTCAATCCAACCTCCCACAGTTTTAACACCAAATTACAGTCGCTCTCGTTAGCCTTAACAACATGCCCCAAAATGTGGCAAGAAGTGGGCAACAGCTGTTGTTTCTAAGGAACGTCACTACCCTCCACTGACTCCAGCTCAGTCTGCTATCAAACATCCACGTTAACTAGAAGATACGTTGTAGCTTCTGGCCTCATTAGCCAAGCTTAGCTAGCTAGGTTCAGGTTACGACCAGCTCTCAGACTTTAGACATGCTACCCTTCCACTGCAAACATCCAACACACCGCATCGTGTCTGTCAGACTCATCTGCCAAAAACAATTACTGGAACTTCCTAAAGAGGTTTGCCGCCAGCAAACAAGCTAACAAGGCAGCCTGTTGTTTGGTGCCGACTAACTACTTCCGGGTTACAGTTCAACTCCTCAACCTGCCACGTATCTGCGAGACTTAGTGGTGAAATGCACGCCAATTATTTTAAGAGACATTTTAAACTTTACATGCTTTTTAAAAATATTATTTGCTTCTTATCTGGTATGCCCGAAAATTAATTTCCAAAAGCATAAAATGCATATAAACTCCAGATGCATTTTTTCATTAATTTATGTATCCGCCTATCATTTAGATTTTAAACCCGAATGTTAACTTACAATTTCGATGCAATTAGTAGATACATTTGGCTTTATCATTTTATGTTCGGCCATTTACAAATCACATTTGAAGAAAGTTTTTCTAAAACTATGTTCCTAGCAAGGGCGGCACGGTGGTGTGGTGGTTAGCATCGCCTCACAGCAGGAGGGTTCCCGGAACCTTTCTGTGTGGAGTTTGCATGTTCTCCCTCTGTCTGCGTGGTCTTTGTGTCTCTATGTGCCTGTGATGGACTGGCCTTTACAACCACGCTATTGGAAGTCCCTCTGATATAACTGTCAAGAAGGCATCACTTTGACGGTGACATATGTCTGTCCATTATCTAGAGTGTTTAACTTCTGCATACAATTTCTCTCAATCATACCACTAAATAATATCAATGACACCAGACATATCCAGTTTCAAAATAACTGACACCTTATCAGAATTAGGTCATAGATGGAGTCAGACTGACTCCTTCCCAGATTGGAGAAAGCAAACGGAATCATATACTCCTCCAAACAAGGTTTAAAATAACTTCCAGGTAAAAGGGTACTACAAAACTAACGTCAAAATACTCAAGAGACATTCTACAAAAAAGCATGTTTATTAGTTCACATATCAGAGCAGAGCCTCCACAGAACATGAGAAAATCAAAGCAGAATGTGTCCAGTGATTCTGAGAACATACTGCGTGAAAAGCAACTCTCCTTTTGATTAGCAATGTCGACAAACGGGAAAAAGATAACCAAGGTTTTACCATGCAGCATGTTTGTGCAACCGTTTCTGATAGCAACTCAAGACTTTCTCATACAAACAAACACACACGCGCACACACATACAAGGCAGGAGCTCCTTGCTGATGGAATGGAGGGGCGTATGGGTCTGTTCAGTCTGCTCATCCAGATGACTGCAGCTAGCTGAACTGAAAACTTTTAAGAGTCAGTCAGAGAAGGACGTGACCTTTACTTCACCAGTCCGATCTTCTTGGCTTCCGTTTCGTATATTAAGAGCCTCCACATTTTTACTATGAAGACTTCTGCTTCCTCATCAAGAACCTGAAACGAAAAACAGATTGGTTCATCTTCAGAGCAACCAAAGCAATACATATTGATCATACAACGTAACAGAGATCACATCCTGTTTCCTCATGTGTGATGTTTTGATTGGACACAATCAGATTTCTAATTATGTGGTGAATGCAGTGTCTAAAATCAAGTCAATTTTACACTTGTCAGGTGTACTATTGCAGCACCGTGGCTGGTTTGCTGATAGAACTTACCATAGCAACATCATCAAGAATACCCTGAGGGGTGCTGTGTGCCATTACCTGAACATACACAGAAATAATACAAGTAAGCAACAAGTCCAGCACCAAAAACCTAAGAGGCTGAAAAAGCTTTTCAAAATATTCAAAAGACCTCAGATTTTCTACAACTAAAAGACCTAGAATGCATCTGACATTTTAGAATAGTTTGGCTCTCCGTTTAGGGTGTGCAAATGAATACTGACCTTAGAACAGACAAAGTCTACCAGGGTTGGTTCCTCCTCTCCAATGTATTCAATAATCTTCTTGTTGATCCATGGCCTAATGCGGCGATCCATCAGAGTCTAAGGAGACACAATCACAACATTACACGGCTTTGATATCCAACTGCTTACAGCCAGGTATGAATTTGAGAGTAAAAACTTCCATCAATAGTTAGTTATTTTTACCGAATCAACCATAGTCCAGTCCAGTGGGTAGGAGAAGAGCTCAGGCCTGGCGGTGGGGATCTTCTCTATCAGGCTCTTGATGTGCCTGCGCTTCTCCTCGGTGTTGATGTTGCCTTTGGTCGCTGACATTTCTGCCCCGTCGAGCCCCAGGCTCTTATCATCGTCCCCGTAATCCAGTGGGACCAGTTTCCTCTTGCGAGGCTGCTCGTCTGCTTCGTCGTCGTCAAACTTGTTAAAAACGCTGTCTGCGGAGGCCAGCTTCTTTCTCTTAGCTGAAATGAGCTGACTGGGGCTGTTGGTGGCACCTAGAGGGGGGAAAAAAATAAAAAGATGAGGAGGAGCACTCGTTTATCCTGCAACGTCTTCTGCTGTTCTCCGTTTGCTGCTGAACTCACCCAGTTTGAGGCTGAGGCCGATCTTGCGCCGGTTTTCCTCTAAAGGCTGCAGATCGGGAGTGTTCTCGCCTGGAATGATGATGCCGCACGGGGATTCGTTGCTGGGTGTGTTCGGGGTGACGTTCCCGCTGGCGGAGGACACTGAGGGGGCGGTGGTGATGGGTCGCATGATGGGTTTGAGCTGAGGCTTGGCCTCCTGCGAGTCCTCCCCGTTGTGGTAGTCGTCCTCCTCCCCGTCCACGGCATCGTCGTCTGAAAGCTGTTGGGGGGCCGGGGGCGGGGGCTCCACGGGCCTCTCCGTCGCCCTCTTCTCCCGCTCCCGCTCCCGATCGCGCTCCCTCTCGCGTTCCCGGTCGCGCTCCCGTTCCCGTTCTCGGTCGCGCTCCCGTTCCCGCTCCCGTTCTCTCTCCCGCTCCCGTTCTCGATCGCGCTCCCGATCCCGCTCTCGATCCCGTTCCCGATCGCGCTCCCGATGGGTCTTCTCCGGAATGACATCCTCCTCGGGTTCGAGCTTCAGAGGCGGTTGTCGCTTGCGCTCTGCCTCCTCCTCCATCTGCACACATATTCCAGACGAGCACAGACAAAGTGACCTTATGAAATTGGATTTGGATTTCCAAATGGCGGCCTAAGAGAACACGTCCCTCCCAGGGGACACTAACCCGCTGCAGCTCGGCATCGGGGTCGGGGTGACCCTCGGCCAGAAGTCTCTGCCTGATCTCCTCGTGCTCCTCCTTTTCTCGCTTCCGGTCTCTCTCATCCAACTCGACCTCCTTCTCTCGGTCGCGAAGCCGCTTCTGCAAAGAGCTGCCCCTGGGGATGAGGAGGAGAGACGGTGAGCGAGTGGAGGGGGGAGCGGCCGCCCCGCATCTCTGCAGACAGGGTGCCCACCTGTAGTATTTTGGGTCGTCCCTGTCATCGTCGTAATCCTCAAGGAATTCTTTCAGTCTTTTGGCTTCTTTTACCTGGTTTTAAACACACGGCAAATGATTATAGTCTCCGCAGGAGTGGAGGAAAGTAGCGTGTGGGTTTATGAACGGTCAGTTTTATCCTGTGTGGGTTGCATTGCTACCATGTCACGCCGCCTCTCCTCCTCCCTCTCCGTCTCTTTGTGATAGTCGCGAGACTTCTTCCTCTCTCGGACCTCCCAGTTTTTCAGCCGCTGTGAGAGGGCGGAAACAAAAAAAAAATCCCTTTCGCTTAGTGTTGAAACAGGAAATTAAACCGTACATTAAAATAAAAACACCTGAGACATCGTAGTAATACTTCTTGGTAAGCAGCCTCTTTGTCTCTCAGCCTCCTTTCCAGTCTCCGCCGCTCATACACATCTTCCTCGTCTTCGTCGCGGTCTCGTTTCTTATCGTCTCTGGCCCTCTCTCTGCGACAGACAGACAGATCGGCTAAATCAAAAGCTGGTTTAGACTGATGAGAGAAGAATTAAGCTGATTCTTCAACACAGAAACAGCTAAAGACAAAAGAGTAATTAATAGTACTATGTAGTCACTGTTGGGGTTATTGAGAACTGAGAATTTAGCCGGGTTACAATATCCTGGTTGATCCGTCTCATTTGAGTCAGCGGTGATGCTTCATATTAGATCAGGCAAATCACGGTTTTCTTCGGGGCAACAAACAAAAACAACCTTTCAAACAACTAATAAAAGACAGCAAAAGGGTGAGGGCGTCCGGAAGGTTGAAGCTCGACCAACCTGGACTTGCTGCGAGCTTCGCTGGCATCTCGACTCCTCTCCCGCTCCCTCTCCCTCTCCCGCTCCTTCGTCCTCTCGCGCTCTCTCTCCCTCTCCCTCTCCCGTTCGCGGTCCCGGTCTCTCTCCCGCTCCTTGTCCCTCTCTCGCTCCCTCTCCTTCTCTTTCTCCCGGTCGCGGCGCTCCCTCTCCCGCTCGCGCTCCTTGTCCCTCTCCCTCCTTTCTTTCTCGAGCTCCAGTCTCTCCTTTTCTTTCTTTCCTTTCTCCTCCTCCAGTTTCTGCAGGAGAGATGGGGGAAAACTGTCATGAGAGGGCAGAGAGTGGAAAGGCCATCATACTGAAATGAATAGACACATCACCGTATCAAGATTTTGTTTCCCTGCTCTGGACAAGTTAGCATACTACCATGGACGGGACGGTTGCTCAGAGGCCGGAGGTCTCTCTGGCCCTGTGGTTTCCCCCAGGAGGAGTTGTCCGCTGCCCGAACAGGTTTGTTGTAAATACTGCTCTGTCCAAGCCACATTTATGGAAAACCATAAACTGCAGTTCATTTTTAACAGACACTTGAATATTGTAATGATCTGGGGTTTGTTTAAACTTAAAAACCAGCTTTGAACACGTTCGGCGTCGAGTCCCAAACCAGTTCCATGGACATCTGTCTCCTTCATTCAAGTTTTTTTTTTTAAGCCTATGTAACAGAATGACCTGACCTCATGCAGAATCATGGGGTCTTTGCTGATTTGAGACTGTGGCCTGATGTAATGAAAGGTTATTCCAATAAAAGCTCTGCTGAGGGCAAAACAAGTGCTGGTCAAACCCCTTTCCGCCCATTTCCCAAATCGATGTGCGCTCATGCAAATGCATATAAGTGATAGCTTCGATCGCCTGTGGGAAATATGGTGGGGTACTAACTTTTTTTTTTTTTTTTTTTTAAAGCGACATTATTTGAGACATCATTTATCGGATCAACAACACAGCAGGGGAGAGGAAGCATTCTAAATCAGCCAATTCTGTCTAACCAGCCTTCTTAGGTGTTGCCTGGAGTGGAAGGAGGGCTAGGAAGGTGTCGCGGTTTGTCGGTGCAAATCCTCACCTTCCACATCGTCTTCCACGCTTTCGTATGCAACCCTCTGCACAAACACGAAAACCTTTTGTCTGCATTTTCATCTGACAACACACATGGTGGTGGGTTTTTTGTTTTTTCTACAGACCGTTCTGGAGCTACTGTGGTGACACTTACAGGCGATGAGCTATGGTTTCAGCCCCTCCGCACCAACACATCCAAAAGGCTACGTCTGTGTGTGTGTGTGTGTGTGTGTGTGTGTGTGTGTGTGTGTGTGGTGGTGGTGGGGGGGCAAGTCAAGCACAGAGTCAGAGTAATCAGCAAAAGTTAAACAAACGTACATCCCAACAGTATCTCTGCAGTGTTCTTGTTATCCGTCATCCCTCGCAATGCCATTTTCCATTTGCTTTAAAAACTCATGGTTGAAGCAATCAGATGCAACATTTCATTTCTACCAAAAGGAAATTAGTGAAGCGGGCTTACCTGTGGGCTGTCTTTTGACGTCTCTCTCGTCTTTCAAACCCGATAACAAAATGACTTCTAGTCAAACCCACCGTTTAAACAGTCAATATTTAAAATGTTAGAAAAGTGGGTCTGGCACTTGAACATACTTTTTGAAACTCTAAATGGATTGACGTAATCTTAAGAGACAATTTGTATCTAAAACCAATTCTGAAGCACACTGTGCGGAGCTCATTTACGCCAGGCCCTTGAAAAGATATGTCCATAACAGTGATTTCATCTCAGGGACTTTGTTCTTGGCACTTAACCTTTGAACCTAACAATAACTGAACTCTTTTCCACCCAAGACATTTTAATGTGTTCAACATCCTCCCATTATTATGTCCTCTACGTGGAGCCGATACTCTGTTGCATAACTGGATTTTCTATTACACAAGAAAACTCATGTGGTAGTCAGGCATGGCTTTCACCCTTATCACAGCCTGCTGTGTTGCTCTGCATGGTGTCTGCAAAAGAGGTTGATTTACTGCCATTTACAAAAAAAAGAAAAAGCACAGATGTGGCTGGTCATGCGATGACTGTTATTGTGTCACAGCACATGATGCAGAGGATAAATTTGTGTGTCCACACTGAGATGTATTGCTTATAGGCTGAAAGGAAACCCCTTTCATTCCATAGCAATATCCTGCTGTGGTTTGGTTCATTTATTAAAATTCTGATCATTTTGGGGTATCTTAAGCTGTTAAAAATCAACCCAGATAGCCAACTAAAAAGACCAAATACACACATTTGGGCCAGTGTTGTAACCATTACTTTGGCTGTCTGTTCTTAATGCCAGGGCCTCAGTGGTAGCTGATATTCTGAGATAATGTTCTCTGATTATGATAGAAAAAGCAGATGGAGAAGGGTTTTAAAAGAGAAGAAATTCAAAGTCTTACCTTGTATATCTTCAGAGCGCAGAGTGCTGTGAAGGGGCGCTCCCTGCCTTAGTAATACTACTGGCTGCAGTGGTTAGGGTACACTTTGCATGTGCGTGTGTGTGTGTGTGTGTGTGTTGTTCAAACACATAGCTGAAAATCTGAGGATCTGCAGAGGTTCACTAAGCAGCCCAACCTTCTGAGAGCCTGACTGAGTGCGAGTGCAATGCAGCGTTTCAAAAACCAAAAACACCATTTAGGTTCCAGATCCAGAACTATACGTGCACTGTATTCAAGGAAGGCAAATGACCTGGGAGCCAGTTGCCCCTCTGCAAAACCTCCAGAAGGGAGCGCCCGACATGAGTAAAGAAGAAAAGAAAGATCTTACTTACATCCTATCCTCGCAACTTTTTCCAAAGCTGAGTTTCTGAGATTCATCTTGCTCTAGTCACCAAATGAACTCTACCATATTGGTGGGGTTTAATCAATAGATTAGCTTTATTTGGAACCCAACATTGTGTCCATGCACTCTTTAGCTTCTGCAGAGCTAATGCTTTTGGTCTCAAATCAGCATCACAGACTGTCATAACTTCTCAGAAAATTTTTAAAAACTGACAAGTCCGACAAAAAGAAAAATAATGAGCCGAGGGTAGAAATTTTAAGAAACAGTAAAACTTTAAATAGACAGTTTTTTGTATATATTCCCTTATTGTTTGTATTTGTCTAACTGGTATATCTGTTGAGAGACTCTGGAGACTGGCTGTAACAACTGTTTTATGGAACAGTCTTATGGACGTCCAAAAGCCACTTATTGTGGAGGAAGTTCTAATGACTACTGAGAGAGAATCATCTCTACTGAGAGAGACTAACAACAGCAGACTGATACATTACCTTGTGAGTGTCCCTGAATTTACTGATCTCTCTGGAAATCAGGTCCCTCTTGTCGTCCTCCATCTCCATGGCATTGATATCCTCCTTACGCAAAGGACACAGAGGACACAAAGCCAGGAAAAAAACACTAAGTATGTGAAATCTCTACTCCTGACTTCATTTAATCTGTGCCTTATGCAAACCCTACCTCCTCTTTCTTCTCTTTGCGCTTCTTGTTACGAGGCTGACTGTCAGGATCCTGTGAAGGAGCGTTGAGCTCGCTCGAGTACTCTCGAATGAGGACATCTATCGCCCCTTTGACAACCTGATCCCGACGCAGGGTTTCTTCGTCAAGAACCTCCTCTTCCTCTTCATCCTCGTTTTTTGATCCATCCGGGGCTCCCTTCGTGTTAAAGCCAGAAAAATGTGAGCTATATATGCTAAACTGTCAACTTTGGACAAAAGACAACAGGTGAACACCATACCCCATTGGCACTTCTCTTCTTAGCCTTCCACTCCTCCAGCTGAGCCTTGGTTTTGGCATCTACCTTCACTAACAGCTTCTTATCACCCAAGAGTAGTTCGTGAAGAAGTCTGAGAGCTCGCAGAGTGGATTCAGGCTCCTTATATTCGCAGAACCCAAAAGCTGCCAAAAGACGAGGAGAGGGGAGTTAGTTGCACAGCTCATCAGAGGAATATAACACACGCCAGCCTTTAGAGCAGCTGTTGTATAGAACTATCATCTTTAACAACAGTTCTCCAGTCTCTTTAAAGGTTTTACTTTGGACAAAGGCTTTATAAAAACTGATTTTCAGCCCCCCCACCATTGTCTAGGTAATTTATCTAGATTTTCTTTCAAATTTAAATGTATCATAGCCCATGAATTATTACAATGTAAAAACATAAACCAAAGTAATAAAAACACTGTCTTTATTACCAGCAGCATGTTAAAAAAAGAAAAGCATAGATTGTTACCATTTCTATATTTATTTAGCTTTGGAATGTCCTTCGAGAGGCCTGGAGAACTGTTCTTAAGCACAAACTGTGATTTGTTGTATAAACTGCATTAAGTTAAGGCAAGCATATCAAAATTAATATTTGAATTTATTTTTCCATTTACAAAGCAAAATAAAGAAAATATAACTGTGAGACTGCTGTAAAGGGCAGTAAAAAATAAAAGAAAAAAAGTCAAGACATCTATAAATATTAAGACCTCTCAAGGATGGAGAAAAATGAGAGTGCATATCTAAAGACTCTGCAGTGTGATACGTACCTTGAAGTTTCCCAGAGGCACCTTGGACCCTTTTCCAGCTTAGAACAATCCCACATTTCTACATTAAGAAAGACAAAGAGGAAATGTAATGGTTAATTATGAATAACTGGCGTTATGGACAAATTAGTAGATTTTTTTTTTTACATTTTATGATAATTTTCACAAAACCTCTGTGAAACCCACTTGCATATAAAGTTATTTTGTTTGATGTCAGCCTTTTCAAAACCAAACTATTCCCAGGCTATTAACTCATCCACTGAGACAAAATATTTCCAGATGTGATAAAAATGGTTGTGTTTTGGTAGCCACAAGTCAAAAGACCGAATAGCTGATTGGCTTAGTTAATACCAACTCGAGTCACATGATCAAATTCTGTCCGCTGCTTGGCTTCAGAGGGACTATTTCGGTGATGAGGTCTTTCAAGTAATTTTCCTTTACTGTGTGTGAACAGTATAAATACCTAATAATGTAAATTTGCATATCCATATCGTCAAAGCAACTTTTACAATACTCTTGTTGGCAATATATATTGCCCATTTCTGCTGGTTAAGAGTATTGTTGTGTTACACCCAAGTATATAGAACTTTGAGAGACCTAAAGGTGTTATGAAACAGTGCTAAAAATGTGTGCTAAATTCTTACTGGTAAAACCGGATGGCAAATGGCAGTTTGACTGAGAATGTGTGTCATCTGCAACTCCATGTTTAGTTTCATCTATTTTTTTTTAGCATTATAGTTCTTAAACATCCAATATGATGCATATAATCCAGTGGAAGCACTAAAATGGGCCTGTTTGTGGAACAATTTCGCACAAATACACAACAGCTCCCAAACAAGATGTGTTACAAACACGCTCACTTTGTTTCAGATACGGACAACTCACCGCCAGAAGCTGTCTGACTAGCATGTCGGACGCTTTCTCAGAGATGTTCCCCACAAACACTGTGGTGGTGGGGCCCCCGCTATCATCTCCATCCTTTGCTCTGATGCTGCCTAGGTCCTTATTTGACATTAAGGGTTTAGCTGCGACAGCAACTGTGGTTGGGACCAGAACCTGTAACAATCAAGAGCAAATCTCACGAACTGAGTTAAACTGTCATTGTATACAATGCATATTTATAAAAGGAGAAATATCTCATGGAAAGCGTGATAATGAAAATGGCCATGCGGTGGAGGCGCCTGCTTCAAACTCACTGTGGGTGCTTGGGCCACTACGCCCATGTGAACAGGGATCATAGGAGTACCTGGATTACGAAAGAAAAAATACAAAGACCACTTATAATACTGTGTGCTCTGTCACATAAAAGATCATCACATGATTACATTTGGGACTTGATTACTTTTATTCCACCGTATTTTTACGTGTCTGTGTAACCCAAGTTTAAAAATGACAACTGTCCCGGCGGACGGGAATAAATGAAAGAGAGCTTTTCGTGTCATGTGGCAGCTGGACATCTCGTTACCTGGCGGAACTGTCGGAGCAAATCCTCCGTACTGAGGCGGGGGTATCCTGGGTGGCAACTGTGGGATGCCAATCTGCGGGCGGTTAAGTGGAGGAGGGTACGACATTCTGAAGAAAACCTGGAAGAGAAAACAGTATTTAGCGGGAGACCAGCTGCATATAGCTGGAAGTACTTTGACAGAGTAGCTACGTTTATCCGTTTTCTAGCATCAATTCAATGCTAAATGACTGCCAACGTGACTCGCAGAGCAGGTGGGATACCTACTTAATCAAAAAGTCAGCTACGCAAACTAGCCAAATTAGCTGGTTCATGCTAACTGTGTGGCCTGGCTAGTTCACATTAGCTACAGCGGTCAAAAAGTGTTCTACCCACCTATGCTCGAGTGTGAACGGGAAACCAGCAGTTGATAGCGCTGTGGTTCATACACATAAAAACTTAAATACAATACACAGAAGAACGTCACGGGTAATATCAGCGTTATATTTTACACCGGCGCGATACAGGAACCTCCGTGGTAGCTTAAAAAAACAAAAAAACAGAGGTACCTATTCTTTTCGAAAAGAATCATGGGATAGCTAGGCCCTGATAGTTCCTATTCCCTAAACGTGGTCTTGCAGGCCGGACCCAAACGCTTCCTGTTTTGCACGCATGTCTTTCCACCTCAGAAGACATTTCCATAATTCTCCATTCGAAAGAAAAACGTTTTGTAGGACCCAGTTTGAATGTCCAGGGAGACTTCCTCAAGGTTTTTTTCTTTCAACCATGTCAATGTTAATGTGATATATCGCTGCAAATCATAATTTATCAAACTGAGACATTTAAGGTTACATTTTTTACATTGTCTTTCTAAAACCTTAACTAAATATAGACAGTGTAACAAAGCAGTTCAAATTGTTTGTTATATGACCGACACTGACAACAGGTCTAGCTCAAGAACGGGTGGACAAGAAATTATATTAATTATCATTATCAATATACATGCAAATTACACAACTGTTGTGGTGCTTTTTTCATTAGTTTGACAGTGAGAACCCAGATAAACTTTGTGAACGTTGATATATGGCCGACATTTCTTACTGTTTCTGATTTATTTTGTCTTTATTGTGGACAGACGCAATGATAAAGGAGTGCTATCAATGCCTGTAGCCATCCAGTGCTTGCGCATTTTAAGTATATGTGTCGAATTTTATCTCAATACACCAGAAAGTGCATTCAATGAATTCTCCTTTATCAGCGTGCAATTTTAATCCCAGCGGCAGCAGCAGATTTGCCTTTGCGAAACCTTGCCTTACAAAACAATTGCAGGGCAAAGACTGCCCTTTTACAGAAAACGTCTGTATTTTCCATTCTTAAACAGTAGATGGCGCCAAACATCGTGGCTTTAGCTCCGAACAACGCTACTCAGATGTTTTAATAATCGTGAAACGTTACGAGTTCAAATGTCATTTAAAAAATGCACAAAATCTCGAATAAAAGGTTTTAAAAAAAAATGTCATGGCAACAGATTTGAAATGGCTCAGTTCTATAATAATTACCAATGAGTTGAAAATTAATCAACCAAGCTGCCATTTTCACTTAAAAAATCCTCACCACACTCTGCTTCTTGATTAAATCACTTTTTTTGGTTTTCTTACTACGATATGTGGGCTATTTAGTTTCATATGCGTCGGTGCTTACTGTAACTGTACAGCCGTTCATATTCATTTTCAAAAAATACATGATAAAAAAACATATTTATACTGATTAGAAGTCAAACACTTGAGCTCTTGTTGCCCAGCAACCAGTTTCTACTGTATACATTCTACAGCGACAAGCAGATGATGGCTTCACGAAACCCCGGTCTTCTGAAGTCTTTACTTGGGCTTATTTGGCGGTGACGTTAATTCCTGCATTATGACTAAAAACTTAATCAATGGAAAATAATAAACTACAATTCTATCTTTTGCCTCATACTTCAAGGTGGTAGCTTGCAAATATAGCGAAATGAAAACGCTACTCAGCTGATTTGACTGTTAGCAGCGTTATATTACCGTACTGTCAAAGAAACCAAAGCCTGTTGACTAAACTTAGACGCTCCACATGTTACTGTATTGACTTACAGTCCAAGCGTTTAGTTATAATTTACTTTTTATTTATTTTTTCGTAATGTAAAAATAGGAATTTGAACAACAACTGTAAAGGGAGTCTCTCAGGAGCAAACACATATATGCAAAGGTAGTCATGTGTTTCTGATATGTTTTGGTCGGAATTTTTGGTCCATACTTTAACGTAAACAAGCATGTCAATTCCCCCCCCACCCCTTCACCCCCTCCTTTTGGTTGCGACTCTGGAAATTTCCACTTCGATGACAGGGCAGATCTGCGCGTCACAACACCTTAAATAAAGCCTTCGGCCCACATTATGTGTCGAAGCCACGCCCCCCAAGCGAACCCACCTATTTGGAGAGCTCCTATTGGCGAAGTCGAAGGTGTGTCACCACCCCTGCCATAGTTCCCGTGCTTTAAAGCTGGACTCGGCGTCAACATGTCAAGGCTGGAATACCTGGAGCGGCGTCAACACCGATAAGAGCGAGACATAAATACAGCCCGCCCGGTTGTTTGTTTGACTGGACCGGGGAGCGGCTGTATCATCCAATCGGGTCGTCTCGTTCACTCGGCTTATGAATATTAAGCAGATGAAGGAGCCATAAGACCTGCCCCTCCGTTGCGCCAACCAGGATACAGACAGCATCCACCGGCTGAAACATTTCATTGAGCTTTCATCAGACACGCTTACTGGAGTCGCGCTAAGCCGCCGGAAAGGGAAGAAAAAAAAAAAAAATGGCTTTGAGAGGACCGCTTTCCCATCTTCTCAGAACTCAGCTCAGCCACACTTGCCAGCAAAGCAGAGCCCAATCGGTGGCTGTTCTGGGCGCCCCGTTCTCAAGAGGACAGGTAGTCCTTCTTTTATTGATCTCAAATGTATCTTGGACCACTGTCTTTTAAAAAATGTGTGTGTGGTTTTTTTTTGTCTAACTATTTGATTTGGTTGATTTTTTTTTGGACAGAAAAGAAGAGGCGTGGAGCACGGGCCGAAAGTTATCAGAGATGCGGGGCTCATCGAGAGGCTGTCCAGTCTGGGTAGGTGAAATGCGATGGGCCAGCCGGTTACGTAACTCCGGGCGCAGCCAGCGGGTTTTTTTTTTTTTTTTTGCGCCAGAAGCATTAATGTGGCCATTACTCCTGCCTCCGTTTGTGTTTAAGACAGCTTTGTTACATCACCGGAAGGCAGGATTTTTTTCTTAAACGCCTCACACCAAGTGCGGGTTTTTGTTCAAGTTTTAATGAGATTACATCTCAGATCTGACGGTGACGCTTCCCCTTAAGGCGAGAGACAGGAGAAAGAGCCACGTGAAGTTCAACAAGGGAGGGGGGGGCTCACACGTGCGAGACGACTTTTTATTTAACAAGTAGTTTTTCTCTCTCTCTCTCTGTGTCTCTCTCTCTCTTTGTTTAATTCCGGGAACCAGATGCCAGCTCACTTTAGTCATTCTTTCCCCCCCGGAAGAGCGCATGGGGAAGATGTGAGATTTATTTCCATTCTCTCGTCACCGCCTCCTCACGCGCTCGGTACCAGCTCTGGTACCGTCTGGTACCGGCCTACACGCCTAACACACAGACGGGCCTATCCACCACTATGAAAAGAATCCTTATATTTATCGGGATACACGTTTGACCTAATCGTCAAAGGGAGTTGTCTCCAGACAGTTCTCAGAAAAAATCCAAACATTACAAAGATGTTATCAACGTGGCCTCCGATTTAAAAAAAAAAAAAGAAGTGAGGTCACACCACTCGTATCCGTTATGATAAGGTGTCAGATCAGGCTACTTAAAGCCTATCCGCTGTCCAGACACTATAAATCCCCTTTTTGAGGGGCAAGGACACTGTAGATTAAATGTTGCCATTAAAAGATAAGGCCATGCAGCCATCAGAGGACTATCAGTCTCATATTCCAACAGGAGCAAGATCTATTTTTCTTAGATTTTTTTTATCTTTAAATGTCCTATAAAAAAAAAAGTAGGGAATAGCTCAGGGTGAGACTAGCTCTCCAGAATATGCAGAGTAATTCTAAGCTTTTCCAAGAAGGTGTTAACTTAATTGCTACCACTGTGCTGTCAGGGATAGAATTACTGTGAAACCAGACAATCCTGTGGCCGGCCCGTGGAAACAGGCCAGCGGTCGCGTTTGACCGGAGTTCTTTATGCTCAGAGATGACCGGGCAAAGAGTGTTTTGTGGCTCTATAAATATCGCGGAGGCCGTTAGCAGCTCTACCTGCTAAGGGCATCTCCAGGCCAATGTCACTTAAGGACATTGCTGCCTTCCCTTGACTGACACAACGGCATTTGTCAGATAACATCCTGTACATGTTTGGTACAAAGCATCCCCCATAAACATCAGCCGTTACACAAGAGGCCCGGCAATCCTTACCTAGAAATAAATGTTACATCATATTTCGGCGTACTCTCTGACTTGTGGTTAGGAGTACAGTGAGGAGTCAACAAAGAAAATGTACATATTTGCATATGACACTCATTCAAGGCAAGAGACCACTTTTTTTCCACATAAAGTATTCTTCTTCTTCTTCTTACTATTAAAATCAACATTATTATTATCATTATTACTATATCTATGTGCTATGTGCTAATATGGCTCCAAAGGTTTTAATCATTTAGCTGAAATTTCTGAAACAATTTTTTTTTGCCTTTTATTACTTAGTAGATAAGGGAATACCAACTAGAGCAAGAAATACTACAAATTCCTCATGTTTTAAGCAGTAAATGAATTTTGCTGAGGTGGCGAATTTTGGCTCATAATGAAAAGTTAAACCTGCTGTTTATGTTTCCAAAGGTTATGCATTTGCACATTCAGATACACATTTGCTTAAGCAGGGAAATGTTTAACGGGGGGAATTTGTGCTTTCGATCACCTTTAAAAGTAGCCATGCAAGAGTCAAACTCTAGGCGGGAAAAGCACCGGAATCTCATAACTGTTCAATACTCAACCCTGTCCTGTTTCTGAATACGACTCAAATACATGTTTTTTGGGGCCTTCCGGCAACTCTAAAAATCCTGTTGACGACACAATTGTTGAAACAACACACAGAAATAAGGTGACATTATCTAAACAAAGACCTTGCTTGACCTGCTTGCTCACTTTGGGAATTGCATTCACCAAAAGGGATATTTAAAAGCCTTCAAACTCAAAAACCTAAGCTCGGAATCATGTCCTCTGAGGTCCTTCGCACCTTCTGTTGCCCTGATGTCAGGTTGACAGTAGTGGAAAACGATAGAGCTGCGATGTCAGTAACGGAGCCCCGCGCTTGAAACCGAACGCTAACAGAATTTAATGCCGTGTCATCTTGGAATCCTAGAGCCCGTAAAGCAGTGCCCGTTGGTTTGTTACAGCTGTGTCCACTTGACAAAAAAAGGAAAAAGCTGTGCTAAAGAGCAGATAATCACAAGGTTTGACAGGTTGTTAAAAGAATGCTTGAACAAATCTTAGTTTAAATATCAGATGAAATCGACCGGGAGAGGGGAACTATTAGCCAGCACCGTAGATTTTGAATTGTCCGGCTCCCATTTGCATGAAGACAAGGCTATTCCTGTCCCATCTGCTAATGGAAAAAGACCACACCGGTTGCCCTTAGGTCAGCAGGGGAAACCCTACACTCTCATCTAGGCAAACATTTCCAGATGGGCAACCGATGTGGCGAATAACCCGTTATGTCCCCGGCCGAGTGGGGGGCTGGGGGACGAAGGGCCCTTTACCTGCCCGGAACAAATGACGGTCCCTGAAAGCTGAGCCGCAGTGGGAACTGGGACAAGTGGAAAGTGCCCCATCACTAACGTTCCGCTGGCTCGGAATGACTCAACCCGGGCAGACACGCGAGGTCAGACGAACCCGCGTTAAGTCACGCTGTAGAGGCCTGAGATCATGTGGCGATGTTCATGCGATACCCGCGGTCCTCCCGGTACAAAACAGCCCGGTCACGTTGAAGGTTCCTGCCCCAACTGTACACCCCCACCACCACCCCTCCTCCTCCCCCCAAAAAAACCCAGAGGCTCATTACATTTTTTTTTTCTTCAGAATACTCTGTCCACGACTTTGGCGACCTGAGCTTCCACCACCTGGAGAAGGACGAGCCTTACATGGACGTGAAGTTTCCCCGAACGGTGGGCGCCGCCAACAAGCTGCTGTCGGGCGCGGTCAGCAGAGCCGTGGGCGCCGGCCACACGCTGGTCATGCTGGGCGGGGACCACAGGTACGTCATCTGCACGACGCTCTGCGCGCTTTCCAAAAGCGTTCCCCGGTACTGGACACTACGTCCTGAAAGACGAAGCGTAAATAATACCCTATCGGGATTGACGAGTCTCCTCCTCTGTGTCCGTACAGCCTGGCCATCGGATCGGTCAGCGGACACGCCCAGCAGTGCCCTGACCTGTGTCTCATCTGGGTGGACGCTCACGCGGATATAAACACGCCCATGTCCTCCCCGTCAGGGAACCTTCACGGGCAGCCGGTGGCCTTCATGCTCAAAGAGATGCAGGACAAGGTGAGGGGGGTGACGCTCTGCTGCTCTAATGTGTTTGTAGAAAAGCATCATGGAGGAGACATGGGAGTTACTTTGAAAAAAATTTTTTGTTGTTATTCTTATTTGGCTGTCTACATTTATATGGTCCTTTGAAAAAAATTTGGAGCCACATAACGGGCAATTAAGTCCGAGGCTTCTTCAGAGCTTCTACAAAGAGCATCACAGGAGGTCATTCCTCCCCATGGTCACACACTAGTCAGTGACCATTTTCTTTAAACAATTTAGCAATTTGGTTCTGTAGGTCCAAATGACTTCATTACAAAATTTTAATTACACGATGAAACATTACTGGTTAAAACATATAAAGCCATTTAAGTTTAGATTCCAAATACTACTGTCAAATAGTGTCTACTATGAGGCCAATTGGTTGAGTTTTAAAAATGAAGAATTAGCACGGTACAGAGAGGCCGAAATGGCTCCTCCTATGAAGACACGGGGCTCAGGAGGTCAATGACTGATAGCGGTTTTAGATTTGCTTAATACTGCCCCCAAAAAATAAATTTTAGGCTTGACAAAGTATCCTTTAACTCACTTCTACGCAAATAAAGCTGCTGCGTTGTGATCAGGTTTGCACAAAGTCTGGTTTCTGGTTCTTTTTATCCTCTCCATGTCTGAAAACACGTTTTGCTTATTGAATTGTCTCGATCTGCCCACAAAGATGCCGGCTCTTCCTGGGTTCTCGTGGACAAAGCCATTCCTCTCCTCCAGGGACCTGGTGTACATCGGACTGCGGGATGTGGACCCCGGAGAGTAGTGAGTGCACGCCTTTCGATTGGAAATTTTTGTTCACTTTTGCTTCGTGTTTGGATTTTAAACCGGTTGGGTCCCCGCTTAACCGTCTTGTGTGTTTTTGCCACAGCCACTTACTGAAGAATCTGGGCATCCAGTACTTCACCATGCGGGACATCGACAGACTGGGCATCCAACGGGTCATGGAGGTCACTCTTGATCATCTTCTTTCGAGGTATCGCATACGTAGTGACGGTTGCATCCGATTTTTGCATTGATCTGGTCAACGGAGATGATTCCCCAATGTTTCAGTTAAAGCGTTTGATCAATCGTTTCAATTTTTCTGACCTCCAGGAAACAGCGACCAGTCCACTTGAGCTTTGACATCGACGCCTTTGACCCGTCCCTGGCTCCTGCCACGGGAACGCCGGTGAACGGAGGTCTGACCTACAGGGAGGGAATCTACATTACGGAGGAAATCCACAACACAGGTACTGTTTTCACGGCCACACAGACCCTCAGCGCGTCGTTCCCCGCGTCTGACCTGCGGCTAAACGTTTGGGCCTTGCAGGTCTGCTGTCGGTCATGGACCTGGTGGAGGTCAACCCCGTCCTGGGGGCCACCCCGGAAGCGGTGGAGGCCACCGCCTCTCTGGCGGTGGACGTCATCGCGTCGTCCCTGGGGCAGACGAGGGAAGGCGCCCACGCCTCCATCCACGCCATCCCCGCCGAGAAGGACGACACAGAGCAGCTCTGCCTCTGAGAGGCGCCGAGCCCCGCGCACGAACTTTACGCCATGCCTGACCATTCCACAACATTTGTCCCGTTTTTTTCGCTTCCTCTCAAAAATCCTGGAATCAGATCCATGCCTGCATTCAGAGAAAAATGATAAGAGGGCTTTAAAAAGGTTCACACTGGTCATGGTGAGACAAGCCTTTTGGCATAATTTAGAAACAATGGCACTTATTGATGGGACTATTAATCTCGATGGAAATGCTAATTTATTTTGTTACTGTGTGTCATTATTTAAGTGAGAGAACGCACCACTGCCACATATGTATCATGTGTTTGGCACATAAGGGAAGGTACCTGCCTCAAAGGCATGAAAAGGTCAGATTTTGTTTGAAGTCCAGAGTCCAATGTGGATTCGTAAATGTTTTGTGGCTGGGCCAGTTAGTTTAAAACTAGACATGTCACATTTCCCTTTTTGGACCAGCTGTAGTTACTGTATTATTACTAGAGTGAACTTTTGTATTTTCATTTGAAAACCTACCAGCACTACAACCACAATTACTGTATTAGAGTATTGACATCATGGGGAAAACAAGTTGTTTTTTAATGCATCCTTTGTTTGCTTACACGTTGGCAAATAGAAAGTATCACAAGAATAAGATTGTGCTGGTTTGCTGCTTGTTCTTTATTGGATATGGCGGTTGAATGATTGTTTTTCTTGTAACAAAGAACTTCTATTTTGGTCTTCCATAAATGTGATGACATTTTTGCCCATTTGTACAGGTGTCTCATTATTTCCCCTTTCTTTTATTTCCCACAAGATGACTTAACTTTTGTTTCTGTATAGACACAACTCACCACTAGTTAGACAAAGCAACCGCAATTCACCTCATTCTTCGCGAATGAACAAGTCTGCTCCTGCAGCTGTCTGCCAATGATCTCATAGTGCTACTCATAGGAAAACATCCTCATAAATTGTAGTAATTTCATGAGTTTATAATCGGTGAGCAATAACAATGACAAGTTAAGCCATGGATCTTCATCTTCTGTGTCGAAGATGAAGAAATATTGGAAATATAATTATGCATAAATTTAGGTTGATTTAAATCAACCCCCGAGAGAGTCTCTAAGGTTCTTGTGCCAAACCAAAACACCACCGCTTTTCACTTTGTGTTCAAATTGTACGTTGGCGTCAACCTTGAGCTGCCAGAGTGGTTACATCTGAAAATCCCAACTTATTTTTAACATTTCTTTTGACAATGCTAACAGGATACATGGCTCGCTAAGGCCCAGGCCTTCAATAAGGTTGGATAGTTAGAAAATGGGGCAGGAGCAATGCTTGGGGGATGAAAAAAAAAGGATAAGAAAGAGAAAGATTAAATAATTACCCCCTTCGGTTGTCATGGGGAATGTGAGATTTAGTTAGCGGACAGGCTTTGAGCAATGACAATGACAGAGCAGGAAGATTTGGTATGTGGTGTTCCACAGAGACGTGGTTCCATATTTCACACTCAAAATCCTTTGTTCAAGCCATTGAATACCAGGGATACAAGTAGATGGAGCAACAACAGCGGTGCATACTGATGAGAGTCTTGACTGTGGACACTGAACTGTTGGCTCAGTTTTGTGCCAAAAGTTGCAGTTAATCTATGTTATCTGATTATGTTGACAGGTTTTACAGTTTCAAACTCACCTTTTGTGCTTTTTTATGGTTGTTTTTGTACATTTTTGGCTGCCTTCCCCGGAAACGTCAGATAAGATGTAAAATGAGGTCAGAGATTAGTTTTAATAGTGCGGCAAATGTTGGCTCCTGTGATTTTAGTATCATACAGTGTCCATATGTACAGTTTAAACTACTTAAAAAAACATAAATTATTGTTAATTAAGACTATAATCATTAATCACATTCAGCATACAATTAATTTGTAGATTTAAGTCTAGTTTGCCATTACAACTATTTGGAATATGGAGTAAAAACATGTTTCATCTGGTGTCATTTCTCATTTTTCCATTGTTCATTTACGTTCAGAAGTCAAAGTGTAACAGTCACGTTACCCAATCAGAGCATTATCCATCAGATGCATTTCACATTTTCGTTTTCACCATCCAGGTGAAAGAAGTTAGATTGTCCACTGACATGTTCAGGATCTCACAAAGAACGATCCCTAGAATCCGTGGCAGGAAATAAAAATGTCCAGGTCATCATCCGGCTGGACGTCCCTGACACGGAGGGATAGAAACCGGATATGTGGTCTAAGAGTTTCTGTTCAGCCTCTTTGGTGAAAGTTCACAACCACCATATGCTTACGGGAACAGCAGAACAGTCTTATTGCTTCTGGACAGTCGGTGGGAAAGTTCCGGCTTCGCCATGCATCCACAGCTGGGTTTGCTCATTTCCGGAAGAACTTCAGGTAAACCACAGCTCCCAGAATGGCCAACTCCATGATAATAATGACAGCCAGCAGCAGCTTGTTTGTCACCAGCCTACGAGACATAACAGAAATTGGCCAACATGAGCAGGAGGCTGTGACAAAATGTTCTGTGTCTCCAAGGTACATCAAAAGATACTAAAGTTAGGCCGCAAATAACTCCTGAATGCTAAACCGCTACTTTGTTACATTTTGAAAATGAGCACATTTCAGATGAATCAAATGCAAATAATGAAAAATATCACATCCGTCGCATCAATTTGTCATAAAAAGATGAAAGGATTTTAAAACCACTGTCTGAAAGAAACTAGTCTGTACGGTTGTCTTGAAGGGGGAATACAGTTCACAGCAGCAGTTGGACAACTAACACACACACATACAGGGGTTGGACAATGAAACTGAAACACCTCTCATTTTAGTGTGGGAGGTTTCATGGCTAAATTGGACCAGCCTGGTGGCCAATCTTCATTAATTTCACATTGAACCAATAAGAGCAGACTGTGAAGGTCCAATTAGCAGGGTAAGAGCACAGTTTTGCTCAAAATATTGCAATGCACACAACATTATGGGTGACATACAAGAGTTCAAAAGAGGACCAATTGTTGGTGCACGTTTTGCTGGCACATCTGTGACCAAGACAGCAAGTTTTTGTGATGAATCAAGAGCCATGGTATCCAGGGTAATGTCAGCATACCACGAGGAGGACGAACCACATCCAACAGGATTAACGGTGAACGCAAGAGGAAGCTGTCTGAAAGGGATGTTCGGGTGCTAACCCGGATTGTATCCAAAAAACATAAAACCACGGCTGCCCAAATCACAGCAGAATTAAATGTGCACCTCAACTCTCCTGTTTCCACCAAAACTGTCCGTCGGGAGCTCCACGGGGTCAATATACACGGGCTGCTATAGCCAAACCTTTGGTCACTCGTGCCAATGCCAAACGTCGGTTTCAATGGTGCAAGGAGCGCAAATCTTGGGATGTGGACAATGTGAAACATGTATTGTTCTCTGATGAGTCCGCATTTACTGTTTTCCCCACGTCCGGGAGAGTTACGGTGTGGAGAAGCCTCAAAGAAGCGTACCACCCAGACTGTAGCATGCCCAGAGTGAAGCATGGGGGTGGATCAGTGATGGTTTGGGCTGCCATATCATGGCATTCCCTTGGCCCCATAGAAACAGCGAAGAAAGCACTTACCGCCGAGACATGGCGCGAAGAATTTTTCTACTCCGACTGAGGTTCTCTCCTGTATTCACCAACTACACTCACAGAAGAGAGAAGGTTAACAAACCACTGTCCATCCAGCTACGCTCTGAACAGCTTCTCCTCATAACTACTGAATAAAAATATGAATAAGGATTTGACTTCAGGTCAACTTCTGTGGAGAGGCGGAGCCCTGATTCTGGGCTCACCCTGTTTCTGGTTCGGTCCAGCTGCTCCCTCTGTTCGCCCAGCTCCTCGATGATATCCGAGCCGATGTGTTCCGTCTCCGCGGCGATGCGCTGGCTCCGCTCGATGCTCTGCGTGGCGCTGTTGAGGGACTCGGTGCCCTGAAGCAGCAGAGCCCGCTGCGACTGCAGGTGGGTCTGCAGAGAGGGGTGAGATTCAACCAGGATGAGCCGGGGGTTCAACACGGCTGCCGACCGGCTCCGTGTGTGTCACAGACAGCGCCGCACTCACGCTCTCTTGGTTTTGCGCCGAGTAGATGCCGGCGTGGCCTCCCGTCAGGGAGGAAGACCCGAACCCCGGCGAAGAGCTTTTCATGTCCCTCTGCAGCTTGCCCAGGTCTCTGCGGTACAGGCGCAGCTTCGTGCTCATGGCGTTTCTGAAAGAGGCGGGGGCCAGACGCAGCTCATCGTCCATTCCTTGTAACTGCAGGCAGATAAGTAAAGTATTATTTTTAAAAAACGCATGAGAGAGAAGGACGATTGTATGTCCTGCTCAGTGGAGAGCAAAAACAGTGATGCATGTGCATGTGAGAGCTGAAATAGTCAGAAATGTATGCTTTTATCGCTTAGCTTTAAAGCAAAATTGGATAGTTGTTACCTGGTTCCTGCTAGTTTTAAACCCACCCTCTAAAAATATAAAATGAAAAACTGAAAAAAAGGTGTCAGAGGTGGAAAATAAATATATTCCCTTTAAATGATTTTTAATAACAAGATGTCTATTTTTTTTATTAACAAACTTAAGGTGTATCAACTACACACGATGGAGCATTCTGTTGTCCCTTCCATTTACACAATGACTAAAAAAACTGAATAAATAACCAAGAAGCTTGCACATATTGTATAATGACTGTTAAAATGCTAAATATGGTTTCTGAACACAAAAACTTTGTCTCAAAAATTATCACATAGGTTTAGGTCCTGTACGAAAATGACAATAGTTAGACTGCCCTACCATGGACGGAATTATTCTGAACAGGCATTACATTCCGAAATTTATCAATGGGGACTTGGAAGCATTTTCTCATTTATAAAAATGCAGAAAACAGTGGTTCTTTTTTACTGTTTTGTTTAGTTTATTATTGTTTTAGGCTGTGTCCTGTATAGAAAACATTAGTTAGATCGCTCAAATCTAGACATAACATTTCCAGTTCACTCTAATAACACATTTTCTAATAGGGGGAAATATCTGGTGTTTTTATTGTTTTGCATTTGTGCCTTCCACGTAATGGGTAACTGGCATGGAAAAGGAAACAGTAAAACTCCTCATTTCTGCATTTTCTCAAACCCTGATCTAGCTACTCGTGAATTTATAGCCTCTTTTGAATAATTCTGTCCACATTTGGACAGTCTATTCTATTGCATTTTACGCCATAGAAACGAGTCTCTTGAACACAGAGGGCTCCCATCAGCTATTAGCTCAGCGAAATTTGAACTTAGGTCTCCAGTAAAGTGGACAGCAGCTCACCACTTCCTCAGCCTCCCCCTGCCTCTCATCGAAGGTCCTCACCAGCCTCTTCCTCTCCTCTACAAGCGTGAAAAAGCACAGATTTAAACGCGTTACGGCGCCTGTTCATGTCAAACGTCGTTCCAAGTCTGTCAAAAACAACACTGTTTACTTACCTCCGTGGCATTTCAGAGCCCTCTCCGGCATTAGCCTCAGTTCGTCGTAAAGAGATTTGTACATTTCGTGCAACTTCTCGAATTCTTCCGAAGACATTTTTAAGTAAATTTACCTTAGCAGGCCTTTATTTGAAGAAAAGAAAAAAAACAACGCCTAGTGAATTTTATATTTCTGTGAGAGAAAAAAGCAGTTACAAGCAAATCTGCTAGTTTTGCTTTGATGATAATCACATCCCCGGGACTCTTCCGTATTATGGTCCTCGTGACCAGGCGCCTTAAAAACTAATGGCAGATATTTAAAAAAAAATGCATTTATAAGTCAATTAAAACAAAAAATGTAACGTTTTGTTCACATAAATCGTAGTAATAGTACTAACACTGGTTTATTGTTTGGCAAGACTTAAAAAAGTCCATCAATGACTATTTCGCTCAGGCACTGAATAAGTCAGTAGCTCTGTTTTCTTCTGGGAAGTGTAGTTTTTAGGCGCGAGAAAGTCAACTTGTTTTATTCAGGAATTATGTTTAATTTTAATTTCATAATTAAAAAAAAACAATTTTGCTCGTGAAGTAGGAACAAGTCCAGCTTTTGCAGCTAAAAATGTTCACACTTAAGTAGCATTAAAATTACGTCGTATATACTTGTTTAAATAATTAGATTTAAGTTATTTTTATTTTCACTTAATCGGTTTTAATTTCACAACTGTGCATGTGTTTCTGTGTATTTTGGGGCGTCTTCAACTATCATTTTAAGTGTTTATTGTTTGCTATTCGAATACTTAATTTTGTAGAAGAATATCATGAACGTCTACAATGACGTGATAACGCGTTATAAGAGATTAATAACCTCTTAATACTACTACTAATAATAATAATGACAATATACAATAAAAACCCATCTTGAATCAGAGAAACTACAAGACACCACAATATTCTGCCATTCTGACAGCTCACAAAAACTACAATCCCATAATTCCGCTGGTTACATCCTTCCTCCCCGCTGCGCTTTTCACCTCGTTCAGCTTTGACATCAGCTGTTCTGCCTACACATCAGCTGCATCCTGCTGGAGGAGACAACAGAGGCGCAGATTCCGTGGCATGATGTTTCTATTATTAATCATCGCAAGTTTCTGCGCGGTGACCCTGCTGGTCATTTTATTTGCGGCACATATACGGTAAGGGGGGCCCCAATTCATTCAACCGTTATTAGAAATGCTATGTCCGACACGTCGCTGGCAGGTTGGCACTTGGCTGACAAGACGTTGCAATGCTCTGATGTAAGAACAACGATAACAGATCCAACCCAAAATCTGCTCATTTTACTCAAATATGATCGATTTCCTGTTTCATTTTTGTACTCCTCCTCTATGATTCGCGAATGATATAATATCGGAGCCCAAAAACAATCATTGGTACAGAATGATGGAACTGTGGGAGTGTTTTTTTTTTCTCCCAAAGAGATGAACCGGGGGTACTCGGTCTGAGCTGCTCGGGCCTATCAGGAGCCTGAGCGTAGGAGGTGTTATGTTTGTATGCATTACTCCACCGTGGCCATTGGTTATGGGGCGGCCCTGTTCTCAGTGGCGTGTTTCATACGAACTTGACGCCCCATGTACAGTTCATCGACCAAGAGTTTTTCTCTACCAATAATTAAGCCAACCAGCCCGTGTCGGACCATCTCCAATAACTTTCACCCGACTTCAGAACGGGTCGCAGGCCCATCCAGGCAGAACTGTTTGTTGTGCAATGTGATGCAGCGTGTTGCCTTTTTAAAATCTGCTTTTGAACAGAAGATATGCAGCGGGAGGAGTTTGCAAGTCAATGACACACCTGGATGGGAAGACGGTGCTCATCACTGGAGCCAACACGGGGATTGGGAAGGAGACGGCCCTGGACCTGGCCCTGCGAGGTGACCTGCCTCCCCATCCACTTCCAAATACATCCACATATAGAATGAACGGAGAAAGAAAGAATGAAGATAAAATGTCTGATGACTTCACCTCCATTGTAAACTTAAGGACCTGGTTTGAGATTCCCTAGATATACTGCCCCTCACTGTCAGTGACCTCAATTATTTTAAAGACCCTAAAACTCGGACAAGCTTTAGACTACTGGGTCAACACGCTGCCTAAACCAGAACCAGAATCCATCTTGGAAAAAAGTCATCTGCACCACCAAAGCTAACTTATCTCGTCTTTCTTCGCTTAATATAATTTCGGTTTCGTTTATAGTTTAGCTGCCATTGCCTTTTTTGACCAACCAGGAGCTCGGGTGATCATGGCCTGCAGAGACGTGGACAAGGGCGAGGAGGCCGCGGCCAGTATAAGAGCCGCCCACCCGGGAGCCCGAGTGGAGGTCCGAGAGCTGGACCTGGCCGACACCTGCTCCATACGGGCCTTCGCGCAGAGATTCCTCAGAGGTGGGTGCGGATCAGCTCGTGCTCGCTTCCAGGTTTGTTTTTTCTAATTACACTTTTTACATTTTGTGGCATTCTCTTCCCCAGAGGTAAACCAGCTTCACATTCTTATAAACAATGCCGGAGTCATGATGTGCCCCTACATGAAGACAATCGACGGCTTCGAGATGCATATTGGAGTCAATCATCTGGGTAGGGCCTTCCAGGGGTTAACCGGAACCCCACACATCATTCTACCACACAGAGAGACCAAAAAATAATAATAAAAAAATTAGCCAGTGGTTGGGTGGATCCACACACGACCCATACCTCCATATTTGTCTCCCACATCATTTCGATCAGGCTTCAAGAACAAGCACATGTGCAGTGTCCAAATAAAATCAGATTTTTAAGACGCGTTGTCGGTGCTCAGGCGTCTGTGAACTCTCCGTGTGCCTCACTTGTTTGTGGCAGGTCACTTCCTGCTGACGTACCTCCTGATCGGGCTGCTGAGGCGGAGCGCGCCGGCCCGCGTGGTGGTGGTCTCCTCCCTGGCGCACAACTTCGGCTGGATCCGTTTCCACGACCTCCACAGCCAGGGCAGCTACAACAGCGGGCTGGCCTACTGCCAGAGCAAGCTGGCCAACGTGCTTTTCGCCAGAGAGCTCTCCCGCAGGCTTAGAGGTACACAAAAATTAGAAGAAAAACAAGAAGATCTCTATTTTCCTTTTTTCAAGTCTTCCGCGTTTTCTTTGGTGCTCTTATTCCGTCCGCCCTTCCACAGGCACGAACGTGACGGTGAACTCGGTCCACCCGGGAACGGTGAACTCGGACCTGACCAGGCACTCCACCCTCATGACCATACTGTTCACCGTCTTCTCCATGTTCCTGAAAACGCCACGGGAGGGAGCGCAAACCAGCATTTACTGCGCTGTGGCCGAGGAGCTGCATTCCATCTCGGGGAAGCACTTCAGGTGGGAGGAACCGCCAGGGGATGCTCAATCAGAAAAGGGGACATAGCTTCTGGAGGATGAGGGATCTTTTTTTCCTACTCAGGGGAGAGAAATTAAAGATACAGAAAACCTGAGATCTGAAGAGCTAACTTCTGTGGGTCAATAATGATTGACTCGTAGCTGGGCTGCTGCATGTTTAGAGTTCTAAACAGCCCTCTATTAAAAAATACTGTAAACCTCAACAGGCATGTCAGGTTAATCCCAGCCAAATTGTTCAGCTCAGTATTTACAACCCACCTGCTGCCGTGCCATCGGAGAGTCTTTTTTTATCCGTTATATGTTTGGATTACATCAGAAGCATTTGGGTTTTCTCCAAACAAATCCCAAGCACACACACACACGTGACCATATTACCCAGAGAAATACTTGGTTCTGCTCCTGTTGAAAACATCCACGGTTAAAGTTGCCAATAAGTGGGGGGGGGGGTCCCTAGGTCTTAAAGGACAAGTGGTTAAGTTTAAGTCTCTGTAGCCTCTACCTCCACCTTTTACCGTGTCCTCAGTAGGATTCCTACAACCCCTGGATGGCAGGAGTTTAAAACAGGAACCTTTCAAGCTGGTTTCCAATAAGAATTTCACTCTGCAACAACACGCAAAGTCAAAGTCAAAGTGGATGGCTGCAAATAGAAGGAAGACACATGCCAGCATGGGCGCTTACATAACCACTGCCCCCCTTTCTTTTCAGCGACTGCACCCCTGCCTTCGTGGCCCCTCAGGGAAGGAGCGAGGAGACTGCAAAGAGGCTGTGGGACGCCAGCTGCGAGCAGCTCGGCATCGAGTGGGACTGATCCGACTTTTAACTGCCGCCCGTCCCATTTCTCCAAGGAGCACTTAATATTTCTGTCATTTCATTTTAAAGAAAAATTGTTTTTCGTTTTTCGGCTCTGATGTTCTGTACTTTGAACATTTCTTACATAATGAGCAAGTCAGGTAAATTAAGGTAGAGGTTATAGATACATGTGAAGTTTTCTGTTTCTTTGTGATACAATCACATCATAGGAGGCCGAGTTTTCTGGTGCTTTGCGACAGCTCGTCAGACCAAAACCACTCTATTTTTGTATTTTGGAGACACCGTGTGCATACAGTGAAGGGGTCAACGCAGGGTAATAGACCAGCATCTTTTTCCGAGCATTGTCTTTTGGTCTTCTCCAGAATTTGCATCTACGTGAGTCAATTTCAGCGCCAGCGTTTTTAAAAAAATTGCAGGGGTTCGCCACACGTAGACCCATCAGACATCGGCGTCACCGGTCCAGCTCGGTTTGCATAAATACATCTGCCGAAGCACAAGTTAAGGAGGTTTTTCCTTTTCTTTTTTTCATGCTTTGGACTAATCAGAGCTGGAGTCATTTCACTACAAACCGACCGTGATATTATTCCCAACTTTCACTGGCAGTCGGGCACTTCTTGAACACCTGCAGTGTTAGTATTTTTAAGGACCTCCCTATTCATGTTTCCTTTGCAGCATTTACACCTACGGTTGCCAAGTTTATATGCCGTGTTTTATACAAATCAAACATGCCTTTTACTACACTTATAATCATGTCAAGAGTTGAATGTTTACATTTTATGTAAATAAACAGAATTATTGCTATTACGGTTTTCTTTTTTTTAATTTAGTAATCTTTAGGGTCCCACTCTGTGGATGATTTTCCTTATTAATATGCTAGAGGATGAGCAAAAATGAGCTCTCAGTGCCGTGCTGATTATATCTGCCTCAGACAGATGAGGTGAGAGATCTTATGCATGTTATGCATAGAAACTGAACAGCTCATTTCCACAGACAGCGAGGGACAGATACCCGTTTGCATTTTATTTAGCAGATTTAAGCATTTTAGACAACAACAAAAAAAGATCACGGGGATACGCAGTGAGTAGTTTCTGTTGTTCTGTTGTTTCTGTCCAACACAATACGCCCGGGCTCACGGGGTCTCTGGTTTCTCAGAACTGCTTTAACCTGCTTGCTGAGCAGGTCTGCCGGCATCTTCCTAAAAGTTAGGCGAAGGTGGGCAGGCGCTTTCTTACAGAAATCCTAAAATAGCAATCGTGACCATTCTTTGAATTACAGTTTGCGCGAGTTGCCAAATGGGTGTGTAAAAGAGAAACAGAGAGAGAAAGAATAAGGGGATGGATAATCAAACTCCATGTCTTTTCACTCTGCATATTAATGTGTTTGACGGTTCTATAAGAATTTAGCACCAGTAGACACACCAACACGAAAAAAAACAAAAAATGTTGCACATTTAACAGTATTCCATATTTCTGAATATTCCTTTTTTATTTTGTCATTTCATTTACAGGTGAAGGAGTCCCTGCATCATTCAGGCAGTCTCTATAATTCATATGTTACAGTTTTTTTTGCCCAAAGATTTAAGTATAAAGTGCGGCAGTGATGAGTCACAGCAGTCAAAGTTAAAGAGGCTTGGAGTCCATCTCAAGTCTAAATTAGTATACTGTATCTGCAATAAGAGCTCAACGTAACAGGAAGATGTTCCGCTAGACCATGTGACCAAAATACTGACATACTCAGAGAAACAGGCAGCATCAGCTGATTGTTATGTTAACAGACAAAACACATTTAAAAAGGAAAAATCCCTTTTTCTCAAGTGAGTTACTGTCATTTTATGCAATGCAGACATGTCACACAGGGAAAATGGCTTCAAAAAAGAAACACCAGGGGGGTTTCTGGTGAAGTCTCCGAGCAGGTCCCTTTCTGTATCCCACCCAAAACTATACATTTGCCTTTGTAAGTTTCTCAGCAGCAGCTCAAATACCTTTGAATGCTTAAAATAACTCCGGCTGCTACGTTATAATTTATTGAAAGCAGGGAACAACGTGTTCTGTAAGAGAAAAGACGGCACTCTGCTTCATTGTCCTCAGAAAAACAAGACAATTAATATGTATGATTCTCAACAGAGGACGGGGGAAAGTTTTGTATCGCTCAGAGAGAAAAGCAACAGAAAATAAGCAGGAGAGATAGGAGATAAGGGGGGAGTTTGAGTCAGAGATGTTTTCCCTTTCTGCCGAGACAAGTTTGTAGCGTGACTGTACCTATTTACAAAGTTGTGGTTGGTTTGTGTAACGCACAGTAACAGAGCTCGTCATAGCTTCCTTCAAAGTACTGTAGGAATGAGTCATTCCCAGGATAAAGCACGGCGGTGATTCACAGCTTTACGATGGCAGAGATGCGACTCGGTCGAAGAGAGGTGCCAATCCTGTTTTTGAGAGGTTCTACTCTCAATGAACTCTCAGGGTTTCTCAACATTATGTCAACCAGGTGCTGCTTTCATGTTAACTTGTTAGCCATGGATTTTTTAGCTGTGCTGTTGAAAGGGGCTAATTAGTTAAATAAGAAAAAACAAGTCTTCTGTGACAGGAAGTGTGCGGTTTGAAGATAAAAATGGTTAACGTTTTCTACAAAAAGCACTTCGCATTTATTCTTTAAATTGGCAGCTCACGACTGCATTAGCCGCAGCACATGAGCGCCACCTTGTGGGTTTCTGGCTGTGAAATTCTCGTATGGTATGTGATGTGAGGTCTGGGAACTAAAAAGATGACTGAATCTGTTGTTTCTCAGCATTGGTGGGGTACTCTTGAGGCAAAACAACTCTACATGCTGATTAAAAAGCGTGTGCTAAGGAGTTAGCATGCCTTCAACGCCGTTTATTCTACGCTTTTTAAAGGTGTAGAAATTTGACTCGTTCCCCTCTACATAAACCCTGAGAGCTCTCCGTACCACCTGAGTGCTACTCTGTGATGGCGACCTCGCCTTTACCTCGCATTAGGTCGGCCCTGGCGCTGCTGAGGTGATTTGTTATGCTCGGAGAGCCACTGACGACAGATATTCTGCATCACAGAGTCCTGCGCTCCCTCGGCTGCTTGGAGGACGTCCTGGACTAACGGGCCGGCTCTGGTGGGCTCCAGCTTCACAGCCAGCAGGTAGGCTGGCCTCAGCTTGCTGCACACCAGGTAGGCTTTTATCTGGACAGAGGATTTAGGACAGGAAGAACATCAACTATGGTCATTTTGTGTTGAGTCACTTTTCTGAAAAAAAAAAAGAGGTCTAGCTGTTGTGACACTGCAATATGTATACAAATCAATACCACAAATGGGAGTGATAATCACAGTTAAAGACTGGGAAGTTTTGTCTTTGGCCCTAAAAGTGAAGATTTAAGGCAGTATGGCTTTTTTTGTATTGTATGGTCTTTATCGAGGAATCTCCAGAAATACAAGATGGGGAAAAAATCCCAAAATACTGCAGTATATCAAAATGTATGAATAAAGCAGTTATTAGTGGTGCCCAAACAACCATTACATAAAAACAATAATGTCACTAGTGATAAAGGTTAGTCTGTACCCTGTCCCTGATAAATGAATTCATCAAAAGACAGATTCAAGGCCATAATGACCTCTACATTTGTAAATGATGAAAGAAAAAATAACTAAAGAAAATGAAACATCAGGCACCTTGTTCTCTGTGCTCTTTATCTCCAAGATGAGACTCTCCACGTCCTTGGCCTAAACCAAAATAAAGATTACAATGGTCAGTGTGTCTGAGCACGGACAGCGTAGAACCGAGTCAAGGTGGGCAATCGAGGGGCATTTAGTTGATCTTGGTCGAACATCCTCCAAGCTATTTCAGCCACTCACATCGGCCGGTCCCTTATCAGCAGTGGACACACAGCTGAGGAGGAGGGCGTCGCAGTCGTTCTTGGTGGCGGTGCCTGATTCGCCCACGCACTTCAACAGCTGCCGCACGGCTCCGTACTGCCTCTGTCGGACAAGCCTGTGGCCAGCGCGGACATAAACGGTCTGCGCATCCAACTGGAAGTCCTGAAGGGACAGAAGAGAGAATAAACAGATTTATATACCCAAAGCTTTGTACAGTATTTTACAGTATGAACGATGCCCGGATAAAGACACCTACATGTCCTACATAAGATACATTTGTCTACAGTTTTTTTAATCATTATCATAGTTATGTTTATTGTTTATTTGTCAACAAAAGGCCATTCAGAACTTATAATGCTATTCTGATTCTTTAACTTAGAGAAGAAGGTGCCCCCTACCTACTCGACTCATTACCATACCTGTATGACTCTGTAAGCAATGCCGAACCCCTCCTCGATGTTTTTTCCTCCGAGCATCACCTGCAATGTCACAAGAAAATGCTGCAGAACTGCAATAAAAACCCCTTCATGTTCACATAAAATCTCCAGTTAAGGGCATTTGAATCAAATACATGAAACCACAGGGTTACCTTGCAGGCGACCTCAATCTTCGTCTGGCTTCCAGCAAACAGTGTCGGTAGTGAAGTGGATCCGGAGGGCTTTGCGGGAGGCACGCTGGTCTGTGAGGTTTTCGACGATGTTGCAGTCTCACAGCGGTGGAGGAAACGAGTCACTTCCAGCTGGAGCTCAATTGTATTCATGTGCCTGGTGAAAGTGATAGAGACAAAACAAATGAAGCATATTTAAAAGAAACGATTCTTTAACAGAGAAATGTTTACAAAAAATTTAAATCAAATAACCTGGACACGTCACTGGATGACATCGTTTTCCTGAAAGAGTTGACTTGAGACTTCCTCCTCACAGCACCCCGACCCTGCTGCTCCTGCAGGTATGTCTTCAGGTGCTCTTTGGCTCTGACCAACCAGCGCTGTGCAAAATCAAGGGCAAGCAGGTTGACAACACCCCCTTTTATTCTCTCTTTGGCTGCATTAATGTATGACTTAAGAGAAGTACCTGCTGGTCTCCCAGCTGTTGGTAAGAACTAGCTCCATGCGTGAAGAATCGTATGCAGGTCATGGCCGCGCGCACATGATCCTGTCAACAGGAAAACCAATACACAACAATAAAACAGCGCATTTGAAAATAAAATACCAAACAAACCCCAAACTGTTTCAGTAACAAGTGAAAAAGAGGCGATTTTCACATTTAAAAAGTACATCTTCTATAGTGTCCCACTGCTTTGGTAAATGAACTGCTATGTTTTACATTAACTTTGAAATAACCAATTATATCTGTGGGCCGTGAATCCTTCAAAATGTGCCACCATCATGTTTCTGCACCACCATCGCACTCCTATTGGAATACTTTCAACAGAAATACCATAAAGACGAAAAAAAGCTTTGTTCAGAAAAAGAAGAACAGAAAGACAGTACTGAAATCTTAGGGCAAATGACAAAGAACTGGACTATTTAAACTCCTCGGAGACCTGAGTGCGAGCTGGGAAGGATGATTAACAAATAATAGCTAAGCCACCAGGACAACTTTTCAACGCATCTGTAATGAAAATGTAACTTGCTATCTTCTAAAATTCTTACAGCAGGTAAATGGTTACTAACAAAATAACATGGATGAGTCACCTTTAATTTCTTAAATTTTAAGCAAACAGGTCATTTAAAAATGTTCAGATTGGGTCACATGTAAAGGAAGACTACCATCATGAACTGCTGGAGTTGGTACAAACAGTGGTAGTATCCCCGCCGCTGCAGGAACTGGCAGGATGCGATGAGATAGCGACTGCATGTTTCCAGACTGGGGTCTAGTTTTTCCATTATGCCTTGCAGCATGCCAAGGCGCCCCCTCTCCAGACTGGGCTGCAACACCCCCTCCAGAAATACCTCCTCCGGACAGTCCTGAGCCACGGGGGAGTAAAAACACACATGTGAAACTTGGAAGAAAAAAAAAGTATGCATATATAGTTGTATGCAGCTCATGTTGCAGAAGTAAGAAAGAAAAACGCAGCCTTTTGGAGAACCATTTTGAGAGCACAATCAGCAAAAAACTGTAAAAACATAAGTTTAGAAACAAAAACAGCCTCATGGATCCTATTCCTGGCACTGAGTGAAGAAACCTGACAACATACACCCTTTTGAAACCTTGGCAACAGTTAAGACGTCAGATGTTCTTCGAGCAAACTACATCGAATGAGGACTTCTCTATTTTAAGTCTCATACTTAAAGCAACTTGCAGTTCAGCCTTACACTTACCTTGTTGAGGAGATATGCCATGGCCTCTGTCACACGGTCATGACGCATGTGGAAGCTGATCAGTGCCAGGTGAGTGCCGTACGTGTTCAAGTAGTAGAGACACTCCTGGTGGAGGTGGTGGCTCTGATTTGGTGTCTCCTGTCGCTCTGCTTGGCTGGTCTCGTTCAGGATGTCCTCAAGCTCTTGTAGGGATGCCAATATGTCTTCACTGTAAGACTGACAAAATATGTGGGGGCACATAGGGTCGTGAATCTGCATGTGCACTTAACACATGCACACAAGTGTTTATCCTGTTGTCTAATTATTGCCTCGAGCCACTCTAAGCTGAAATTAAAACCATCTCGGAGGTTCAATCTTCAATTACAGCAGCTTTTTATTGTAAATTATTCACGTTATGTTTATTAACATTTTCATTTTTTAAAAATGTATAAATCAAGTTTCGCATTAGGCTTGAACTCTAAGACCCTGCAAATGCTGCATCAGGTCAGATTAAGTGATCTCAGGTCTCGTGTTTCTGTAAGTGTGGATGATCCAAAGCAACCTGGGCCAAGAAAATCAACACGCCGAACGCAAAGGACAGAGTCCCCATACCACGGACATAGAGGGCCGGACAGTCATCTCCAGGTGCTGGACAATCTCCTGCAGCAGAGGGGCCCCCTGGCCGAGCTGGTTTCTGTCCACTGGAATCCTGAGGCAGCGGCCAAACTTCTCTCTTGCTCCTGAGAGGTTTCCTGCCTTCAGAGAGGCCATGGCCCACGCCTGCCACACGCCACCGGGGTCAAGCCCGCTCTTGGTCGACACCTGGCAAAGCAGCCAAACAACCAGAGAAGAATGGAATTACAACTTTGACGTAAAAAATAATAATAATAATTTTAAATAAACAGATAAATGAGCGAATGGAGAACACAACTCCTCACCTCCACTGCCAGCTGGTAGTGCTCTGCTTCCAGCAGCTGGTTGCGGAGGCGGGTGACCGCTGATGTCTCCAGAATGTCATCCAGAGAAGGAATATATTTGTAATTGGCAGTAACTAGAATCTTCAGCACGTCAACTTTGCTGATGTAACTGAAGACGGGGAACATAAAGAAAATCTGTAATAAGAGTCTACGCGCTGTGTGACCATGGCGCTTACATAATGAAACCATATAAAGGGGACAAGTATCGCCTTACCTGTCACATAAAGCAAGATCCTGGCTGCGTCCGACTTTTACAAACATCAACTTGGCACTGAAGAGTAGCTGCCGCATGATGTCGGTGAGGAGGCAGGCGTCCACCTCTGGGTTGGTCAGTTTACGGGACAGGGAGCGGCAGTGGTTGATGAGCTGGTGACCGCAGGCAGTTTGGTCACTGTGCAGAGACAAAATAGCCACGCAGAGGTGTGCACTTGGAGCCTGTGGGTGGATTAGCAAAACATGTTAGTCTGAAAAGGACGTAGCCAATTACACTGAAAAACAAATGAGGGTACTTTTAAGGATTCTTAAAGGATATTAAGTTCCCATATTCAAACATTTGCTATAATACACCTAATATTTCAGAAAAATGGTATGGATTTAGTGTTTAAAATTGTGATGCTAGTAGAGTCTGAAATGGTTCTTCAGTTATAATTGTGAACTGGTAGGGACTAGTTAATGAGACTTTCCAACAGACAAGAGAAGGAGACAAAATAAGGGTTAAAGGATGGGCCCAACACATGCAAACACAGACCTGCTCGTAGTAGAACTCGCTCCGCAGCAGCTGGGTCTCAGCAGGGTCAGTGCTGAGTTGAAACTGTCGATGGACCACTTCAGGCAGATGCAGCATCCCATCAAGCGTTTCCACTCTTACCATAGGACTGACAGCCACTGCACAAAGACGAAAGGGACACGCGGTCAAAGCTTTGCATTTTAGCTCATTTTGGGAAAGGCTGCATTTGGAATTTTGTTGTTGACAGGTGTTGTTTTTTTAAAGCAAGTTAAGATTCAAAATGTTATTTCTATGACACCTGTATAACTGTAAAGAGGATGATTTACCTTCAGCAGGTTCCAGCTCATTATCAGAACTGTGAAAGACAAAGAAAATGAACGCAAGTGGATTTAAAGTCACAGAAACATGATGCATGTAATTTGTCTACTTAACAAAAGACATAAGATTCCATATATACATATTAATCCAGTGTTGTACATTCTTTTGTTTAGAGTTCCTGTTGAGAATATAGCACTTCCGATACTTGAAAAGGGGCTTACTCTGGGTGAAAGAAGGCGTAACATTGGTCACAGACTCTGACGGGTTCCTCTCCTGGAGTCCCATCAATAAGCATCTTCTGCTCAGAGCAAGCCTGGCAAACAAGGCGCCCACATCTCCGACAGTGATGCCGTCTGTTGAACTAAAGAGACAAAAAAAGACAAATTCTGAGAATAAACCGCTCTCATTCTGAACTTTTACACAAAAAATACACGCAGAAGTATAATTTCCTTCTCATACCATAGTGAACCGCTCCCGCCTGCAGACCATGCAAACATTGTGCTGGGTGTCAGGGACCCAGTCTTTACGGTCAGGGGGCTGATCGGGGGGCTGGAACAAGCGCCGCTTTCGTCCCGATGAGCCTCGATCTTTCTCCCTGTCTGTGCTGCTTGCAGAGGCCGTGCGTGTAGGGGTGCTGCCTGTAATCAAACAAAAGAAGAGATGTAATCATTCAAGTATCGTGTTGCCGTTATTTCTAAACGCGTGAGCGTGTCGTACTTGAGGAAGACGCAGGAGATTCAAGTCGGGTGGATGACTGAGAGCTGCTGTCTTGAGCGGGGCACTGCATTAGCACCTCCTGGAGACTGATAACCGAGTCTGAAAGACCAAGTGGATGATGCTTAAACACAATAATTCAGTAAGAATAGACACAATGTTTCACACTAAGACCTCCAATTTCATTCTCAGGTTAAGAAACTTTGCTAACTTTGTTCAGTATGTACAGTACTGACCAGAGCGAGACCTCTCTCTGGGAGCGCACGAGAAATCAAGGGCTCTGCCTGCGTAGTCTGCCAGAAGTTTATCGATGTCCTCAGCACCAAAACCTGCTTCCTGACCAACCAAAAGGCTCCGAAGGGTTCGCACTGCAACCTCAGCCCATTCCACCTTCAGGTTCATCAACAGCTGCTCCAGCATCAGCAGCGGCTCTGACAGAAGGTGGAAATAGTCCTGCCTGGCAGCCTGAGGCAGAGTCAGCAACACCTGGACAAAAAAAACAGTTCAGGTGGGGAAAAAGACAAAAGCCTTTCATGTAGAGAGCCACAATGTATCAGAAAAATACTCCAACCAAACACACATTTAGTAAAAAGATCATCTTTCCTGTCACTTGAGATAATTTGTGTTTTTGTATGGTTTTTATTTTGTGGTAGATCTCCTTTTTAAATAATATCTAACCGTAAAATCATTATGGGACATGACTGTCTAAATGTTTGCCTTTAAGAAGTTTAAAGGGAGTTGCGATGCATCTATTAACATAAACAAACCTTGGACCCCAGATTAAGAGTATGGATGTGCTGTCGACGTGCTGGAGAAACATGTCTATGGAAATGTAGGGTGAGGTAGTCGGCCAGAAAGTGGCATGCAGCCAATCCGGGGTGGCGATCCAGAGCCCGCTCACATACATCGAGACCCACGTCTGAAATACTCTCAAGCAGCTAAAAAACAGAGAAAAATACAAGTAAGTCTTAGCTAAAAACTGACCATTTATGGAGCACATTGATAAACATTTGGGCACTTTAGTCCTGCTAATTAGCTTTAATTCAAAGATTAAATTAGCATTCCCTGGCAAATTTTTTGATCAATGTGTTTTACATCCTTAAATGGGAGCTGGATGTAATCTGTTAAGAAGCTGAGAGCTCTGGACCTGAAAAGCCTCGTCTGTCTGCCCCTTTTCCAGAAGGCAAAGCAAATGCTCAGTCTGCAGCTGCAGCCCCAGCTGCCCAGACACAGGATAGAGCTCTACCCACTGCTCACAAAGAGAAAACTCCTGTAAAAAGGAGAAAAAAAATGTTTACAGAATCGTTGTGAACACTTATTTTCAGGTAAGAGTTGTGTTGAAATTTAGCTGAACCCACTTTTGCCTCCAAAATCATGGAGAATACCGTATCAGGGTTTCTTTTGGATTCTGCTCCCAGCTCCTGCCAAGTGGCCCATGGTAAAGGGGGCTTTAAATCAAGCATCTGAGACAGATAGAATACATTTGTTAAGTCATGGGGAAAATTAAATTAGCCAAAGATATAGCATCGCGCTGCTTTTTGTGCATAATACTAAGAGGTGCTTAAATACAGCCTTACACGGCCATAGATGCACAGTTCCTTGTTCTTGAGCTCTAGGTCAGTCTTCAGCGAGGTTTCTGTGTTAGGGTCGTTGAGGCAAAACTCAATCAGCTCCTGACAGGCTGACAGAGGCCATCGCTCCAGAGCCTGAAGGGCAACGCGGGCTCGCATGCTGGCGTCCTGGATTCGGAACAGCTGGCTAATCCCTTCATCCCCATCTGAACACAGACAATCAGATAAACAGATGACGATTGGTTACATGCCCCTGGCTTATTCACTATCTTTGATGATTGCCGAGTTATGTAGTTGTGATGTTAAGGTTTGACTCAAGACCTTCAATGCTGTCACCACATCAGCTGAGTCTTCAGATATAAGCTGCTTTTCAGTTGGAAGTACCAACTCGTTCCTCACCTTCTAAAGCTGCACAGGCGAGTAAGCGATCTCTTAGCACCTTCTCCTGGTCACAGCCTTGCCCATACAGCTCCAGCAGAGAGAGGGCTCGGGATAGGTCTCTGGAGACGAGGGCCTTCTGGAATGCCTCAGCAGCCACAGCCTGAGCCGCTTCATCCTGAGGCCCCGCAAACAGGAGACTGACAAGTGCTTTGTTGCCACAGATGACTGCCCCAAGTTCAGCCGGGTTTCCCTCTCCTTCGCTCATTGAGGAGCCCAGGAGTGGTTCTGCCATGGCGTAAAGGTACGCCCGCAAAACCGGGAACTGCTTAAGGAGGCCGTCAGCTTCTCTAGAGATCTGCTCTCCGTCTAAGACGCCGTCTTTACGGCCGCTGCGGAAATACCCAGACCATCCAGAGGACTGGGTTCGAGCCGCTTCCCCCTTACAGGCACTCAGGCACGCCAGCGTGGCCAACAGAGGGGAGCGAGACTTTAGGAAAGTCAGGGCTGATGCAGATAGTACATAGGAATTGGGGGAGGAGGAAGAGGAGGAGGAAGAAAAAGATGACGACTGAGAGGGCGGAGATGTGGAGAGGTTAGTGGTTGTGGCAGAGTGGTCTTCCACAGAGGCCTCCGACTCAGAGCTCACGTCAGAGAGAGGCTCTGTGATTCCCAGAGTTGTCAAGTGGTCCTGAGCATGCTGCTGGAGCATTAGAGACAAGGCTGCTACGCTGAACGGGCCGTCAGCTTTCTTGGCCTGATCGGAGTCCGTTTCGTCACCCGGACAGGAACGCCACACTGGCAAGACCTCACAACACTTCTGGACAATCACCTGCTGGACACTCAGTCGCAGACCCTCCTGCTGCAGTAAGGACAAAACTCTGGGGATAAAACAGGGCATGCAGAAAATGAAGAAGCTGTCAACACAAAGTTTTGGTTTTGTTCTTTCTCAATGATGTACAACCACACTATAAAAAAACTGATCTGATGTCAAATCTCTGTAGTGTGCTTATCTGACCTAGATCCTGTTGGTATAAAACCTAACAGTATAGAAACTTTATTAATAGACTTTGTTAAAATATAATTATTTTACATTCAACATCTATAACCACACAGCATAGCTGACCAGCAACTCTCTTACAGTGTTAAATGCTGGATGGAAGAAAAATCTCCACCATTCTTACTTTTGGATTTGGGTCTAAATCACTCATAGCCACAAGAGTATATTCAACTGGACACATATTGAGCTAGAAATTTATCTAATTATATGAGCCATGGCATTCAGAATCAGAGAACTTCATCTATTAAAATGACCTAGAGCAAGTTTTTCAGGAAAAGCTAACCCATTGTGTTGTTCCTGTTTGATTTGCGGCAGTTCCTTTTGTAAAATTCATTTACAAACAGTCTCCAGAACCCTGAAAAATCTCCTAAAACAAATTTGTACGATCTTTGTATTCAAACCATGCAAAACTATATAGATTTTTTCCCCCAAATTGGTGTCAAACAGGTCATAACACAGTTAAAACAAAGTTTTCACACCTTATTTCATTAAAGGGTGAAGCTTAAATAGCATAATGAGATTTGCTCGGAGGCAAACATTCGCAGGAGCTTGTATCTCTAAGGTAAGGAATATTAACACATTCAATTTCAAGGCTCTTGTCGAATTGTCACAATGAAGGGCTATGGTCACTGTACCTGTCAGGGGAGACTTGTCTGTCAAACAGCAGGTAGGATATGAGCTGGAATGGGGTTTGAAGCACCACCAGCAGCGAATTTCCCAGCTTTGTTTCACTGCCCTGGTCTAGAAAAAAAGTGGGAAAAAAGAGGCAAATCAAAAGAAAAAGGGGCCTTTGAAGTCATTCTACTCTGTTAAAGTTAAATGGAACTTTTTCAATGTCCTAATAAAGCACAGGCCAAAGAATCAGGAAACAACTGTTTCTTACACTGTCACTATTTGCTCAACAACAACAAAATTTTTTTAGCTTTGCTTCGTTCATTAAACTGATAAGGAATTTGGCAAAGAAAAACCTTTTGTACAATTTCCAGTCTTCCCACATTAAATATCCATGAAAGTTAACAGCAAGGTTAAATCATGCAATGCCCAACACACCCAAGAATTATTACTTAGATCCGGTTAAGATCCGACTCTAAAAGCCAGAGAGCACCTGATGTGATGTTCATGACTTAGTACAATGAGCCACAACTGAACAAATATGGTAGTATAGATTGGAATTTTTGTTTAGGGAAATGCAAACAACACTTTTTCGGCCGTCGCTGGCTAATTGTTTTACCTTCTGAACTGAGGCTGCGCACTACCACAGATGCTAACGTGTTGACATAGTCGAAGAAACTGCGCACGTAATCTGGCCTGGCGAGGTCTCTGTCTGGCTCGAAGGGGCAAAGCTGATCCAAGGAGCGAAGCAGCTGCTTCATGTTGGAACGCACAGGATGCGAGTCCAGCTCAGACTGCTTCAGACTGGCCTGTTCAACCAGCTGTGCCAGAATCGAACTGCCCACAGTGTCCTCTGTTGCATCAGGAACAGACCAAAGAGGCCCCGTAAAAAAAAAAAAGTGACAACAAACATACAATCTGATAAGATTAGAGTTTTAAATTACAATGTGATGTCTCTACGCAGAGATCAGTGCTTTGCCGACCTGTGCCATCTACAGCCGTGCTCAAAATGTGAAGGGTGTTCTCTAAACGTTGAGTCAGACTGAGCCTTGCAGCGATGCTCTCCTCACTCAGCGTCGGGTGGCAGCAGAGCAGAACTTCCTGGATGCAGCCACCAAAGGGGTTGGTAAACAGCTGATCTTCTCCGATGGCCTCTGTTGGCAAAATGGGTTAGTAAAAAAAAACTTTGATGTTTATTCAACTAATGAAAAGGGACGAGGCTTTCACCTGGTTTGACGCAGCCTTTATGAGTAGCTGAATGATTCAGGATTTTGCTGAGCCGTTGAAGGACCATGGGAAATCCACAGATCCCCTCGGTATGAGGCACTTTTGGATCAACTCTTATTCCTAGGGAAACAGACAATTAAGCAATTAAAGATGATGAATATAAATATGCTTCCCCCCCCCCTCTACAGTACCTCACTATTATTCTAAAAGCCCGGCTCTACCTCTAGTCTCAAGGCTGCTGTTGAGTCTGCGCTCTGCTGTGTCCAGCAGCTGTCGAGACGTCTTCCAGAGCTGACAGTGGCAACAGGCCAGGTCGAAGGCAGCCATGGCTGCTGGGCTCAGCTCCTCCAGAAGCGTATAGAGTAGGCCTGAGGCTTCGGGAGAGCAGCGGCTCATCCAGTAACCCTCCTCCAGGGAGGGCAGCGGGTGAGCAGGGGTGCTGAGGAGACGGTCAGCTATGTCTGAGATGGTATAGAAAGCCACTCCTACAAAACAAAGAAAGGAAAAAAATAGACCCGAATCATTGTGTTAAGTGCTGGAAATGTACTTCAGTGTATCACATAATACAGTATTTTCACATAGAAAATTAAATAATGTTACCATTTTAATCTAGATATACTGACAATTTTTAGAACAAAAACACATAACATCAATAATGCTGTCAAGCGCTCAGAAAATAATTTTTAGGCTCCTTATGTAAACATAATGTATAAACTTTAACATCTTTTGCAAGTTGCAGCTTGATTTGTTTTTCTGGGCATTGAAATTCTACAATAAACGGGTATTCTATGTATCTAAAATATGAATTCTGAAGTTTCCAAAAGTTGGGGGGGGAAAAAAGAATCAGACCTGCAGCAGCAGCACTCCCAATGGCCTGCAGCGTTGACCGCCCACTGCTGCCCAGCCGAGTCCTCCCTGTCCCCGTCACGGCTGCTGACCCCAAGCCCTCCGAAGACGAAGAGGATGAAGACATAGACTGGCTTTCCATCTTCTGCTCCACCTGCCCCAAATCCACCAAGACCTCTTTGTAGCGCTCCATGAAGGCCAGCTCGCCACTGCAGGAGGTCGTCTCCAGGTTAAATACCAAAGAAACCTGAAGAGCAGCAGAGGGGAGGCGCATTTATGACAGGAAATTGTCGACTACTGGCGAACCCCACATTAAACATTACACTGTTATAAATAATAATAATGCTTGGACTAAACAGACTATGATCAATTACTTTACAAAACCTACAATTCCATGATTCGTTTGGAAGATTGGGTGTGAAGCTGGATGTTTTAATTACTAATACTAACAAGTATAGAGTAAGAGGGGCTGTCACGCATTCAGAGAAACACATTTCTCATGGGAAGATGTTGAGGCTCAGATTATCACCGACCTGATGGGCCTCCATGAAGTTTCCTCGGCGGATGCAGGACATCAGCAGAGACTCGGGGGGAGACAGCATGGCAGGGACCAGCCAGCTGTGAGGACCTCCGCACGGGCAAAGCTCCAGTTCAACGCCACCTGCTGCCGGCCCTCCACCTCCATCTGAAAAACAGGAGATCATTTTAAGAGCTCATTCATATTCATGCGAGGGACCATGCGAGGGGATTTTCTGACACCATAGGTGAGCACACACACCTTAAGCGTAATTTTATGCTTATGTATACCTGAGGCGCTTGTGCTAACTTCCCCGTTATGCTTCTCTATTGAGGCCTGTCTCTCTGCAGCATGTCGCCCTGGCTTCCTCCTCTTCCTCAGACTCGAGCTCTTGCTTCTTCCCAGAGGAGTCACGGTGGAGCTGAAAGTTGACAACTCGACTGGACTTTCTGAACCTGAAAGTATATGTTTTAGACTATTAGGGCCTAGAGAAAAAGAAAACTTCCCATAATACGTGCCAGGTGGGATATCAAAACCAGATGCCAACCAAAGGTTTTTGATGCCCTGTTGAGTTTAATTTGTTACGCCAAAAGTCAACAAGCTGAAACAAAGGCGTGTGTGGCTCACCGTCCCTGGTGCCCTGGTTGCTGGTGATGATCTGAAGCCTCCACTGAGCCTCTGCGGCGCGTTTGGACAGCCTCTGCAGACGGCTCCCGAACGTCTCAGGTGTGACAGAGCAGCCCAGACCCGCCGCTGCCTCGGCCTCTCGGTGCAGCAGTCGTCCTCCCTCCTGTCCCTCCGGCTGCCCCACCACACACATGCCCTCCAACCCTTCTTTCAGCAGCTTTAGAAAGCCCTCCATGGCTATCCCATCCACCAGAAATCCCCTGCAACCTTTGATAAAGTGCCCCAGGTCCAGGTAACCGTGGTGGGTTGGTGCTAAACACGACCGAAGTTTCTGGCTCTCCCTCCTTCGGTGTTCAGTCTCATCTACCTCTGCCTCCAGGTTATTGTCTCTTGTGGACTCGGGGTGGGAGTCATTTCCAGAACTTGGGCTTGAGTTTTGGGAAAAGTCAGAGGTGGACAGGAATAGCAGAGAGAAGATGTTTTCTAGGAGTTCGAGGCGAAACATGGCTGGCACAGTCTCCAGATATAGTTGACACTCTGACAGGTAGTGTTGGAACCTAATATGGCAGACTGGGAAGTGCAAAAAACAGAAAAACAAACTCAGCAAAACTTCCCAATGATAGGAGACTCTTTACTTAACCGAGTATTTTCAAAACTTGGTGCTTTTTTTATCATTATTAAAGCCACTAAACTTTGGATGAGATTAAAATTTGCAAGCATAAAATTCATTATCTTCAAGCATTAAATAAAGGAAACCTTGACACCTTCAGAGGAATTTGAAGTCTTGATTTGGTCCGTTTCCTCTACGAGTTTGTGATGCTGTGCAATCTCACACTCTGTGCAATTGGAGTATTTATGTGCATTTACACAGAGTGCATAAATGGCATACTTCATGGCACAGAACCCCTGGAACAAAACTATGTTCCTGTGCACACCGGGGCTCAGAGTTTTAATGGCATCTGTGTCCTCTGCAAAAGAACCACAATAAGGTTTAACCCAGACATTTGCGAAATAAGTAAAACATTTGCTAGCACTATGTCATTTGGACAATACACATAAATATATAAATACCTTTTTCTGGTAAATGTGGCAGCTGCTGTAGAAGCTCCAATATCCTACACTCCTCAAACTGAGCCAGTGGAGTAAGAGAATGCAGAATATAGAGAGCTGAGTGGTTGTCCAGAGTGTGCAGCTGTGCTAGTAAAGCTTCCATGGATATCCCTCTGCATGCAGACAAAACACACAAAAAAATGTTGTGACCAGTAGATAGAATTTTTGAAAAGGAGAAAAAAAGAAATACTCATGCTTACGGATTGTTGTTTTTACACCATTCAAGTATTCCAAGCTGAGATGACAAAAGATGAGCAAACTCCTGAAGAACAGAGTCACTGGCAGCTGCCTGAAAAATAATATCGGCTAATCTTTAAAAAAGGGCCAAACTGGGAGCAGCTTCCAAAAACGTCAGTCAAATTTGACACATTTCTGCTGGGCGATTTTGTCTTTGACCTGCTCTTTGTGAAGGACGCTGAGGAGCGTTTGAGCTGAACTCAGACTGCGACACTGAGTCCATCCCAGATGAAGAAGTAGACGGGACAACGGCTGGAACTCCGACTGCAGTAATTCCCTCAGATGAGTGAATTCCTCATGTTTAATCAGGTCAAGCGCAGTAACCTAAAGGAGCGCACCGATCATATTATTTCATTACAAAATACCATGCGTTTGCTAATGTACTTAACTGACTATAATCTTCCAGAAAAAATTACAAAAACAAACCCAATGAAAGATTATGTACATTTTACATTTCTTTACCAAAGTAGTTTAACCCTTTTTGCCTTTTTTTTTTAAAGCTTCACTTACCACAACTTGCTCAAGAAAGTGTTTTCCACTACTAAGGCACTCAAAAAAGATGGTCTTCCAAGAGGTCTGACGATCCTTGTGGCAACATAGGCTTAGGGTGAGTTTTTCTGCTTCAGGAAGGTCCACTAAAAGAGATTAACAATAATCCTCAAGACTGATAATTCAAAAGAATTTTAAAATATGCTTTGTATTACCTTTGAGAGAAAAAAAATCGAATGGATGATTGTGTACTTGATGCTAACATAATGGTTGTTGCTATTTGTCTCACAAAACAGATACTCTACTTCTGATGATGACTAGTTTTCTAGAATGCATGGACAACTTCGTAAAAGATTGAGATATTCATTTTAACTCACTCCTCTCAAATTCAGCAAGTGTTTCCTCAAGATTAGTTAAATCTTGCTTTGTGAATAGGAGACAAACAAAGTGGCTGAAAGCAACAAGTAAGGAAATCTGTCCCTGTAAGTTTTCGAAGGGGATGAATCCAAAATACATACACTATATTGCCAAAAGTATTTGCTCACCCATCCAAATTATCGGAATCAGGTGTTACAATCACTTCCATGGCCACAGGTGTATAAATTCAAGCACCTAGGCATGCAGACTGTTTTTACAAACATTTGTGAAAGAATGGGTCGCTCTCAGGAGCTCAGTGAATTCCAGCGTGGAACTGTGATAGGATGCCACCTGTGCAACAAATCCAGTCGTGAAATTTCCTCGCTCCTAAATATTCCACAGTCAACTGTCAGCTGTATTATAAGAAAATGGAAGTGTTTGGGAACGACAGCAACTCAGCCACGAAGTGGTAGGCCACGTAAACTGACGGAGCGGGGTCAGCGGATGCTGACGCGCATAGTGCGAAGAGGTCGCCAACTTTCTGCAGAGTCAATCACTACAGACCTCCAAACTTCATGTGGCCTTCAGATTAGCTCAAGAACAGCGCGCAGAGAGCTTCATGGAATGGGTTTCCATGGTCGAGCAGCTGCATCCAAGCCATACATCACCAAGTGCAATGCAAAGCGTCGGATGCGGTGGTGTAAAGCACGCCGCCACTGGACTCTAGAGCAGTGGAGACGCGTTCTCTGGAGTGACGAATCGCGCTTCTCCACCTGGCAATCTGATGGACGGGTCTGGGTTTGGCGGTTGCCAGGAGAACGGTACTTGTCTGACTGCATTGTGCCAAGTGTAAAGTTTGGTGGAGGGGGGATTATGGTGTGGGGTTGTTTTTCAGGAGCTGGGCTTGGCCCCTTAGTTCCAGTGAAAGGAACTCTGAATGCTTCAGCATACCAAGACATTTTGGACAATTCCATGCTCCCAACTTTGTGGGAACAGTTTGGAGCTGGCCCCTTCCTCTTCCAACATGACTGTGCACCAGTGCACAAAGCAAGGTCCATAAAGACATGGATGACAGAGTCTGGTGTGGATGAACTTGACTGGCCTGCACAGAGTCCTGACCTCAACCCGATAGAACACCTTTGGGATGAATTAGAGCGGAGACTGAGAGCCAGGCCTTCTCGTCCAACATCAGTGTGCGACCTCACAAATGCGCTTCTGGAAGAATGGTCAAAAATTCCCATAAACACACTCCTAAACCTTGTGGACAGCCTTCCCAGAAGAGTTGAAGCTGTTCTAGCTGCAAAGGGTGGACCGACGTCATATTGAACCCTATGGATTAGGAACGGGATGTCACTTAAGCTCATATGTGAGTCAAGGCAGGTGAGCAAATACTTTTGGCAATATAGTGTATTTATACACACCCAAAGAGAATCTAGTGTAAATCACTAACTGCACATATGCATTAATATTATTGACAATTATAGGGGGTCTGTAACTGTCATAGTCTTGGCTTGAATTTTAATTTAAATTCAATTGCAGAAAGAAGAAGTTCTAATAAAAAGTGCATATTCAACCACATTGGTGAAATGAAAAAAGCTGAAGAAAAGATGACGCCTAGTTTTTATGCCACCCTATTAAAGCCAGCCCAGCTGTCCAGCCGCTAAAAGCAGAAGTGGAATCAACAGGATGATACCAACATTTCCTCTTCAACAATGCAAAGATAGAAGTTTCAGTCACTCACTTTAAATATCAGGCTCAGTGCTATAATGATTTTTCTTTTTTTAAAACACACGCAACTTTGCAAACCATTAAAGCAGCTCAGAGGAGGAACTAATCAATAGGAACAGACAGCTGTGTTGGAAAGTTGTTTGGTCAAAGTTAGAGACATGAAGGGCTGAATTAAATAAACCGGCTGAAAGCTGATTTGATCCCAAATATAAAAAGTGGCATTTAACGTAGGATGTTTCTCAAAAGACTATGCTGAGGAAAAACAGCATATACAGCAAATATTTAAGCACCCAGTTATCGGCATGGGTTATTTGTGTTTTACCCTGAATTGTCTTTAAACACAGAGCCAAACCAAAAATGTACAAAAGCAATGCCTCTTTACGAAAAACAAAGGTTTTTGGCCCTTACTAATGGTTTGAGAAGCTTTTTATTTTTATAGTGACTTCGGTTGGTGTAGAGCCCCCACAGAGAGCTTTGCGAACAATTTGTTTGCATCAGGAACATTTCCACTCTCCTACCTCTGGTTTCGGGTGAGCTTCTCAGCAGGCGCTCTCTCTGCAGCCTCAGAGCGGTGGAGCAGTACGTGGAGATGAGAACTTCGCACCGAGGGCGAAACAGGCAGCTGAGGATCCTCTCCTCCTTCAGGGGGCCGGCTCTGGCTGCCCACAGAGCCTCACACAGCTCCTCCAGCTGCCCGCGACTCCTACCAAAGCTCCAGGGAACCAGAGCCAGAACGGAGTAGATCTCCTCCACCCACGCCCCCACCTTTTCCTGGCTTTCTTCTGGCTTTCTGAGTTTCCTCATCAGGTGTTGGATGAAGACGTGTTGCAAAGGGTTTCCTTCGGCGGTTGATTGGTTCTGCAACAGATAATTCAGAAAAATTTTACCTCTTTGAATCTTTATTTTTGCCGCAATTAGACACTGTGACAAAACAAAGAGCTAAAGAGTGAAAAACTTGGATTTGCAGCTGATCAGTTTTCTAATGAATCCTTCAACTGTGGATTAATGAAACTCTACTGTAAATTGTTCTAAATTGTCCGCCGGAGTCAGCGTGAGTGAATGTTTGTCTGCCTCATTAGTTTCTGTGAGGCCCTGTGATGGACTGGGGACCTGTCCAGGGTGTACCGTGCCACTCGCCCAATGTCAGCTGGGATAAGCTCCAGGCATTCCAATATGCGGAATAGCAAACGGTGGATAGTGGATTTATTACACTTCGTTTGCTGAACATTTAATTAACAGCACTCCTGTTGTTTCAACTACTGACAAATAAAAAAACGTGTATGCTACTGTAAGGCTAGCTTTTAGTAGTTTTAGAACTGAATTTGATGTTTGTAAAAAAGAAAACTACTCTATATTTGTTATGTTTTTTTAAACACCCTTATATCGATGTAAATCTTTTGGTATTACCTCCAGAAAGTGTGCTAACGTGTGGGCAAGTCTTGGCTTCTTTTTCTCCAACAGGGTGTGCAGGCATGACTCCACAGCAGTAAGTGTTGTTTCTTGCCCGGACTGCGAAGCCAAGAAAGCCGCTTGCAGCTCCTGAGGAAAAGCAATGCGTTTTGAAACAGCAAAATAATTTTCTTAGCTTGTCTACAGCCACAATTAAATAAGTGAACCTTAAGGACAGTCTCCGATATGCCCTCTGACCCCAGCTCCTCCAGGAGCAACAGAAACTCCAGCTCTTTTCGGAGGTTGGGAGGAACCTGAAAAAAATGAATAAATGAAGTAAAGGTGTTAATGCACACTACTGTGTTTGAAAATGTTTTAAATGTGATTTTCCCCTGCTTTTGTCATTTTGTAAAGTTTTGAACACTATCACATATATAGACTTTTCAGAAGTTTGCTGGAAAAATGTTATGCTGTATTTACCTGTTCCTCAGTCCATTTCTCCAAGACCTGCAGCCAAAACCAAGCCAGCTTGTGTGGACTACCAACAGACTCCCATCTACAAAGGCATCAACAGCACACAGGAGATCAGTTAGGAGCACTGGATATGATGTGTAGGACCATTAAAAGCAAAATACAAAGACGTTTTCAAAAAATCTCAAAGTGGAAAAAATAATTACACCAATTACTCTTTTCAGAATCAAAAACATTGGACTTACTTTAATCTGTAAGGATGGCAGACAATGGATTTGATTATGTCTCGCACTTTTTCTGAATGCCCACCAGGGGAGTTCACCAGCTGTGGTACGCAGGCGCTTGCAAGCTCCCACTCAGCATGCTGCAGGCACCTCTTGAAGTACTCAAACAGGTCCTGAAGCGAAGTCTCCACTTCACAGCCGAAGGGATGCATTGTGTCTTTGGCCGAGACACTCTTCTGCTCAGTCATCTCTGTCAAAGAGGCACCTTCTCTACCACGTAACCAAGGGGCCGATTCGAGTCAGCTTCAAATGAGACAAAAATAAAAGGTAGCTTAAACTATTTTAAAAAATACAGTTTTAAAAAAAGAGTTACACATATTTTACATTAAAAACAATTCTGCAGAAATGACAAATTAGTTCACAACATAATTTCCATGCCTAAATGTTTTGAAAATATGCAGGATGATCACACAGCTAAAGGTTTTTGGCATTATAAACAGTTTGTTATTTGCACAAAATAAGAGATGTTTCATTTTCACGTCCTTCAACAAAGCTAATCATGTTCAGTAACAAATAAATCCAAAAAACAAAAAAATCAATCCCAAACATTTGTATTTTCTATGTATTACATTCTTTTTTCCCCAAAAAAAATTACATTTACATTTACAAGGTAATTTCTTTATCTTTCGTAGTTACATGTTACATGCTTCAACTAAATGTCTTCATTGTCCTGAAGGGTCGGCATTGATTTAGTGAGAAATGTGAAAGTCTGATAAATAACTGTTGCACGAAAAATTATTCAATACGTTTTAATCAGCTGAGCAAGCAGCTGTTTATTTGTTTTAATCACTATTAATTCAAACCATTTATTAATCAGTAGTCACTTCTGAGAAATAAACCTGCCCTTTCAATATAATATTTGCAATTACAATGTTGTAAATGTGTTCCATTAAAGGATTTTAGTCTCCGAATCCTCACTTATTCAATAGTGTTATGTTTTGTGCTTGTCAGAGCTCTTCACTTTTAAAACTGCCCCACAGATTTTAAATGCTCCACATTTTATTAACTAGTCTCCAACTTTACTTATTTATCCAAAATCACGCGGTTCAGCTAAAGCCATCTCTTAAAATATCTGATCTGATTTCAGACAAAAGACCTGGAAATCGTGAAATACACTTTTCAAACGCCTCTTTGGTCTTCGTCATTTGTCTCTCGCAAGAACTGACAGCTACCCTTCTTATGAGCTAAAAATGTGTCTGCCTTTCAGTAACTAAAAACAAGTGAGCTAACTTCCGTAGCAACTGGCAGAACCATGTGCTTGCTAAAAACTGACGTGTTTTCAAAGTTCTCCATTCCAAATATACGTTACTTACTCATTTCTTTGTGCTTTTATGCCCTAAATTGCCATTTATTCATGCTGCTGGGTTATGGCTCCTCGCGACGTGTTATGCTAGCTGCAGAACGAGGGTCATGTGACAAAATCAGCTGATTCGCCGTCTCTGGTTGGTCAAAGGTTGGGAGGGCGTTCCAGATCGGAAGCTGAGTTCTTTACTGCTGCGTTCAAATGTAATCGTTAAAAAATGTGCAATTCAAAATTGCAAATAATTGTCCTGATAAACCACTGGAGACAACATGCGTTTTTCACGAGTAACATATCTTACAAACTACCCTGTTCCACATGTGCAGGCTGTAGTTTAGCGAAATACGAGAAGACAGTCTTTAATGTACATAATACTGTTACGTTGTCACTTGGCTATTGTGTGACCATGTGACTTATACGCTGGGGAGTAAATACATTTAACCATTGAAAATACGATTGAGTTCACTGTTATTATTGGAACATAAAATTGCATTTGTTACGAGTCAGTATTTTTTAATGACAAAGCATCATGTATATTATGTATATTTTCCTTTTTTATTCATTTATTTTAAGAGTTTTTGTATAATTAAATGGCGCCATTAAACTCGAGGTTAAATTCAAACTTAGTTTGATTATGCAGACACTTGTCTTTGCCGGGTGTTTGAATTAGAGCCATATGTTGACTTCTAATCTAATACCTCCTGAAAGGTAATCTAGTTTAATTCGAAAAAATATTCAATTTGCAACTATTTGTACGAGGCAAATAGATCCTATTGATTGCAAGTAGTAATTTTGAGATAACCCATAGTCAACGAATGCATAGTCTTGAGGTAAATAAACAAATTGCTCCACAGCTAAGGCTGTTATTAGATTAAGGCACAAGACACCTGAAGGCATAGCGTACACTCTCTGAGCCAAAGTCATTCATGTGATTGAAGTGTGTCCACCAGCCTGTAAAATACTGCCTCTTCCCTCCCTCCCTCCATCCCCTTCTCCCAGCATCACCAAACTGGGAGCCAGTCTCCATGACAACCCAGTTGCAGGAGGGGTTTTGCCAGCTGGAAGCGGTTTCAGTCCTCACTCCGTATCACCGCTCCGAACCTCCACAGCGCATCACGCCCTGAGTGGAATGGAAGAACAGGACAAGAAAGACAATGTATGTCGCCTATTTGTTTTTGCTTTTTGGCTCGTGCTGAAACGTGTATATGAAAAAAAAAAAAAAAACTCAGCAAAAATAACTAAACTGTTGATTTGGATTACTTTAAATAAGATACAGAGGGATAGTTTGTGCAGCTGAGTCACTGGTTGGTTCGGATGCTATACAATAAAGCTATTGTTCCCATCGGTGCCACAGATTGCAGCGCACCGCGGATGGATGGAGACACCAGGCTTCCGCCTGTTGGGGGACCGGCTTTTAAACACCTCCATCAGCCTAACAATAGACTGAGCGCTGTCTTGTGTAGTAGGCCTCATCACGTTCATCTATCTCTATGTGGATCTCTATTGTTTCACAGGGGGAGTACATCGGAGAGATAAAAGGTGGGCTTCGACCTTCAATGAAGCTGGTCGTCATGGGAATTGTTGACAAAAAGCCCAAAAGGTTAGTGTACTCACCCTTTTTCATTGATTGATGGGGAATGGGCTTCTTTGCATCCATAGCATAACAGTCAATGAAAGCTTATAGGGATGACAGTATATTGGCTTAAAGTTTGACAGGATGTCAAAGCAGATGTTATCTGAGTTCACAGTAACCACCCTACTTGTTCCTCTTAAGGAAACGTCTTAGTAATAACAGCACTTTTCCTAATTTGGGTTTGCCTGTGGATGTATGTGGGAGAAGTGCAAATTCCATGAAATCTAGAAGGGAATGGCTTTGGTCGATAAGATCAAAAACTCTGTTAATCATTTAGTGTGCAGCTAAAGATGACTGGTGTGGTTGACTTCACTCAGAAATGTGCAAATAAACATTCTCTTTCTGAGTTTTTTTTTTCCTGTGTCATTGCACTTATTTTTGGCTGCAAGAACTTAGTAAGAGTTTTAAGGACAACTTCCCCCATGAGACTCGTTTCCCAGTTACTTGGAACAACTCTTTGGTTATTTTTAGATCTTTTTGTCCCTTATGTCAGTTTTAAATCAAAGGGATTTTGTGATGTCCTAAAGACTGACTTTTGATTTAATAAAGACTCAGAGCAGCTGTCGATTTTTCAGTAAACCACTTCTTGATATCCCCAAGAAAAGTAGCACCATATATGGTGAACCTCTCATCTGGGTTCATGGATGTTGTCAAAGGCCAAACTCTATTGTGGAAAAAAAAAGACCCCCCCAAAAAAATATATGATGTAATCTAGGATGCATTCAGTTCCATAAGGTTTGAAATGTACTGTTCCTTGAACATCTCAGTTCAAAGTTGTATTTGTAATAGAGACCAGAAGATGTCACTGCTCCACTGACGGTTTTAACGTTAATCCATTTTGAAGAACAAAAGTAAGAAAAGTGAGATACAGAAAACATCCTAAACATGCCATTTCTCATTCTTGTCCTTGAACTACATCCACCCTGCCCTGGATTCATGTGTCCCTGTTTGTGTGGCTGAGGCAGCATTGAGGTGACACTCTCCAGTAAGCCTCAGGAGGAGCAAACGGAGGGCGACGTGGGTCTGCAGCTCAAAGTCAGCTTCATGGACAAGGCCGTCCAACGCAATGCCCGCTTGGCTGGGAAGTGGGGTCCTTCTGAAAACACCCTCTCCTTCTTTCCATTCGCACCCGGAGAGGCCTTTAAGGTACGTTCACTATCACTGATATTTGAGCTCCCGCATTGGGGTGTCACAGGTATCGGATAAAGGGTGTGATGATTATTTGCATATTAAACTCCTGTGCAGTAAAAAGAAAAGCCTGGGGGGAAATTAAAAAGGGTTATGTGGTCGTTCTCATGCTGACGTGGATCTCTCCCTTTCTGCTGCGGGTAATGTGTTTGATCTTAGATCCTCTGACAGCTCTGATTTTGCAAAGTCAGCGCATAAAAGTGCAACATCAGCAACAATCATTTTGTTGCTGTGGTGAGAGCTCAGTGTCTTGATGTGTTTTCTCTGACAGGAATGATTCATCTATTCCGCATATTGTTTTCCTGTCCCTTTCAAGATTCACCAAGAAGATATATAGCTGTAAATGGAAGGAAAATAGTTGACCACCATAATGGATTCAAATCTTTTTAGAGGGTATTCTTAGAAGCGTGAGGCCTAAATACGGTGGTTTAAAAGAGCTTCCGTGTTTGATGAAGATTAAAGACATGTCAAACTTGCTTTTGCAGAATATACTAATATATGAAAAGTGCATCTGTGGTTGTTATCTAAGCTGATAGAGTTTGAATAGTTTTCACTGATCTTCTGCTTCTTTGTTTCTTTGGTCTTTTAAAAAAAAGTAACCTTCCTTTGATTAATAGATGGAGATCGTCTGTGAGCACCAGCAGTTTCGTATCCTGGTGGACGGTCAGCCCCTGTGTGGCTTCACCCACCGGCTCTCCCAGCTCGCCTCCCTCACAGCCTTACGAGTCTTTGGGGACCTACAGCTCACCAAGGTGGCCTAACGCCAGCATCTCATCCCGCCGTCACCTCGCAGGAGGATCTTCCTGGACAGTAGACAATTCATATATTTAGAATAGGTCTTCTTTTTGAACGAATGATTTAATCTTTCACGGGGATGTCGTTTCCATTTTCAGAAGATGTCGCGCCAGTCTCATAGTCACGCTTAAGACAAAAGTGCCTTCGCTAAGATTACCCGTCTGGGGACTTGAAGATACTGACTGAATGGAATGGTCATACATATCTTAATCCGAACAGAGAATGTGATTCGAATTGTTCTAAACAATGTGATGTAGGCTAAAGTGTTCTCACTGAATGAACATTGCACAGACATAACAAGCCGCTAGAAAATAAAGCAGTGCTGCGTTTGTCTTTGTGATTTACGGAAACAAGCTTTCCCACGTCTGGGTTTTATTTCTCCAGAGTTAACCTTTGAAAGCACTTACGTTCACAAGCACCTGCATGACTGTATCCGAAGCTGACGAGTGACGCAGATTTTCAATTTATTTCTCATTTGATCATGCAAATAAAAAACGGTGTCAGTGGATGTCAGCAGCCCACGTTAGTGCATGCCAGTAATGAAGCAGTGTGTATCATTTCTTCCATCGTTCCAGTCTCAGTGAACAGTCAGTCATTGGACGTTTATCATTTTTTAGCTTTCAAAGCACCCTTTTGTTGTGTAATTGTCACTTCCCTGTGGCACTTTTTACGTGAATGTCTGGATTTGATGTTGCTTCACTGCAATAAATCAGTTTTGCTGTTTTCTGTTTGTTGTCATTCGCCGTATGGAAGAATAACTGTGAAATCCCCATTTCATGGAAACGTACTGGGGTTTTGATTCACCCATGATTGCATTAGAAGCCAACTCTAAAGCAATCACAGCTCTGTTTGAGTCATTCAGACAAACGCTCGACTCGGCTTGCCGAGCGGGAGTGGCTGTCTGGGATTCCTGGGAAGCCTCAAGGTTCAAATTTGATGATTGTCATAAAAGCCGCCCAGGCCTCTGCAACTCCTGCTATTGCCAGAATCTTTGCTCAGCAGAAAGGTATCAGACACAAATACCTGGTTCTTCTTGGGTTCACCAAGTTGAATTGATAGCTTCGGGCATTTCTTTAGAAAAACTGTTCATGTGTTTGTAAAAGCAAGACACATCCAAGAGCAACAAGAACAACATGGATTTGATATACATTGATATGTTTTTTTATATGATAGCTTCCAGTGTCTACACAAATGATCAGAATATATCTAAATTATTCACCAAGAGTCAGTTTTGAGGGAATTTCAACACTGAAATGATTTAAAAGTCATGTATTACCGTATCTATAGCCCAGATGGAAGTAGGAACATAAACTTAATGCATCAAAGTCTGAAGTATTTGTCGAGGAAAAAATGGGTCACTGACTCTAAAGTAAAAGGTTACAAAGCCCTATTAAAAAATATGTATTCATGCTTTAGTTAGACTGAAACACTCGACTCCTGAGGCTGTTTAGATTGGATTGATAAGAAGATAATATAGCCTAAGGCTGATGTTTTCTGTCAGGCAGTATTGACTTGACGTAAATAGAATAGCAACCTATAAATCTTAAAACATGTAAGCAGTAATGACGATTTGTATCACTTTTTAACCACAAACTGTATTTCCTATACTGTACAACCAGTCTGGCAGAGCACAATCATTTATTGGTAGTTCAAAACATTTTGTGAAGAACTAGTCTAAAAAGTATCAGTCAGTATCATGACAAGCAAGAGGTCACAAGCCAAAACACTCTTGGTTCAGGTATTTAATTTAGACCGTTTTTTACACCTTGCTCTTGATCGAATTCTTGACCAACTTACCAGTGATCAGAGTGTCAAGAAAAGAGCGTAAATTACAAAGAAGTACAATACCTGGTGAAATCGATTTCTTATAAACAGTATATAGTGCTGCGTTAACGAAAAAGATAAAACTCTAAATGATTCAACAACAAAAAAAAATAATCCTATAAAGTCAAGTAGCCTGTTCACATGAACTGAATGAGTACAACAGAAAGTGCAACAACTAAAAGGCTTCCAAAACCTCTTCTCACAAACCCAAAATACACAACATTCAAGGCACAAGAGCTATAATTGCATTCATGGAATGAGTAAATTCGGTTATCGGTACAACAGCCTAAATGGATCAGGTGTCAGATTCCAACAGGGTCAGCAGCTCTATGTCTGCTGTCTAATAGCATCGATCCAGTCCATCTTATCCTGATGAGTAGCAGCCTGGATGAAGTAATGAGTGTCTGACTGAGTGATGATCTTAAATAAGTTGCCTTGAATATTTCCCTTCACACCTATACGAACAGTAAAAGTTTTAGTAAGACATAAAATCCATGGAAGTCAGATACAATTAGATAAAAGCAGCATAACATTTTTCATAAATTTTGAAGTGCCTTTTCAGGAATACATAAAATAGAAAATCATTTTCTGAATCCTGTTCAATCCGACTTTATCATTGTTTACCGGTTATAGTAGTACTTGACTCAATAAAAGAGCAAGGAGCGCCATCTTTAATCTAAAGGTTCAAGTTCGTGCAGAAGTTTTTCAGGAACCACCAGCGACTGATTCATCTTACCTGAGGGAACTCCATTATCTTCCAGGGAGGATACCAGACACCCTCGAAGCGAGAAGCCGCCCACGGGGCTGATGTCATCCTGACGAGTGACACAAGACCGGAAAAGAGTCAAAAGTGAGGTCACTTGTCTGGCACTTGTGAGTTATTTATGAGTCATGAGGGATTCAGAGTCATATGGTTCATGATGGCAAACAAAACAAATGATTTGTTTTGGTTTGGGCCTACTCTGGTTTGAATAAGAGGTTGTACAATTTATTCTCTTCACCCACTTCAATTTTATGCGGCTGATATGTGTCCCCTGTTCAGAGCAGTTTAAATGCACTCACCCTGGCGGGATCATAATAGTGGAGGAAAGCAGGCTCTGAGCGCAGCACAAACAGTCGCACCTTCCAGTTTTTCCGTCTGTGTCCCTGTGTAAAAGAACAGCCATCTTAGATAAACGCATTTAATTCAAAAGAAAGGGTTAAAAGGGTAAAAATGGACTAAAGAGGGGCATAGGAGAGCAGGAGAGTTTTCTTTTACACTTTAAATGTGTCCAGAGCTGGGGCACATTTTGTACAGATGTTGTACACATCTTGTAAAACAGGCATTTTCACCTGTTTGGTCCAAAAAAAAACTCAAAACGAAAATGCTTTTTTAGATTTCAAAGGTAAAATGGTTTTAAGATGGCAAAGAAAGCCATCTACAGTTTTATTTTATAACTTATAATCTCTCCTCGAAGTTTTTAATCAAAGCAAATTATTCATATGCTTTTCATCCATACAAGTTGATTCGGTTATCACTATTTTAGATTTAGACCAATAAAATATGTAGTCCAGGGCTCTTTCCAAATGGAAAGAAGCAGAACTGTCTAATGGAACACTGCATAATATGCGTTTCCCCCCCCCAACATCTTAACAAGGAACTGATTAGCTGTACCTGCTTAAGCAGGAATCCCCTCTTCATCACTTTTCCGCTCATTTCCACTGCAGACAGCGAGGTCTGTGCCCTCACGCTGCCTCTCTTCTTTAAACTGTCGGACTGAGAAAAAAAACAAAAAAACGTTGTTTACAAAACAAAACTCAACGCCCCTGAAGGGAGTGCTGATGGGAATCTGGACGCGACTCACAAAGCTGTACAGCGCAGTGGAGTCGTCCAGGAACTGCTCGCTGAGGCCGGCGGTGCGGAGGGCCTCTGCGCTCTTCAGGCCAACGGTCCGCAGGAAGCCCTCCTCCATCAGGGCCGAGGCCAGGGTCACGGCCTCCACGCGGGTCAGAGCCAGCTGCATGAACACCAGCCAGTCCACCACTGCCGAACCTACAGGGGCGACGCATGTAAACCTCATGAAAACAAACAATGTAGATCGTCCAAGGGCCCAGTATTGAACCATGGGGGACCCCTGCTCCAACAACATCACGATGTAGACATTTCTCTTCCACACACAATCTAGCTAAAATGAGATGCTTCAGAGATTTAAATCAAGAGGCAAAACCGGAAGGCATAGAATAACCATGAAAATGGAAGAACACAAAACAGCTATTAAAGCTGATGATTGACCTGAGAAACAGTTGCTGTAAGTGCTGCCTTGCTCCACGTGATTGCTCAAGTTGATTCCACTGTGGACATCGTACATGGAGTCCAACACCTTGCTGTAAAAGCGAGTGGAGAGAGACGAGGGTAAGAAAGGTTTTCAGGGAAAGCAGGCTATGGGTTTTGAATTCGTGGAGGAAGCTTACCTCAGGTTGATGTTGTGCATCTGGGATTCGGGGACTTTCTTGTCGGTCACCTCCTCGCCGCCGGTGGTCCCCAGCCCCTGGATGACAGCTGTGATATCGGCCGCCCACTCGTCCCTCTCCTCCCTGGAACAAGCTTCCAAATAGTGATCCACCCCGTGCGCGGTGTGGAGCTTCAGCACCAACTGTCGACGGGCACAGAAAGCAGAACGCTTTGTTTTTTGTGTTCTTTACTTTTGGTGCCAGAAAACTTTGAGGCGGGTGGGGGGGTGGAACGCATCCCAAATTGTTTAGAGGATGGAAATCAGGTCTGGACAAAATGAGAACCTGAGGCACTAAATGTTTTCAACAAGCTGAGTAGATGATTAGAGGGTACTGCCACACCTTTAGGAAGCTCTCCACCCATAATGTGTCTGTGTAGATATGGAGTATTTCTATCCATTGAAGTAATCATTACTATATTATAGTATTGGATTATATATTAAGTATTTATATTTTTGACAGGATGTTGCTTTAGTTCCTCCTGTGGACTAACTTACCGGTCGACTTTCATATTCCAGGAAAGGGCAGGTTATAACACAGTTTTTCAGAAGGATTTTCCCTCGCTGACAGGAGTCTCTCTTCCCTCCTTCATATTTGTAATACAGGATCTTCTCTGGCGTCAGAACGAACCAGCGGGCCTTCCAGTTGGGAACGACGTGACCCTGGAGACACACAAAGAAAGCTGATCAAAACTTTGCATTCTCTGAAAAAAGAAAACTAAAAAAAAACATGTCCATTCCCTTAAACATCTACCTCAAAGCAAGTATACCTGTAGTATTTCAGGGGGGGGGAGAAGTCTTACCCTTTTCACGAGAAATCCCTCTCTTAGAACTGCGTTTTTCTTGCCTGCATCCATGTTCTTTGGTGTGATCGTGGAAAATGACATTGGCCTGTTCTTGCTTGCTCAGGTTTTTAATGGTGGGGGGTGCGTCACACTGCTCACACCCACAAACACTCCTTAACCTAACCCTCTGCCGTCACCGTGAGCAGTTCCCGCTTGCCGTCACACGAGGGCGCGCCAGCTCCTGCACACTCCGGCCCGGGGCAGGAGATGCCAAAGTCTGGACTGGCATCCACTGGCTTTCCACACGGCCCAGTTCTTCATCGGTTTTAGTATGGTAAGATTTTGGGTCCTGCACATTAAGCCGTAAGGGAACATTCTTAATGAGACCCCAGAGATTCGTATCCAGTTTTGATGAAAGGACCACTGTCCCAGTAGATTGACCGTGGGGTCTATGTCTCTTTCTGATGCGCACATATACCAGCCATAATTCTATTTTTTTTTCTCATCTCCCTCCCCCTTGGCCCCAGTTTTCCCAAAAGCCACCAGAAAAGGGATCTGGAGCAAAAAATTGAAAATGTCTTCTGCTTAATCTCAGTCACAATGTTGTGCTCTTTCAACCATTGACGGTTACTTTAGGTCATCTACAGGATGGCTTTAAAGAGCTGGAGAAAGCATACATGCAAGGAATTGCAAACACAAAATGAATTAATTGTTTGTGAATATTTTTGACCAAGGAGCATGATCAGGGCTAAACAAAGCAGTAAAACAAAATGGAGATAGGCAAATCGTGCCACGTGAAGACTGACCCACGTATCGGATTGTCCTATAAAATGTATATTCTCTTCTAAGGCATCTCCCAAACCCTGGTCCTCAAGGCACTGAATCATGTATGTTTTCCATGTTTCCCCCGTTCCAGCACATCTGATTCAAATGAATGGCCCTTCATCAGCATTCTGTAGAGCTTAAAGAGCTGACCCATTTATGTGAACCAGGTGTGTTGGAGCAGGGGGAACGTGGAAAACATGCGGGACAGCGCACCTCCAGGGCCGGGGTTTAGAAACGCTGCTGCACAAAAAGCTGCTAGTGGTCATCTTCAGGTCACAGAACTGGCTTTAACTTCAGTCCTTTTGGAAGACTAAATATATTGGACAAGACACTGATATCCCAATATGCTCTATATGCCTTGTGATTTGTGATTGTGGTATTTCTTGAAAACCTAGATGAGGGTGACAAATTTTTTCAAAAACACATAAGTCACACCCTGTCTCAGAAAAAGAAGCCCTACTACTGACCTTGCAGTTGGAATTTAAGCAGGTTGTGGTTCACAAGAAATAATTCACAACAGAAAATCCATCACTGAACAAAAAGAACATTTCATTAAATTCTCTAAAAAGTGAGTGAAACGCTTTTTAAAAATCTTTTTTTGTGCTGTTTTCTAAAAAGCCCCTTTGTGACTGTGGTTAAATCCAAACACCTCATTTACAACAGAATTTTGAAACCTGAACATTCACTCCTGGTATGTTGAAATTGACTTGTGTGAACTTGGTTGTTCTCTCACCATTTGCAGATCATTCTGAACTGTAAGCGAATGGCATTATATTTGTGAATCACACCCAGCTCTGGAAGATGGCAAATATTTGTGCAGCTTTAAAGGAAAAGACAGTCACATTAAAGCAATGCTGTGAGCTTTGGAGCTTAGCAGTGCAGCAGGATTTTGACAAAGTATGAGCTACGCAGCAACATATAGTTCCACTCCCGACCACATGATGTGACACCACTCACTTTTTAAAATTGAAATTGGCAGATGGATAAAACTATTAGACATAGAATGTTTTATATCAGTGGAAGAAACCTGCGAGATTGAGAAAACAACATTTTTTTAAATACTCAGTTTTCCATTCTGTGTTTTTTTCAGAAATAATATGTTTTCTTTTATATTTGTTCTTATTTTTTTCCATATACTTCATGATCAAAAGTCAAGTAGGAAGCATCATATCAAAGCTATTTTGCGGGTCTATTGCAGAGGTTTCATGAAACAAACTGTATTTTCCTTTGAGCATTTTTGATTTTCTGTCAATAACTTTCTTTTCTTTATACACTTAGGGGCCATTTGTCATGCAAAGCCTGTCACTACCACAAGCAACAGGATGTTTGTTTTTTGTTTTTTTTAGAGGAGTTCTACTCCCTGCCTCAAGTGTCCTGTAAATTCTTCTTTGTGTCTCCCTGGTGAGGAAACCTGTATGTACAAGCCTGCAGTTATGAGAAAACAGCAGTGAGTGAGCAGACTCCAGCTGGAAGCTGCCAAAAGAATCTGTTGAGCACACAAAGACGACAATGATCCAAAAAAGAAAAAGAAAAAAAAAACACACACACACATCCTGCTTCTTGAGGTTGAGGCCCTTCCGGAGGTCAAAGTCAAACATGCATCTTTGAGATAAAAAGTCACATGTTAATACCGGGCACCAGGCGTGTCCGGTATTCCCCCTGTGTAACATTAACCATAAATCAAACATCAATTCTGACAAATAAAGATGCCGGTGTTTTGGCACGTCAGGCTGTGAAGGGCTCTGACGCAGGTCGGCCCACGTGGGGCACCCGGTTGTCCTGGTCACACACACTTAACACGCAAACACTCGGTGCACTCTGTTTTCTTGGTCCACGGACTTATTGTCCGCTGGGTGTGTGTGTGTGTTTGCGTTTTCCTGTCCACAGCTGGTTACACAGAACACATTGGTCAATCTAATGCTTTATTGGACCGAAATGGGAACAGAACTCTCCTTTTCGAATGACAAACAGGAGTCTTTCTCCTCCAAATGGTGCCCGCTTGAGTTGGAGGCGTCCAATTATGTGAAGGGCAGAGGTTTTGAAAGCATTGAACTTAGTTTCAGTCAGTATTAGAGTATTTGGTTTGTGCTTGGGTTTTTCTGCTTTGCTCAATAAAAAAATAAAATTTGAAGAAGAAAATAAAACTAATCTACCTCTTCTACAAGCAGCAGTTGGTGCAGTTGGAATTCATATGAGGGGGATGAGATAAACTGTGTAATGTACTGACATGAAATTGCCTTTTGATAAGTGGTGAAATGGGAAAAAGAAAAAACAGGAGCAGGTTGAGACTTCTGAAACAGAAGCCTGTCCAACAAAAAGTGAATCGTTGATATAACAGTTTATGATGGTTGACCTGTTTCGCAATCACCGCGGTGTGTGTTTGCAATTTATGAGCTGGAAAAGTTGATTTCCTTCGGTGAGACACACGTGTATCGTTCACTTTTTACTTAAATTCCTCCCATTTAAAACAGATATTTGGTTTTATTCGTGTGCATTTTCTCATTCCTTTGGGTTGGACTGCCCAGTTTTTAATAAAAACACAATGCGCATTTTCATAAGACAACTATTTTTAATTAGATTACAATCTTAAAATCAAAATATCATTTACAAGAAAAAAAAGAAATAAAGTGCTTTTACCGAAAACACACAGCTAAGATTTCAGATGCCTGCTGCCATGTTAGTCCAGTAACAATGACATCCCAAAATGTTAGAAGCTTAAGGAGAGCCCTCTAGCACACTCATAAAGTCTAGTTTCGGTTTTTTTGTTTATTTTATCCTAAAAGAAAAAAAGCAACAGCGAGCCAATCCCACAATGTGCAATGTCTGTGTAACCTCAACCTTGTACTTGGTCCTATACATTCATGCTCATCAAAAACATATAAAAACATTACTGGGGATCACGTTACTGTGAATGAATTCATTCTACATAATAAAAAAGACTGGCAGTGTAGTCTTTCTAACTGCAGACCTGCTAATGTGAACACTAAAAAAAATCTGGTTGCTGTAAACAATAAGGAAAATGCATAATGTCCCAAGCCATATAATTCACAGAGGATATCATTTACAGACACATACCTTACAGTTTCAGTGATTGTGAGGTGCCCTTGTCCCGCAGCTTCAGAACAAGCCCATATCACCAGCCCTCCGCCACCGTGCTTTACTGTCATATGAGGTGTACGACTTCACTTTGGGAAGACTGGCTACGGTCTTCAATGCCTTTCACTTGCCAATAATCATTTTCACCGGAGAGGGATGGAGTTCAAATAGTTTGGAAATGGCTTTTTGACAATTTCCAAATAAATAAGCAGCAAGAATTGCTCTATCATTGTTGAAGTAATTCTTCCTTTGCGTTGTGTTAACGCACAGATGAATGCTCCAGACATGAAAACTGACTAAATGCTTGGCTTTACAGTTAATTAAACTTAGAAACTGAAAAGTTTCTTTTCCTTCACATGACCGTTTTCAGCTGAAATAGCCACAAAGTTTTCACTGACACGTTGACACACACGTAACCTGTGACCTACAGAGTACACTACATAAAATACATAATGTGGTTTAACTGTCGCTAGCTAACAAACGCTCCAGTTTTTTTTCTCTTTCGAGTCCTTCATTTAGTCCGTCGTGCCCACACTTTGTTCAAAATCCCTATTTACACGCCTCCTTTGAACACCTGAGCTGTCTCGCAGTCGGATCCGTAAACATCGACTCAGTCGGCGATGTGACTGTGGCTAGCTGACTGGAAAAGTCAACAGGCACCACTGGGCCCGCGGCACGGGAATAAGACGTCAGCGGTGTTTGAAAAGACCGAGTGGGAGGAGGAGGAGGTTTAAGAGGGGCTCAGCCTGTGCCATGCTTTCACAACTTTCTCCGGGTGAGACATGGTGTCCTTCCAGTGCTCCACGGCCTCTTGGAGAGGGCTGTCGAACCCAAGCTTAACCTGACGAAAACCGAGATACACACGTACAGATGAAGGCCACTGCTAAATAAAGCTAACAGTCCCATTTTTTCCCCTTTGTTAAAACACAACGATAAGCCACAACCGGAACACATCAATGTTTTTCTGGAGTAACCAAATCGATGGCAATAAAAATCCGTAACCAAGACCTCTAGCTGGATTTTAAAAAAAGATGACACGGGGCTGAAATAGCCATGTGACTCACCTGTCCGAGACACTGCTTCCGTCTGATAGAGTTGCGACTGTACAGTTTGACCAACAGCGAGCAGGTGTGCTCCAAGGAGGCCAGGGGGAAGAAAAACGTCTTTTCCCATCTGCACTCGCCGCGCGAGGCCTTCAGCGCGTGAGTCTTCTTCTTGACTATCACCTCGCCCAACTGGTGCAACTCCGCTTTGACAAAAAACACTTCGGGGGAAGAGTTGAATGAGAAGTAAACAACCGCTCTTTGCTGCCGTGAGACCAAATCAAGTGCTGAAACATCCTCAGTATGCACGCACTCACCTTGGGGGAGTGGTGAGGTGGATGCTGGGAGGTTCTGGGCGGCGAGGACCTGGAGCTGGATCCGTCCGTTTACCGCTTGAAAGCAGGTGCCAAGATGTAGCTCAGACTGGCAAACCTGGGAGGGGATATTCAAAGTATTGTTTCATTATTTTTAAACCAAGATGTTATTCTTCCTTTATTTTTTTTTATGAGAATCTAGTTCAAGGGGAAAATGTTTCAACAGAAAGTGGACTTTTCTTTCCCCTTTATAGGCCAGAATGACTTATATCCATCATTTGTCAATCTGCTTGGAGACAGGATCGGGACTTTTTTTTTTTTTTTAAAGACAAGTCAAAAGAAGGGACTGTCATTCTCCTCATTAATCGGTTTAGGAAACCTTGTAAAGGTTTTCCAGACTGAGGTTTGGTGTTTTCCTGCTCAAATTATCATCAAATATCCAGGTAAAGATGTCTACTACATAGTGGTATACGTCTGGATTTTTGCTCTGTTCAGGCCTCTGTTTTGTCGTGTTTTTTTTCCTCTACATCTGATTCATCTGATTACATAACACATCTCCACTATCTTTCTGTCCCTAAGAGATGAGTTTGTGTTCTGAGACCTCTGCTCCATTTCTGTGCACGGTTGATTTATGGCTTCCCGCCTTGCATGATACAGTTTAAGGTTACATTTCTGGATGCACTGGCAGACTGTGTTGAGCAAAATGGATTTTCCAAGGAACTCCTGAGCCCACGTGGTTGGTTGTGGTGTCCGGATGGTATCTCATAGAGCGCCACCCAAGAGCTAGATGCAATGCATCCAGTCGTGGTTTCCGGCCTCAGCCTTAATGCCCTGACACCTCCCCAGACTCAATCTTTTCAGAATATAATGCTCTGTAGGTATTAAAATACTAAAGATTTTGGCAATATTGCAAAATGAAAATTGTATTCCTTATATGTTTTGCTGCTTCTTTTACAACCTTTAGGATTTGGCAGACTAACCTGTTGGTAAAAGAAGTTATATGTAAATTGCCAAAGGAATGCATTTCTGTAATATAAATAATATTCTGTAATATATATAAAATATGCCTTTGGATCTCAATAAATATCATAACTGGCATCTTTTTTCAGCCCCGTTAGTTCAACACGTTTTTGCATGTTCTAACCGTGAACGCAGATAGGCTCCACCTCCCTGCGACCCTACTACTATTAAGCAGGTAAATAAAATGGATGAATGGATTCATTCGATGCCGTGTTTTTGACGTTAAACGCAAAACATGGAAAAGTAACAAGAACGTACAAACACTATCGCCATACTCCTTTTCTCCTCCAGCCGTCCAGTCTCTTTTCAAAATGCGGTTGATTTTCTTCTGCTCGAGACCTCCTCAGATTAAGCTTCGTCACCCCTTAAAAGCTTTTACTGACTGGCAATGATTTGGACAATTTTGGGCTTTTGTGTCCAGCAGATGGGTACACACTGACTGAATCAAACCGTCCCCCTGAGAGCCCAATGATGACGATTCCCCGCCTGATTTCCTAAGTACAGAAACAGTTTAGATTTTACAGCCACAGGCCAGACATTCATCCATTTATCAGCAAAACCACTCTCTGCTGGTGAAATGGTTTGAGGTCTGACCTACTTTCCGTCTCTTTGAGTTACAGATTCTGCATTCTGGTTTCCTTCTCAAAGAACCATCTTCCAACTTTCCTCAATAAATTAGCCCCTGTTCTTTTGCGTCTGTGATGATGCAACAAACTCCGCTGTAGCAACTTGCATCCTGTTTAAGAGTACGGTACATGCCAGAGGGTCACAATGGAGGACAGATTTATGAGCAACAGCCCATGCCATTCCCATTTGCTCTGTTCATGCAAAGAGGTGGTAAAAGGCTGCACTCATCAGAGGAAACAAAAACAATAAGAAATTTTAAAAAACAAGATATTTCTACACAGTTATTCCCTTTCGGGCCAGGGGACACACCATCAGCTAAATGCAAGAGCAAGAAAATATGAGGTACATCAGTCAGTGGTTGGGAGCCATTATGGGACACCAAACAGAGCGGTGACGCTCATGGCAAGAGGAAACATCGGGAGAGCATGCCAGAATACAGCCACAGCCGCTCGCATAGCTATTTTTCAGACTTGCGCACTGACCTAGGGCTACACATTATCTTTGAACACTGTCGGTCTGCGAAAGGACCCGAAATTGCCAAGTCTGTTGAAGGACTGTAGATCTGTATCTTAAATCAGTGGCGCCATTAGCCAGCTTGAATTCAGACTCCCGAATCCCCAAATTAGTGTGTTAGCTTCGTGTCGTGCAGACTGAGAGATTTCCCTCACTGAAGGGAAAACAAAAACAAATTTTCACATGACATCACCGGGCGCACACAAGAGCTGTAACCGTCCATGTGAACACCACCTACTTTACTCAAGTTGGCAACAACCAGGGTCAAAATTCAAACCGTCCTTCCATCAAAAATCACAGACAAGTGTTGAGACATAGAGGTAGATTTAAAAAACCTTGCGCAAACTAGCAGCATATGTTACAAGTGGATGTCTTTTAAGATGACAAAATGAGAGGATTTTCAACAGATTAAGGAAAAGCTTGTTTTCCATGTTTTTTTTTATCTGAAAAAGCAGGCTGATGATTAAGATAATGACCCCATACCTCTCAGTTGTCTATCAAATACCCATGGACCATTGATAACAACTACAACAAATGGAAGCAAAACCGGACTCAAAAAACATATGCGATATAAGATCAACTCTTACAGATGATTTGGACGGAGAGTTGAGGTCAAGCCAGTGCTCGGACTCCTCTGGGCCAAGCTGTTGCAGGGAGAGGACACACTCTGCCACCGTACATTTCTTGGGCTTGTGCGTTTGCAGCCGCAGCACCAGGGAGCTGGAGCGCAACTGCTGGAGACGCAGCGCAAACACAAAGGTCTCCATGAAGGCCACATCCTATAAAAAGGAGCAATCGTTTAGCGTAGATCATGGAAACGGGTTAACACCATAGTATCTGTGGACAACGGTCAAACATCTTCATCTCAGATGACTTTCATTTTACTGATAAAGCTAAGGGAAAACAGTTTAACTAATTCGCAACCCAAAATCTGAATCTTCTATCAACATTAAAACTAAGAATATGAACAAAGAGTTTAAATCAATACCTCTGAGAATTCTCTGACTGAGCTCTTGAATTCTATGGGCTTGGAGGTGGTGATGATCGCTTTGAAACCAATCCTTTGTTGCTCTGCTCCATCATGTTGAAGATTGAGGTCGGAACACTGGTCATTGAAAAAACAACAAAAACAAATAAGAAAGTTACATTTACCCCCCCCAAAAAAGGATCTCAAGTAATAAATGCAGTCAAGTTACACCCCATTGCACTAATCTCTTTTTTCTAAATGTGAAAAATACATAAGGAAAATCCGAGTGCCACTCCGAAGTGACAAAAAGGAACCCTTGGTCACTCCACACTGGTCATGGCAGGTGAGACAGAGGTACCCCTTTTTCATTTAGGGCTGTAGTGTTGCTGTTGCCCTTTAAGCGCACAGCCACTTCCTCGGTTACTTTGCGTTTCAACAACAACTGGGGCGGTCTCCCTTTAACACAACCTTTTCTTTCCAAGTTCCCGAGCCAAAATTAATAGAGCATTGGGAAGCGCGAACAGAGACGTCCTTTCTGGTCACACAAGGGCTCCATTGAGGAGCGCCTTTGGGAGAGCACAATGGAACATGTTATCCCAGCGGCTCCTACCTCCACACTGCATGTAACCTTACCTGAACCAGGGTGATCCACACCTGCTCCAGGGCCTCCTTATAGTTAAGCCGGACACACACCTTTCCCAAGTCTTGCTCGTCCCCAGACAAGGTGATCGAGTCTGGATTTGGGTTCACAGCAGAGTGTAATGTCAATATTAAAAAATGTCAGCTATTTACCGAAACATGACTTTAAAGAGAGTTTCAGAAGCGTGCAAAGATGCTTGAATGGGATTGTGCTAATCTAGTCACTAATCTAGACCTGATTTTCATAGATTGCTTTAAATTTAGCCTCAGAACTCAAATAGTCCATTCTAACGGCACATAATGATTGTAACACAGTATATTAGTTTGGATATTAAACGAGGCCAAGTGCTCATGTCTGCTAGAATAAGTTTGGGCCTTCTCCTAAAATCTAAACAACCTCGCCCAGCTGGTAAGACTCAACATATGGAGGAAGATTTGATACAATAAGAGTACTTTTGCTCTGCATTGCTTGTTCTAAGAGGTTTTAAAACAATGCTTTTGATCTGTTATATAGTTACCTAGACTGCTTTCAATGGAGTTTAATCTTGAGGATACACTGCTGAAGGTGCTGGACATGGAGTCATAGCCCTGCAGGAGACACCAAACACAAAGAGGATAACATCAACCTCAAACCTTCATCCTTTGGCATTGCTAAAATTGTCTTTAAATAGGATTTTACTTTTGGACGAATAGCACTAAACGTTTACAATTTACCTTCTCAAAACCAATTTACCTCTTCATTAAATCATATGCCGCTTAAAAGCTCGAAAGACACTGTCAAAAGCTGGTGTTGTGATGACTGCACAAAATTTTGTGTCATGGTTATCATAGCTGCTGATCATTTAGTCCGAAAGCAGAAAGTCAGCAGTAACGCCTCTTAACAAAAAAAAAACTCCTTGAAAGACCCTCTGTTCTCGGAACCTTTGGGGCAGTTTAACCGCAGCTTACACAACCTGTTGCTCTGGGAATCCAAGACACGAGAATGTGAAACATCTGTTTGTTCATTGCATGCAAAAAAACTCCTGTGACGTTCATCACAGTGTGCATGGGCTCTGGATGACAGAGCAATGTTTACCGAGGTTTTGGGCGAGTCTTTGGCCTGGCTCTTTGGAACAGAGCCTCTTTCATGTAAAGTCATAAGCAGCTGTGGCTGGCATAAACCACATCCTTTATTTGATAAAGACTCGTGCACCAACAAGTCTATTGTTTTGGCTTTAATATTGCTCATTAAAAACTACTTTGCGCAAGAAGATCAGCTGGTCTGAGCGATCAAAAAGGCATGCGCTGTAGCAAATTTGGCAAAGCCTGGTTAGATTCAGGAGAGCTGCAAAAGTAGAAGAAGAGGAATTTCTGATGAAAAAGTAGAGCCTAATTCATTTGTGCAACCCATTCCAAAGGGAATTAAAAGCTACTTACAGACCACTATTCGTCTCTGGTTCAGGGAATCAATCAGCAGAGGTCTTTCACATCATATCAACATGTTTGAATACTCGCATTAAATGCATTCTCTCATGTAATTCAGACTCACTGAGTCGCTAAGGATGATTTGCAGGATTCTTTTATTATTGCTCTTTCTGTCATACTGGTGTAAATACAAAGGTAAATGCGATGTCTTTAACTTTGTTGGGTGGAAAAATGAGCCATCGTTCCCTTTTGCATTCACATTTTTCTGTTTTGTTTTTGTTTTTACTCTATCGGACATACTTGTTTTATGCAACAGTCAACATTTAACATTCGAAATGTATTCACTTCTTAGTAATCCAATGCCTTTCGTCCACTTTTTAAAAAATTCATTCGAATTCATGTTTATGACGGTCTGACTTATTTTCAATTGATGTAAATGGTCATTTATCCTTTGTTGGACAATACTATCTTGGTGCATTGTAATGCAGAAAGCACTGGACAACCTTAAACTACATTTAGCCTTCACTGATGCAGCGTTAAAGGGATAAACACAGTGGGAATTGAAATAAGTTAAACAGTCTCACCTGCGCGTGATTGTGAGGCAGATCAAGCATGGAGCTGCTCAGACGCTGGTGGCGTCCCAGCTTCAGATTGGCACCTGGTGGACAACATCACAAAGCACTGAATCGGCTGGATTAGGATCAGTGTGTAGAAATGTGTTATGCGAGGAGGAGCTGCACATTTAGCTTCTATAGTACAGAGGTGGATAATGTTTCCATGACCAAACAAATCCACTCGCATTTAAAAATTTCAGAAAACCGATTCTCATTTCAACAAATAACCCGACTCATTTCTATTAAGACACACTCATCCTCTTTAAGTAAGTCCAACATTTTCTTTTTTTTATCCAGTGTGACATTGATCAGTGCCATAAAAGATTAGGCTTCAAAATGAGTGTGGTACCTGTGCTTCCAGAACTGGAGTTTCTGCTCTTGTAGTGGTGTGTGGAGCTGGGGGAGACGTTTGCTGACGTGAGTCTTTGATGGAAAGTGGACTCTTGGCAGTAGCCAAAGTGAGGGGTGCCCTGCAGCTCTGCTTTCCTCTCTGCATATGTGGACCTGGCTGACCCTGCAAACAGGTTCAAGATATATATATAATTATTTATTTATTTATTTTTGTAGTTTGTTTTTTGCTGCTCTTCTTCCAGCATTCAGAGTTATATAGATGACTAACTCATTAATGGTCTGTTTTAAAGCTGTAAATAGAACTCACTTCCAGAGTTTAACAGTCAAGTTAAACTCTGAGATTTCATATACTTGTCCCGGGAGTTTGACCCCAAGTTCTTTTGGGATGGTAAATGGGAGAAACGGTGTTTTAGATAAAGGCGAGCGCACGTCTGGAAGCTCTCCTTGGTTGTTCAATCAAAACATCACACCTATGAATAGAAACAGGATATCCTGGTACATTCCTTCTGTGCACTGACATCTTTGTAGGTCTATTTTGTAAGCCAGTTTCTAACGAGATTTGTTAGGCAACTTTCAGAGAAGGATTTCAGTGCTTTCTGGAACTTAAATTAGTTTGATCGCTCTAATCTTACCAGCTTCACAGGACACCATAGGGGTTGTTGCTATGGGTTCCTGTTAGAGAGGAATTTTTCATCCCACATACAGCCAGTGAATACAATATCATTCAAACAGCAGGCATGGACTCCTTCTGCAATCGTCAATTCTACACAAACTTGAAGTATTCTCAGCTAAAAACACAGTTTTTAAACTTTTAATATTTCTATTAGAAGTTTTTCGTGTTACAAGACATGATGAGCCACAACTGTAACCAGTGAGAAAAATTGAAGCTCATCAAAGAATATCATAAAAAACAAGGAGGAAAGGCAAATCCTGCATTTCTTAAAGCCATTTAAGAACTCTGAGGAACACTGGGGAGTTTTTAGGTGATGAGCGTGATGCTTGACCGCATCACAATGTCATGAAGATGAGTGAAGATGCAGTCTGGCCTGATTTGAGTCAGTGTTTGTACACAACTGAAGTCGATTAGAAACATTTGACCGTTTTCTGCTGGGTCACTCCCTAATATTACAGCTTTGTTGGCTGTTATTTCTTTCAGAACTGGTCTGCTGTTAAAATCAGCCGTTCCATTTTATTAGACTTCCTGCTGCGGGCCAGTTTTCACACAACATTGAGAACCAGATGAGTGAACGGTGCAATCCTCATGTCGTTACAGGTTCCTCATCTATTTTTCTTTTATATCATGTAAACCACAATAATCCCTTCATATCGTCAAATTACTAACTGGCATGGATACATACCCTGTGGCCCGGGCTTTAAATTAGTGAAGTTATCGACGTTGGGTTGGACGTAGGAAGGCTTGAAGGTGGGCAGAACAAACGGCACCTCTCTGCCGTCCAGGGGTAGCTTGGAAGTTATGTAGTCTTCTTTGTCCCCCCTCCCTCTTTCAACCGGTTTGTCTCTGAAAGTGGCTTCGGCTTCGGGGGGCATCTTCATCCTGATCACTTTAAAGCAGAGGAAATCACTCAGTCGGACACAGGAACATTCTCTCAGAGATGTCAGTCCCAGCCCTGGGCAGGATGCCACTTTACCTTGAATCTCCTGCTCGCTGTCTTTTTTCCTCATGAAGTTCTTGCAGCAATTTTTTATACACTCCATGACTGCAGCCGGAAAAATCTATGTGATGATATTCATATGTTGAAATGCACAGAACAGTGATACCACTGGGGCTGGAACAAGACTTACTCTGAATACTTTAGGAAATGATAAAATTCTAAACCCTAAACTCTCATACACAGCAGGAACCCCCAAACTGAACCCACTAACACTGTACAAGTGGTAATGCAACCCAGAAATCATCAAACATTACTTCTACCCTTCTTAAAATGCCAACCTAACTTGGCGTGCAGGTTAAGTTAAACTGCTAACATTAAGTCTAAAAGGTCACAGAGCTCTGGAAAATTCCAATTCCAATGAAATCCACAATTTGTAGTGACCATTCATTAACCTGTGTGGAAAAAGTCTTAAAAAGTGACATCATTTTCCAAATACTGAAAGCACCAAGTCCATGTTGGCATACAATCAGGAGTTGATAACGCTGAAAAACCCAGTTCTACCTCCAAAATTGTTATTCATCATTGATAAAGCTTTTATATAAGTTTTATTCAGATCATCTTAAATTCCTCCAAAGTTTAATTCTAGGGTACAGGGATATACATGGTTTAAGCTTTAGTACATTAAATAATGTACCTATAAACATTTTCTGTATGTAGAGCCAAAATCCTAGCCTCCTTAAACATATATATTTTTTAAAGCTCGTCATGTCTGCTGCTGTGTCGACAAGTGGAACCTTTTTACTTTAACTTGAAAAAGACAAACACAGTGGCACCGTCATGATTGAAAAAAAAAAAAAACCTACCAACTTGGTCAACTTACCCCACATGCGTCTGTGGACAAACATTAACAACATTTTGTTGTGCATGCCAAAAGACCGATTAGAGATTAATAAAAAGTTTTCCTTTTCGTTTCAGGAACAAAAGGATATCTAAAACTGCGGGTTGCATTTTAAGTTAAATCACAAACAAAATCCCAGATAATCCATAAAAATTCAAAAAAAGAAAAATGGACAAGCTCAAATGCAAAACAAAGTGTGGCTTTTTTTTTGCTGATGAGTAGGGGCGATCGTGCGTGAGCCACTCGCACAAGAACAGGCGACTTTTTAACTAACAATGAATCAGCTTTCAGAATGTAAATGATTGACTTACCGACCAAGTTGGAGCCGCGCCGGGCTTCTCTCTCGCCGTGCCACCAGCAGAGAAATGCCTCAGATCTCAGGCTGATGACTCACTTTAGTTACAGGTTTTCTCTCCTCCCTCTGTCTGTGGAACTCGCCGATTCCCGGACTGACAGCTGATATTTGCGCTTCCTTCCCCGAAGGCCGTGAACGCAGCACTTTCTGTTTGAATTATTTTGGTTTTTCTCTCTCTTGCTTGGTATGTTTCTCTGTGAATGCAGTTCGTCATTCTATGTCTTTTTTTCCTTGATGGAAAATCTCAAAACTGCCTAATTCACCCAAGGTGAAACCTAAACCACTGCAAAACATCACAGGACCCAAGGGGAAGCAAATCATATATGAGATAAGAGCGAGGTGACTTCATAAATCCATCATGATCCCGTACTCATCTCCCAGAAAAGCCTCTGTTCTACACCTGCAGACTCATGCTGGCACTGTGCTGCCAAATCTTAAAACTTTAAAGCATATTCATTCTCTGAGCTCACCAGAAAGTGGCACCAACCCCCAACATAAGTGTATTGTCCACAAACAACCTTTTATAAGAATAAATAAAGAAAATTATAATAATGACAATTGATTGTATTGATTTCAAAATACTACGTCATGATCTGGTCTTTAATCGATCATGGGACATCTTATTCTGATGGCCTGTTCAAAAGTCCCCTGTGTGTCGCAAAATGTGAGTAAACGATTCCAGATTTTGTTCTAGTGGTAAAGTAGATGAATGGAAGTTAGGGGTGATGTTCTCCATCACTCTAAATTGACGATAACTGAGTTAAAATATTTTTAAGCAGTCAAACTGTTGTAGGAGTTGTAATGCTGAATACATTGTCAATCAAACAATCTACAAACCATTTGAACATTGGGTCTGATTACAATGCATATATAGCATATCAACAGTGCAAAAAAGAAAAGAGAATTTCTTTTCTTATTCTGAAATTAGTGTAACAATGTAATTACAATTACATGCGTATATATACATATATGTATATATGATATAGTGTGTGCTAGTCTTGTGTGTGTTGAACAGGAACATGGCTCCCTGTCACTGATCCTGTCTGTTGTTCACGGACCGGACTTTGAGATAAAGTCCTTAAAGAGACTAAAGGGTTGTACGCCCGTTCTCTACCAATGCAAGCAGCAACTTCCCAGGCACACTGGGGTAAAGTGTGACACGCCATTCTACCTCCAACCAATGTGAGGCCACAGTTCTAGGCAGGGTAGGGGCGAGTGCTTTCTTAATGTTAGGGGTGTGTCAAGCCACTGCGAGAATTTGTATCTTTTGATAAGGTCAGCATTCCATTAATCGTCAGGGCTTCACTAATGTCATTTACAGCCCTGCCTCTTTAAGTCAAAATATCTACCCTGACTGGAGAAGTTCAAGAATCTCAGGATTTCTTCCAAATATTGACAATGTGGTGCAAGTGACGGGGCTTTGTAGCATAAAGGAGGGGCAGACCCTGAGATACCTGGACAGACTATATCTCTTCTACTTTATCATTGCTACAAAACTGGGAAAAGGTAATTGGGTGAAAGAATGGCAGGGCTTTGCTCCTATGCTAATCACCTCTGAGACCTGGTTTAGGCTGAACAGAGGAAAATTGTATAAGTTTTAAGACAAAAGGGACCTTGGACAGTCTCAAGCTTTCACTTTTCAACAACCTGCATAACTGGTCTTCTTAGTTCTCAAATGCTCAGACAGACTTACCATAATACATTATGTAACGCAGTATCATTAACACGCACTTGATAGTATGATACCATCAAATTCAAAATTAATATTCTTGCAAAAATATGAATCATATTACATTTTCAATTCATATCAAATTGAAATGAGTTGAAAATCATTGCATTATGATCCTTATTTGCATTCGTCAGCATCCAAAGCTCCGGATCCGCCTCACTCTACGGACGGTAGTTTCTGTGGTAAACGTATTTATTTGTCTAAAAAAAAGAACTTTGATCAATAATTCAGTGGAAGACTTTTCGTTACATCATTTCAAATATTGCCTCTGCAAATTCACAACTTGTGTTCGGATGATGAGCTCTTTTTCTGTCAACAATGACCGTGACAAAAAACGACAGCGTGGAAGTCACTTTCACAGCTTAAATGTGAAGGGATGAAGATTCACAGAAAACTTGAGAGAGTCATGCTTCTACAACAATACTCAGCGAGCATAATTTCAACCATTCTATCGTCTGAGGAGAGGATGTCAGAAATTGTACACCATAAATATCTCTCTGTGTCCGTCCTGTAGCTATAAAAGCTCAGTATCCAGTAAACCAGGGTGGGGATTCAAGCACAGGAATGCCTTCCTGTCATCTGAGTCCTTATCGGATGTGCCTTTACTGATGATGACATAATGATAAGATAAACAAAAGCGTTGAGCTGTCTCAAACAAACCAGCTGTGGGTGAGCATAAGCTTTAAGGTGGGTGCTCAAAAGGGGTGCTCTGATACGTATATCGTCAGTCGGATGATGGAGCTGCCTCGGAAGTTGATGACGTTGTTGACGGTGACCATCTCCAGGTCCAGCACCACCTCCTTCGGCCCTTTGATTGGCCGCGACAGAACGAGCGTGGCGCTCACATTACTGGTTTGCTGCAGGGACGGAGAGAAGAGGAATGCAAAGAATGAGGCGACACAGGGTGGAAGCAGCTGGCGTCTCAGTTCTCGTCAGTATTTGCAGGAAGTTAAAACAAGTGCAAAGAAATGGAATCAACCCTGGAATCTTCACTGACATCAATCATTTCCCCACACCTCTTACCCTATATTAAGAGGTGTGGCTCTTAATATAGGGTAAGAGCCATATATGCCATAAGAGCCATATATGAATTCCCAACATTCATTTTTTACCTAAATCTAATAAGAAACTAATTATAATCCTGGATCAAAGTCTAAGTCTCGGTAATTAAAAGATCACTTTGTTCCAGTGGGGGCAATATTTCTATTCCCTTCTTCTCTTTAAGTCCCTATCAGGTGGTGTGCAATCACATATCGGTGTGCATCCTGTGCAAAAAAAAAAATAAATAACAAAAAACAAAAAAAAGGAGTACTTGCAAACACACACTGCCACCTACTAACCTGATGACCAGCATTTTATACTTCCGCTTACTATGCCTTTCCTGTTAGAGTCAGAAATAAAAGGAGTTTCGGTTTGTCCCAGGGACTCATGTCTCAAATATGTCATTGTTTACACCTGTGTTTTCCCAACTGAAAACACGGGCAGAAAATTCCCAACTGTGACATTTATAAATAGAAGGTATTTAAAAGATGATGTCACATAAGTCACTGCCGAATAGAATCAAGTTTCATTGCAATTCTTTTAAATCATTGTGGTAAAAGTATAAAGTATTTGTTATCACACAGCTGGACATTTTATCTTTTTTTAATCATATTCTAAATTAAGTATTGAAAGTTGTTTAATGGCTCTTCAGATCAAAGCAAACTTGTTATTTAAAGATTATCTTGTCTTTTTCTGTGAGGGAAGCAGTAATCCAATCTATTTCATGCCAACTAGAAAAATAAAGTAAATTTAGTTGGAAAACAAACAGTTGAATATGACTGCCTACCCTCTGCTATTGGACACTACAGTGTCCGTTTAACAACTGTTTATTATTGAGCGTTTCTGTCACTTTTCTCATTTAAACAATTTTCAAGATGGATTTTTGTATATTTTCTTTTTTTTCTGGTAACTTAATATTCCTTGCTGTGTAGTTTGTGTTGTGTCTTTGACACACTGCAGATATTTCCTTTGTTTTTCTTTGCTTTTGAATAGTTTCTGTAGGTGGCACTGTAACCCACGTTGACCACACAGCTTTTTCTCTGTTGATTGCATGAAAAAAAAATTTTTCACAGATGCACAATATCCATAAAGACTGCTTATGGAGCGCAAGTTAAAAAAAACATATAACTTAATAGGAGTTTAGTTACATCTGGTATCTCTTCACAAGTTAACTGTCGTTTGGTTTATCTTCAATTTATGGACGGTTCACTTTCTCACCCTCATGTAAAACTCTCGACCGTCGTTGCCCGACTTTATCTGAAAGATGTAGAAGGAGCCCGGGTAGCGTGTGGTGGCCTGCATTTGGAAGATGTCGGTCGGGACGCTGCGCTCTGACAACATGTCCATGTGTCGGTACAAAACCGTGAAGGGCCTCTCCCTGCAGGCCGGGTTTTCAGCCGAGCACATACACTGACTGCAAAGAAGGAGGTAGGTTTAGGTTTGGAAGGTGGGGGGGGGGAAGCTTTTCAAAATCAAGCAGTTCAAATATCTGGATCGAAATAACTGCAGAGAAATGAGGAGTAAAACTCACTTGTCACTAACGATGACATAAGGAATTTCGCACTGTAAAGGATTTAGGCACGTGTAGCCTCCATGGAAGTTGAAGCATACTTGTTCTGCTGTGCAGGTGTTGTTGCCAGTGTCACATTCACTGATATCTTCAAAATGAAAAAACAAAACAAAATCCAATGTATCAACAGTGGAACTGTGTGCCAGTATAAAAACACTGAATATGTGAATATATGAAGATTCTTTTGTGATCTAACGTCTAAAAGGTGTTAACGTTTGGCCTCTGCACTTAACCTTACCTTCACAACTCCTGCCATCTTCAAATACATAATAACCAGGTGGACAGATGCAGGCGAAAGAGCCAGGGGTGTTCACACATCTGTACTGGCACAATAACTCAGAGAAACTGCACTCATCCAAGTCTACGTGAAATGATGAATGTAAAATAAATGGGTTAATACACATGCATGTTCAAAAATAACAAAACAAACTTGGGAAAACTGTTGGTACGTGTTGATTTAGTTACATTTTTCATTTTGAACACACCACATTACTTTTGGTCTTTAAAGACATGCGTGTATCCTCACCAATGCAAGTTGTACCATCAGATGCCAACTCGAATCCCTCATCACAGTTGCACATAAATGAGCCGTAGGTGTTGAAGCAGCCATGAGAGCAAGGCTCATCTTCACATTCATCCACATCTAGATGAAAGACAGGGGGTGGAAATTAGCACGGCTCACAGCAGGGAACAGAGGTGTGGCCCACCAGCACACCACGTGATGAGACGTAAAGAGCCCGTTTTTTAACATCTCATGAACATTTTCATTCAACACACAATGGATTTTACAAAGAAATAAATCAAAATCTGAATGAGCGGTGACATCGTGGAAGGGGTTGTTTTTGTCTCTCTCTCAAGGAATCGTTCATGATAAGAACATTTAGTTTTATACATATTCATTTTCATTTCTTCTTGGATATTTAAAAAGATTTAGTAAATGTCAAATTTCATATTGGAAGAAGATGTCCAAAATTCAATATTTATCATAACCACAAAGTTACATTTATGAAGAATAATATTACATTTTGAACTCTGTCAAAATAAAGTGTGAATATATGTAAATAATTGGGTTGATGACTGTAGAATGAAAGAATTTTTTTTTATGTAAGGTCATGCCTTAGTTTTTGCCACAAAAAACAAATCTCTCATGGTTGTATCTTCCTAATACATGATTATAGGCTTTATACAGACTCTATCAATGTCCTCATTCAAAAAAATGAACCGACTGCAGTTCTGCTAGCTTAGCTTGTGTGTGAGTGGTTGGGTGGAGGACGGAGAAGCTCCTGGGAATCCTTTTCAGTTGCCTAAGAATGAGTTCCTGGAGCTCTCAAGCTGCAGTTTTTTTTTTTGTTCACAAACTTGTGTCTCCAAAGTTATTGCCCAAGCAAATGAAAGTCTTACAAAGATGTAACCGGTTGAAATTTCTCAGTAATAGCATGAATGACTCCATTTGGACAATATTTCCACATGATTTTTTTCCTTCTTAACACGCACACACACAAAAAATCATTCTCTAAAACTTAATGAAAAAAAAATCACAGACAATAAAATTCATGTTTACGTTTGAAAGAATATTTTCATGTGTCCAAACTGCTTTGAATTTGTGTTTGAACTAATATGTACATGTGTGAGCACTCGAAGTCATGCAAAATTTACGCTAATTAACGTAGCAAATGGAATTAAATCTTTAAAGACAAATTTTCCATCTATTTTCATTAACATCTGTTCATGTGCATACCCTGGCAGGTCCGGCCGTCTGGATTGAGGAGGAAGCCGGGGTTACAGGAGCAGGAGTAGGAGCCGGGGACATTTGCACACAGCTGTTGGCAGTAACCGTAACGGCATTCGTCGATATCTGGTGAAAGGGACAAATCAAATGACTTATGAGACATGACCGGTGAGACTGACTGTCCTGCTGCACTACGTCTGACAATATGAAGAGGGCACTGCTCTTCTGGAAGAGAAGAAAGGCCACAAGGTTTATCCTTGAATGGAGATGAAGCTAGTATTTTCTTTTCTTCTGTAATCAAGCCAATGCACCCCTTAACCATAGCCTAAATATGTAGGCATTGTTCACACCCAAGCTCATTTTCCCCAGCTCTTTACATTTATAATTCATCCATTGGGTAGCTTTGCTCATTTTGCATTGGATAGGTCAATAATAAAAAAACTAATTGGACTCAAATGCTTTTCTGATGCCTAAAATCAATAAAACGACATCATGCATTTTCAAATGTTTACTTTGGGAGAATTAAGTCTCACTGTAAAGAACAACTATGATGTACAAATAATAGAAAAAAATAACAACAAGGCACCTTTTTCTAAATGAATGAGTCAAAACTATGCCATAAAGTTTAATCTCTCACCCTGACACTGTCCACCAATGAGCCAGTAGCCTTCGGTGCAGGAGCAGGTGTAACCGCCCGATGTGTTGATGCAGACCTGGGTTGGGTTGCAGTGATGAGAGTTTGTCTCGCATTCATCAATGTCTGCAGAGAGAAAAAAAACATGGCTGAACAAGCCGATAAGATCAGAACAGACACTGAATAAAGACGTTTTAAAGTTAAAAAAGAAACACCAAGTCAAAACTCCACTCCAATATAACTTGTATATTGTTTAAGTTATAGAATGGTGAGAATGTGAAGGTATGCTGTGTGGTATGTTGGGATGAGAGCGCCATCTTGTGAGGAATGTTCCTCCGCTGCCTCTAAGGGACATTGGAGGGAGTAGAACAAAAAAAAAAAAGAATATGCCTCTCACAAGGAGTGATTGAGTCATGCTGCTGGATGTGAGGACGTCTACTAAACAAGCCATTATAGAAACAAACAACTTGATCCCTTGCTCGCTGGCTTCAATTTTTGGGGGATATTTTATTTAAGTGAAAAAATGTGTCTTACTGGCACATCAATTCAGTGATACGTTCATTTCAAGGAGCCATTTGTAGTGGATCAAATGAGTCACTGGAAATCTGTTTTAACGTTGGAATATTGCACGTTCTTTTCTTTTTTTTACTTGAAATTTTAAGATTTAAAGGTTTAGAAATGAACTGAGATATTATTACTGACTAATCCTGCAGTTTAAGACAAGAAACACTATCCTGAAATGTATAATTGAATTAACTATGTCCTTTAAAAATGAGGCACCCAAAAAAAGCGGAAACAAAGTTAAACATGATGGCATGTTTGTAATATCAATTCAAAGCATGCTACAGGTGAATTAACACATTTAATTAAATGTTTTCCTTTTATTATTAAAAGAGAAAAAAAGCAGATTAGTCCCAATAATGTGGTTGTTGCGGATACTGCTAATGCCAAGTGTTTGAATTGTTTTATAAATTTGTGTATTATTGTCTTTGGGAAAAGCTTGTATGTGGTGGCTTGCAGTAAGATAAATGTTTTCCTATCTTTTTTTTAATGTTTGAATGTTTTTTTTATCCTTTCCTATTTATCACCCCCACCAACTAATCATTGCTGAAGTTAATTTCTACAGCTCCCATATCCATGTGTATCATAAGTAGTATCAAACATTAAAAAAAAAACTTTAAAGCTGTACAGCAGACAGGCTAAAGCCCTGCCCCAGTCGCTAAAACTTATAAAACATGCCTCATTTAATAAAAACAACCTCGAACTGTCTCGTGTCCATAAATGGGAAGAGCCTACAGAGTACACCCCCAAACCACGTCCATGTCCTGAAGGGTCAGAGCCCTGTTGTATTTTGTAATGCCCCCATTTTATAGGTCTGTCGCTGGCTAAAAACGTGTCCACTAGACTTGCATTTTTCCCCATTAGCATGGAGATCATATCAGCTCTGTTCTATTCAAAAGTTTCTCACAGAGACTTTCTCCACCCTGGGTTTGGAAAGAAAGAAAAAAAAAGCACTTAAAACAACAGTTAGCTTTTCAACTAAGCGTCAACGCACAAATGTTTTCGCACAAGATAAGCGATATCTCCCATTTCAATCTCAATTCCTCGACGCCTTGGGGCAGCGTGCACTCCGCATCATAATGGCCACATTTCCTTATGAGGATATGGCAAATTAGGAAATCCAACCTCAGTTTACGGTTCTCAGACTGTGAAGTCACCAATCTCTGCGGCAGCGGTGGGGAAAGTGGGTGAGAGCCCGATCGTTTCTGTTTGGACAGGCAGCTTTGATAAGTGATAAGGTCTGCATGTGGGACCGTTGGCCTTTGTGCCAGCCCCGGCCACTGCCCTTACACAGGCCTGGAGAATTCGGAGAATTCAGCCACCGGCCAAAAGCTAAGCGACGGCAGCACCTGCTAGCAGTTACTACCGAGAGACTCTCTGAAAGGCCCTCATCTGCGCAGCATGTGTAGCTTCATTGTAAATCTCCGACAAATACGCGCACACAACCTGAAGTGTTTCAGCTATTCCTCCCCGTATAGCCTGCTTCACGAGCTGTCCACAAAAGCTTTACGGCCGATGCTGACAACCCCAATTAACTTCAGAGAAGACACACTGACTTTTCCTTAAGCGCCCAGAGTGTGTCAAGCTAAAGTAGAATATCCTTAAAAACAGAACACATTTTGACAGAGATTGTTTTGAAATGCAATAACTGTTTTTAATGTGCTGTTTAGCATTTTTTATCAATTTTTTTAAAGGCTTGAAGTACTTTTCTAAAGCCACAGAGGACCACAGAGGCCTAATCTCTGAAAAGGCCTAACTCCTAAATAATAAGCATTAAAGAACCACACTAAAATCCTTTTTTTAAAAACGCTAAGTTGCATATTTAATTGAATTGATGAGTGATTCAGCTGTTTTGATGTGATGTTATCTTACCCAAAATGTCTAAATCTACTTTGGAGCACAGTAGGTGACTAGCCAGGGCCAGCTTTTAGAATTCAAGCAGGGCTAAATCCCAGATTTAAATGGATTTTAAAAAAGACCTGCCTGGTCCACTTCAATCATGACTCACGGTTGACACAAAAGATATCATGATATGTTGAATGATTTTCTTTTTTTCCACAACTTATAGTCAATTTGCACAAGTTTTCAGTAGCAATGACAAGCTAAGCTAAGGAGCTAATGGCTTAGCTTAACATTTATCCACCTCACATACAAATGTGTCGGTTGGCATTTCCCCCAAAATGACTTACTTCGACAGCTTCTGCGCGCAAAGCTCAGTTCACAGAAACAAGCGGTTCATAAAACGTTAAATGGTCGCAACCACCAATAACGTCAGTTAGCACCTTTTTCTGCGGATTTCAACACTGCCAGTAAGCTAATCCACATCATCGTACAGCTGTATCCAGCTGTATTTCTGTTGTCATAGCTGAATAAGCAAAATTCCCTCCAGCTAGGCTTTACATTCCAGTGGAGTTACTTCCCGGTGGCTGCTACAGCAACACAATGATGCGTGCTGTTTTGTAGTGGCACGTTTTGTAACTGCGCATCTAAAAGAATGGCAAGAAACTGTGTTCTGCATGGGTGGAAACAGCCCTGGCAACACAAATTCCTGCTGTTTTTCGAATTCCAGTTAACTTAAGCATTGATAGATTACAGTTGCTGAACAAGAAACGGGCTCCCTGCCTGCTTGTAGTTGGAGCGTTAGCCACAGAATTGAATCGAGGCGTATCGGAGGCCTAATCAGTTCCATTGTGCCCTGCAGACTGGTGCCATTAAGGAAAGTGATGGAGGATTGTGGCCCTAACTTCGAGACAAAGCCATGTTTGTTGCAGGTTCAGACAAGAAGTCACAGTCTGTGTAGTTTCTGCCCCATAGCAACATCAATCAGCAACCCATGACATCACTGCACACGCAAAAACACACACATGCCAACCTTCAGAAGTGTCCAGACTTGTAACGAGTGGCCCCCACAGAGGCATGCCTGTTTTCTAGGCCTGGCCTGAACTCAGACTTGGTAACACATGACCTCATTTCTGGCACCCTAGTTCACCCAAACAAGGTTGTGAGCCGATTCATTGGCAGGCCCTCTCCCCTACGAAGAGAAACAGTCCATATTTGTGCATAAGCTAAACTGGTGCTTTCCTTCAGAGTGAGAAAACCATAAGAAATGTATATCATTCCTCCCTCAGTACAGCATATACAGCTGATCTATCTGAAATATCAGGCAAAAACCCCCAAACGGAGGCCATTTACAACGGCTTGGGCCAACAAACTGATGAATATTCAGTATAGATACTATTTTATTTGACACCCGGGGTGTCTTGGGCTTTTACAATCAACCAAAATCAAATCAAAGTTATCCCCTTTCCTAAGCTGAAAGCCCCTCTGTCTGTGTGGCTACTGCAAACATCTGTCACACCGATTCGATTCATTTATGCGATCCCTAGAAATTCAACCCCAATCTTTAATAACTTGACCAAATTCTGGGCTCCTATCGGTTTTCCTTTTGTCAGCATGTCCATATAGTTTCACCGGAGCATCTAATAAACAGCAGGAGGTGGCAGATGTCTGGACTGTAACTGTAGAGATTTAAAAAAAAAAAAGAGGGAGAGACTAACAGCTACAGCTCTGGACAGGTCTTCCCTCGTATCTCCCGCAAGCAGTTAGTTGCCATAGATTCTTCAAAAGGTAAGAACTCACTCAGGGGAAACTCAACAGAAAAAATCAGCAATCAAGATCAACAGTGGTTGGAGTACCCCGAAAATAAATTGTGTCACAGCAGTAGTGTTATGCGATCACAGAAATATACCTTTGCAAGAAATGCAGAGAAAGTTGTGCAAATGAAAGCTTATTTAAAAAGGGAAAAATCAGTCTGAGAAAAAAAAAATAAAGCATCGACACATGTAATGTGTTACAAGGGGGGGATAAAAATCTCAGTCCACTACAAACTGACTTCAGGCGCATTGTTAACTGTAAATTCTCTTCTTATGATGACTGGGTGTAAACACTGACCCACCGGCCAACAGACGATTTATCTGGCTCACTTAACACAAGCAGAGTGAGGATGACATGATGAAAGTAAAATAACAGTAAAACCTGACAGGAAAAAGTTGCCGTAAACACTCTTTTAAACATGACTCGGTATAACTCGTCGTTTTTGTTACCCTGAGAAACACCTTTAGCAAAAGCAAACCACCTCAGTTGGTTCTGAGGGCTGCATTCAGACTTGAGTTACCTTAAAAGAGATAAATCTTCTAAAAACGGAACGGTTGATCAAATTGAATAATGACTCTTTAAGCCACAGAACATGATGCTTCCTCTACCATGCTTCACAACTGAGACTAGAAAGAATAACCGATTCCCTCAAAAGGCTCTAACAGCGCCATTTATTCTCTGTGTTGTTTTCACTACTGGTGTAATATTTTTTAATATATCGCTTTTCACCTTGTACAATTGGTGTGATTACATAAAAAAAAACTCCTCCCTTACTCCATGAGTAAATAAAGTGTATTAATGTGGACCGATTAACAACAATGAATGACTCAAAATAATACTAACACTATCTCTAAACTCCTATCGCTCTTTTTTAAGAATCTCTGGTTGGGTCTGACTGTGTAGTTATTGGTAATCACTTACTGAAAAACATTTCTATCACACAAAATCAGACCATTTTGCCAACGTAAGAACGTGGATAAAGAGACGAACCGTTACAGGTGCCATCCGCCGCGGGAGCGTATCCCAGAGTGCACAGCACCGGGCTCCCCACTCTGGGGTAACTTGGCCCGACGGGTCTGGGACCGGCCGGCAGGAAAGTCTCCGCGTTGCCCTCGGGGGGGTCCGGGTAGCTGAGCTCGGGCAGAACCGGGCCGCTTTGTCTGTAAGGCCGATCGTACAGGCCGGCCGAGATGCAGCGGTAACCGCCGATCTGGTTGACGCACTCCATGTCCCCCTGGCAGGGCTGCGGCAGGATGTCGCACTCGTTCACATCTGGAGAGCAGAGCAGAGGTAGAGCAGAGGTAGAGCAGAGCACCCGTGGAGACATTCCTGCATCCAGAACATCTGTCCGACGAGGGGATTCGCTCTGGATCACTTTTAATCGGGCGGCAGCTGAGGGGTGAACATGAAAACAGATGCCACTTACCTGCACACCTCCTTAAGCCAATGTCAAACGCAAAGCCATTGATGCAGGTCTGAGGAGAGATGTTGAACAGGCTGTTAAAGAGTGTGTCAGGCAGACCTGGCATAGCTGATGGTAGTTTAAAAAAATAAATAAATTCCTATAACACTTGGAGAGTATTTCATCAGTCAATACATAGATATTTATAGATAGGCTATAGGTGTTTTCTTTGAAAACTTTTTCCTTGTTTCTTTCAAAGCAGCATCAAAACCAGGTGTCGTGTTACCTGTCCGTGCCCAGGCTGGATCCAAAGCAGAATAAATACCAGAGCAGCCAACATCCTGCAAAGAAGGGAATTTCAGGAACAGCTGGTTGAAGAAAACGGGGAGCTCAACACACGCATCCTGTTACGTATTCATTCAATCCAAAGCCATGTCAAAAAAATCCGAGGAATCCATCACACACCAAAAAAAAATCTAGCTGTATGTAAGAATACTGACCTTGGAGAAGCACAAAACCGGGGGCCACCTATTTCAAGAAGCATGGTTTTAATGGTTTCTAGAGAGCTCTCCCCCCTCAAAGGAAATATTCAGACGACCCGTAAATCCGATTCCCAGCGGGGCCCTCTCACCAACCCCCCCCTCAACTATGCGCCCTTATACGCGAAAGCCGACACCAGGTTTTCATCAAGCACGATTGTCTGATCGAGCCGGAGCTGCGGCACATTGACCAACCGTTGAAGGAGTGTCTTTTCCGAAAAATGGACCGTCCCGTTTTTTTTTTTTTTTGCCCCCGGATCCCTTTTCGACCGTGCTGGTTATTTAGCTATGCAAATTGACGGGCCCCCTCCGAGTATAGCTGCTCTCCCAACAGCTGGATTCAATCAGGAGATCCAGCCTCTCTCTCCTATGCCGGAGTGCGCACAGGCTCCAACCAACAAGCGACCACTCCGCTCATTGATTTTTATTTTTTTTGGGGGGGGGAAAGGGGGGGGACACGAAGCGTACAGTGTGGGTGTCCGTTTCCAGAAGTTACAAACACCCTCAAACACACACACGCACACACACACACTCCTCCTCCTCCTCCCTGGGTGGAATGACACTGCACAATTGGCGCCAACATCTGGATCATGCATGCGCGTAAAAATGCGAAGGAGTAAAAAAATAAAAAAATAAAAAAAAGTTTAAATTGAACTCTCACTACCAAGGGGGTCGCCAATGGTACCTTTATTAGATTTGAAATTCCAATTAGGTCACGGGTACCAGCCACATTTGAAGTTCATCCAAGTTCAAGGTACTCCAACTTTTTACCTTTCCACCTCCAAGTTTCAGACTTTATATCTACAAAAAAAAAAAATCCTTTTACAGCGGGGGATTTACAAGTTTATACATTTCGTCAATACATCTCGATAAATCTTCTCACATTCCTTCGGCAGAGGCTGACTGATGTCTGTACAAAAATGCGCAGCGGCTCAGTCACGTGTTGGCCCTGCTCTGATCAGGTAGAACTCATGGATGTGAACTTCTTTCTTTACCTTTGTACAATTTGCAAATATAGATATTTATATTAACCATTTACAGACCCGATTATAACACCGTCTAATTAGCTCAACTCCAGGCACTTTACTTCCATAAAGTCCTTAGTGCCTATAAATAGAAAAAATAATAATCACCCATTTACACACACACACATTATACCTATATATGTGTGTGTATATATATATAATAGTGCTGTGCTTAAACATAAGAGCAGTCTCGACCCTCCAATAAACCACAGTCTGCAGCCATAATTATGATCGTTGCATTTCGCAGTCTAGCCGTCTGGAAAAGACAAGAGCTTGCAAAATTTGAAAGAAAAAAGAAAGAACTTCTTTATGGTTTCCACAGATGTACTGAACCACATAAATCTCGACGCAGGCTGCTGTGACTGCCAGTTTTTTTAAGGCAGCTCCTGGATCAGAGAAAAGCTCACTAAATTGTAGAGAAGGAGGAAGGGGGAAAAAAAACAAAAACAAAAAAAACAAAAACAAGAAAACACTCTGAGGACAAGAGGAAACAAGCCGTTGGGTGCCGGCCGAGAGAAAAGCAGAACGACTCGTGTCCTCCTGCACACGGAGCTGACGGTTCGACCCGACCCACGCTTTGAACCCGAGCACGGTCAGTTTACAAGGTCACTTATGTTTGGGAACCCCGGTAGGACGAATTTGAGTCACCTGCCCCGCTCATTTTTCTGTTCGTGGGTCAAGACGCAGCACTAACGTGGAGCTGGAAACATTTTCGGTGATGAGTAAAGCGGGACTCTGTTGCATAGAACTGTATCTGGGAGTGAAACGGACTAAAACCTTGGAAAGATGGCAGAAATGGGCGCATTATGAATTGTCGGATCTTGAAAAGGAGAATGAGATGAATGAAAACGAGCAGTGATGAGCAGCGGGGCGTGGGTTTCTTAAGTCTTTGTAGTGTTGGACAGGTCGTGGTGGATGGGTTGAGGAATTGGCGCGACGCTCCTCACTGCTTCAGCAAGTCTTTGAGCACGGCTCCACCGCTGGACTCGGCTGAGACGGGCACTGGCGTGAAGGTGGGCAGCGCGTTGGAGATGGGCTTCATCAGCAGGTGGCCTCCGGAGCCGCCGGAGCCTGAAGCGGCCAGCAGCGGCACGGCGGCGGAGCGAGGGGCCAGGAAAGGGCTGGACTCTCCGGCCCGCCTGCTGCCTGCTGGAGCCCCTGTGTCGACGGGGGGATGAAGTTTTAAAAGAGCTTGGCGTCTCTTTACTAAACAACTTCTAAAGTTGATCATGAACAGAAAAACGCCAATTATTCAAATTACTCACCTGCAGCAGCGGAGGCAGAAGCCCCGCCTCTGCCCGGGGGAGGGGCGCTCAGAGGCGTGATGTCGTGGACTGGAAGCCTCGGCGCTGGCAGCGAGGGGGTCGACTCCATCTCCAAGAATTTGACAAACATCTCTGAGAAAGACTGGAAAAAGCAGAAGACAGAAGGGGTGGGGGGGGGGGTATTCAGTCCAACTTTTCAGTTCTCAGCAACTAAATCAATAAAAAAAATCAATACATAAATAAAAGACTTATGTGTCAGGTCCGTTAAAATGACAAAATTGCTCGTTGGACTTTAACAGATAGTCATATGCAGGAAAAAGATTTTGACCGCGTGTTTTTGCTGACAACGTTATTTCAAGTCAAAGCAAAGCGATTGATTTAAAAAAAACAAAAAAAAACATATCTAGATACTTGAACGCAAATACGTCCAATGTCTTGTGATGAACAGACAGAGTGAAAAGCTGGCAGAAGTTGTTACAAATGGCTTCCTCTGTGTTTTGATTGATTTATTTCTTTTACCGAGTTCAGGCTTTGACCGCTGTTGGGCCTCTGCGGAGTGTTAGGGACGCTTTGTGCTCCTCTCCCGCCCAGCCAGCTGGACATCCATCCTGTGACCCCGCGCCGTCCGTCCTCCTCCAGCATCTGCACACAGGGGGGCGAGGAAGTTTAAATAAATCCTGCTGGATCGGAAGAAGAAACAAACGTCTCCAGGCCATCGGCAGCATCTCGTAATTTTTGGGATAAATATGAAAAAAAAAAAAGAAAGTATCATTCACTCTTTTCATCCAAAGCCCAAGAGTACATAGGGTTGGCAAAACAAACATTTTGGACTCAAATCGCTCCGTTTTTTTTTTCCGGTTGGGCGCCACTTTCTGGAAAATGATTTTGTGGAGCTGGTGTCTCGTTGAGCTGATGTGCAGCTCTCTGCAGAGGGTCAGAACGTCCATCCGTCATGCTCCCTGATGGTTAGAATCTTTCCCCCTGGTATGCAGAGATTGCGTGGATTACAGAGTTAGGCCTTTAAAGGCATTACAGGGGGAACTGCGGTGCCACTGAGAGTGATTTTGTAAAGTCTGCTGGTTTTGTGGGACACTTGGATGCTTCTAAAGTGGAAACTTTAAATAGCATGAGCAGGAGATGACGGAAGGATGAGGATTTTAGAAAAAAAAAAAAAGCAGAAGCTTATGGACCACAAACGTAACACAAATGGCTCTTTAAAGTGTTGCAGTTTCATTTGCCTCTCACTCTGTATCTGTTTTCCTTTAAGAGGGTTGGGTAATATGCTGTGGAATCGTTGGATGGAGTCCCGCAGGGCTCCTGCCAGAGAATCTGGATAAGAAAATGCTTTCTTTTTCGGGGCCTGGGCTCTGAGAGGGTTTTCAGCGACAGCTGGAGTTTGGAGAAACGGCCGGACGGTGACTTTCCGTCTCGGAAGAACAAGCTTACGTAATTCATCATTTTAAAAACTGTCAAAGGTCTGTTATCTCACCGCGACCTGCAGCAGAGAATGAAAACAGTGAAATGAACCCTAAATTGAGGCAGCCTGACATAGAATCGAGACCTCGATCCCAGATGGTTAGAGCTGTTGCCTGACTTGAACTATGTAGTACGCTTCTGAATCTCTATATATTTCCACAACAGTGCCATAAAAAATAAAAAAAACTTGGCCCCAAGACAAGACTCACTGAGAGTTATAAATCTAGGATTTAGGTCTTTCCATGAGGCGTCACTGGAAGATCATTTCAAGCAGAACTCTCTACTTTTAAACAGCTCAATTAGAAAAGGAAAAAAACACCAGATTTCATCCTTATTAGTTGCATGTCTCCTCAGAGTAATGAAGGGCTACAGTGTGTTCAGAGCTGGGCCATTTAAAACAACTTACTCCTAGGAGACTTTCACTCCAACAACTTGGAGAGATCCTCCAGGCCAAGGACAACTTTCAGAGATAATAAGTGGGGTTGCCCCTTCTTTGACCAGAAGTCACAGTTTGGATTGTCCTCAGAAATGTTGGCTACAGTAATGCCACTCAGCACCAACCCCTCCCTTTTTTACCCCCCCCCCCCCCCCCCACACACACAAACACATTACATCAGTCAATACATCAGTCCTCCTGTCTTACACATCGAACCCATACAGTTTCACACACTCATACAGCTACATCGCACAGTCTCCCAAATATTTTTCTTTTCAACTTCAAGACTTTTTCAGACCCATTCTTTAAATTTTTCCCTTTCATCTCCAGAGAAGCTACAGCTGGAAAATGGCAGAAACCCCTCTGTCACTTTGTGTTTGTGTAAAGGCGTGAACATGTGGGCAGAATGCAGCTAAAACAGAGGACAATGAGCCACATCGCAGCGAAGGCGAGCGTGAATTTGTAAAACTAAGGGATTATGCTGCTTGTGATGTAACCCCAAAACCTGAAACTCAAGATATAAACAATGAATTCAGAGCAAAGTACTGAAATCTAAATATTTGTGGTAAGTTTTTTTTTGTTGTAAAAGCGACAGTACCACTGCGAAAGCTCACACCATCTACCTTGAACACAATGATGTGATTTAAAACAACCCCAGAAATCTCTCACCTGATCCACGTCTTCTCGACTCAGTCCCAACACACTTCCCATGAGCCTCAGCACATCTGCACGCTTGGCTTTAGGCGTGTGGAAGTACCCCACGAAGAGGTTACGCATCAGGACTCTGCAGAGTAGCAGGAAGACACAGTTCAAGTTAAAGTTCCTATGCAGTTTATAATATGATAGAAAGCAGATCATTGTTTATCAATACAGACAACTCTTCTAAAATCCCTTAAAACAGTCTTACTAATTAATAAATATTTAAACTGAGCTTGAGAACAGAGGATATGACAGAACTTACTTGTCTATCTTTCCCTCTGTGCTGTTCAGGAGGTTCATCAGTTTCTTCTGTGCCTCCTCCAACATCTCCTGCCTCACCTCCACTGCGGCACGAACACAGAAAAACAAAACAAAAAAATAAAAACAGGGAGATAAACTTTTAATGACCTGGAAAGCCTCATCGCCAAACATCTGCCTTTGCATAAAATAATGAGGGGGGATAAGGTGGGATAACTGCATTCACTGCTCGCCTAACATTACATTTATTTCCTACTGCAAGGAAGCAACTGTTTTTTAAAACTGCTGAGTCATTTTGCATCTAAATAAAAACACACTGACAAGTTTACGCATAATTTAACAAGGTTAAATAGCTGTTTAATATTCACCTTTGGAAATGACAAATATTATTATAATTCCAGAAAATATTAATCCCATCAACTATTCTGTGTGTGTGCATCTCAAATATATATATATATGCACACACACATGTCTGAGAGGCATAAATGCTGTCCAGACATTCCAAAGTTAAGTCTCTGTATGGTGTGACTGGAATTCTTACAACTAATCAACTACTAATCAACATGATATGAATTTCCCTATTGGTAAGAGGCTAGCAAAATAAAGATAAAGGCTCACTTTGGGACTGGAGAAGCACAGCCTGAGAGCGGCTGACAAAAATAAACAGTCTGTGAATCCATTATAGTGTGATGTAATGCTCGTACCGGATAAGAGTGGTATCTGCAGAGTGTGACTCAAAAATGTAGATAAAATATATGTATGGATGAGGGGATATGAATCACTAATACTGGGTTAAATACGTTTATGATAAGGACAGACGTCTGTTTAAAGGCTGCCAAGGGGTGGGGGAAAGCTATATATATATATATATATGTACAAACAAACGTAGACATAAAACATTTATTACAGCTTCTTAGTTGGGAAAAACAACACTAAAAACCCTTCAAAACAAAGAGTTTCTGTTAGATAGAATCACCCAGCTTTATCCTCACCTTGTTTCTTCAGCTCTTCAATTTGCTCCTCCTTCAGATCAATCTGATCCGTGAGCCGAGATGCTGAATCTAGCGCGGCGTTGGCCTCGTCCAAGTTAAGCTGATGGAAAAAAAGAAAAGCAGCCTTTAGGTAAGTTTTAACGAGATATTTCTGGGAAGAATGAATGACACACCACGGGATGCATCCTCTTACCTGGAGAGCGGATGTTTGGTTTTCCAGCATAAGAGCTTTTCTCTTCCACTCTTCCTTCTCCCTCTTGAGCTTTTCGAGCTCTGCCGAGTACATGGCTTTCTCTTCTGAAAGGAAAAAATGTCACACATTTTTAATATAAATGCATTACAACAAGAAAATAGTAATTTCTTGTAGCATTTGCCGTCATAAGGGTAGAAATACAGCCACTTAATAGCATGTAAATGGCTGGCAAAGCCACGTCTCTGCTTGCCAACTTGCCTTGTTGGAACTGCTCTAGCACCATCTGCAGGTTGGAGAGGGACACTGCGTACTGGTTGACCTGCTCCTGAGAGGTTCTGAGCTGGGCGACAGTGTCGTCCCTCTGCTTCACCACCCTGCTTAACTGCTCCTGCAGAGACTCCACCTGCATGCTGGCCTGTTGGCTGGAGAGAGAGCGAGATGAGTGCTTTAAAAAAAAAAGACTTCCTCTGATCAAACCTTAGGAAACACAGAAAAATCTGAAACTGGACTCTTATCGGCATCATTCTAAAATTCCGGTCACATGGTCTGTATGCGGCAGCGATCTTGCTCCGTTTCAAACCAGATGTGGCAGCTGTTTTTTGCTAACCTGGCATTCTCCACAGCGCTGGAGGACGTAGCCACCTTCTCGTCCAGCAGCGCCACCCGCCGTCGCAGCTCGGTCTCCCTGTCCTCGGCAGCGAGGGCCTCTCTCGTGTAGGAATCCTCAATCTCCAGCAGGTGATTGCGCAACCTTTCCAGCTCCAGGTTTAGTCGCTGCTCTTTGTCCCTCATATGCTGCAGCTGTGACGAAAGATATTCAAAACCACAAACTCCAATTTTATTTCTGCATTTGACACATTTTGCTTTTTAAAAGTTGAATGTTCTTCATCAGTCAAGCCTTCTTTTCCTTAAAAATGTGGCATTGTGGCTCGTGTGTCCAGCTGTGCACTACAGAAGAACAAACTATGGCTGTGGTCTCGGCAGGCTGATGAAGTTTTGAAATTCAAGTTAAGGCTTGTTTTATAGTCACCGGTGAATCGTTCTAAAAAGCAAGCTAAATATTATTCTCGGTGAAATTATGATCTTGCCATGATCAATGCCCTTTCCAGCTATTAAGGGTGCACATTCATGTGACTTTCTACCAGGGGAATGAGGTTCAGCCTCTTAACAAAGACATTTTCCGATCCCATCAATACCGTCCTACCTCATTCTGTACTGCGGTGGTCTCCATTTGTTTCTGCTTGAGAGCCATCATCATCTGATCCCTCTCATGCTGGAACATCACAGCTTTCTCCTGCATCGACTGCAGCTCATTCAGGAGCTGATTCAGCTCTCCAGATTTACCCTGATCAGAGAAAGGCCTTGGGTTGACGTGGAGTGCAATAGATTTCTTTCAGCGATCACATCACCAAAGAAAAAGAAAAGAGGAAAGGACCGACCTGCTCTTTGTCTTTGAGCATCCTCTCCACCGTGGCAGACTTTTCGCTCATTGCGCTCAGCTCAAACTCCTTCTCTCTGAGCAGGAGGGAAACCTGCATGTTGGTCTCCTGCAGCGCCCGGAACTCCGACTCTTTCTCCCGGGAGCGCGCGGCCACTAGCTCGTTCTCCTCCTTCAGATTCTTCACGTCCAGCTCCAGAATCAGAGCGCGCTCTTTGAGGTTGGTCACGGCCTGCTTCAGCACCTCGTTGTCATTCTCACGGTTGCGCAGCGCCTCGCTCACATGGGTCAGTTGGTCTCCTTTGGTTTTGATGAGCAGGTCTTTCTCCCTGACGGACCTCTGCAGGGACTCCAGCCTCTCTCTGGCCTGCCGGGCCTCCTCGGCCTGGCTTCTCTGCTCGCTCTCGGAGGCGGAGGCCGAGTTGGACAGCCGGTGGTTGTTTTCTTGGAGGGTCCTGACCGTGTTTTCTTTCTCCGTCAGCAGCGCTCTCAGTCGTTCCAGCTCCTCCAGCAGCCTGATGTCGTTCAAGGCTGAGGCACTTTGCTGACTCGGGGCGTTTGCTGTTAGAGGAGGGCCGCGGCTCTGAGCGGCTACCGCTTGCGGAGTCTGCGCTACGCTGTCCAGTTTACCCAGCAGGACGTCCTTGGTGGTGCTCAGCTGAGTGATGGTCTGCTGAACCTGGGCGAGTTCCAGGCTCAGGCTGCCCAGCCTCTTCTCTTTCTGCTCATAGCTCTGGATCAGCCGGGTGTAGTCCACTGACAGCTTGGAGCTGCAGTCGCTGTCGGCGGTCACCTGACTCTGGAGCTTGAGCAGCTCCTCCTGCAGCTGGGCGGACTCGTGCTGCATGTTCTTCACCGTGGTGATCACCTGCTGCTTCCACTCCTCCATCTTCTTCACCTGCTGCTTCAGCGTGTCCCTCTCCTGCAGCAGCTCCTCGAACTGGTTGCTGCTCACGCCTCCGGAGCCAGGTCCGGACTCTTCCCCTGTGGACTGCAGCACCGTCACCAGGGTTTGGCACTTCTGAGTCAGCGCGTCGATCTCTATGTCCTTCTCCCGGATGATGCGAGACAGGTTCTGGATGGTCTCCTTGAACATCTCCTGGCTTCCTGAGGGGTCGCTCATGTTGGAGAGCCGCTGATTCTCCTGCTGAAGCTTCACCAGGGCGGCCTCTTTGCCCGCCATGATGTCCATGAGACGGTGATAGTCGGAGCGGAGCTGGCTGTTCTCCCTGGTCTTCTCGTTGAGCACAGCCAGCATCTGCTCCCTCTCCACCGCGTACGCCTGCAGCTGCTGCTGCAGGTACAGGACGTCCTGGCTGTGTCCTCCACTCATGGAGAGTCTGGCATGAAGCGCTTGGATTTCGAGATCTTTCTGCAGGACAATCTGAGAGAGTTTGTCCACTTCGTCCCTCGAAACCACCAGCTGATCCAGCTGTCTGGTCAACGAGAGGTTCTTCTCATTCAGCTGGCTGATCTCAGTCTCTCTCTCCTTGATGCCCTTCACCAGCTTCTCGATCTCCACCTTGGACAGGTCGTGCTTCTCATTGCCATTCTCCTGGTTCAGAGACTCCGTCTTGTCCTCCTGCAGGATGACTTCCCCATGCACAGGCGGGGAGTTGGCCCGGCCCTGGCCCTCACTGAGCCGATCGACCGTTTGCTTGAGGTGGGTTATCTCCTCATCTCTGGCGTGGAGGAGTCTGTCGTAGTTGAGTGTGGTTTGCTGATGGCGAGCGTGGGCCTGTTCCAGCTCGCTCTGCTGAGCCTGCAGAGACTGCTGAGACAGCAGGAGCGAGGCCTGCTGGTCCTCGGTGGTTCTCCTCAGAGCCTGAAGCTCCTCCTCCAGGCGATTCCTGGACGACTTGAGCTGGGTGATCTCGGTCTCCAGCTCGGTGATAATGTCCAAGGTCTTGGGCTCGGCCAGAGGTTGAGCTCTGCTTTGCTGATCCCTGAGGCGATCGATCTCCTCTTTCAAATGGCTGTTATCTTCCTTCATGGCGCCCAGATGTTTATCCTTTTCCTCCAGGGCTTGCTTGAGTATCTCAGCGTCCTTGTTCATAACTGACATGCTGGTCTCCATCTCCGTTTGCAAATCAGCAGCGTTTTGCTTTAAAGTCTCAACAAACACATCCTTCTCCTGCAGCAGATCCGTCAGCTGCTTCTGTCCCGCGACGGTGATGGAAAGCATCTCGTTGGTGTCTCTGTGGTCGGACACCAGCTGCTCCATGTCTCTTCTCAGCTTGGAAATCTCCAGATCTTTCTCCTGGTTCAGTTTGATTGCAGACTCGTGCTCGGTCTGTAAGGCCGAGGCATCCATGGAGCGGGCTCGGGTCAGCTCCTCGATGGTCTGCTGGTACTGTTTCGCCTGCTCTGTCAGCGTCCTCTCGGCCCGCGACAGTTCGTCTTCAAGCTGATTTTTCTCCAGCTTTAAAGCCTCAATACGAGTGTCCTTCTCCCTCACAGTCCTGTTCACGGCAGCCTGGTTCTCTTTCAGTTGCTTGGTTAGTTCGTCCACTTTACTCAGGGCATTTGCACTCTCCTCCCTCAACCTCGTCTTCTCCATCTTCACTTCATACTCCTCAGACAAAACTCTCTCATAAGAGCTCTTTATCTCATCCAGTTCTCTCTTGAGCTCCAGCAACTCCTTCTCCTTCGCTTCCAAGAGCTCAGAGTCTCTTTGTGACTCAGTTCCTTTCTCCCCTCCACGATCCTGCTCCGCTTTAAGGGCACTCAACTTCTCCTCTTTCTCCTGCAGCGTCTTCTTCAGCTCTGCAGCTTCCTCGCGAGCGTCCCGGCTCAGCTCCTGTGCGCGTCCCAGTTTGTCTTTCAGCTCCTTCACCATCCTCTCCAGCTGCTGTTTGCCCATATGCAGATCATTCAGGGTGAATGCACTCTGGCTGTTTTTTGCTTTCTGCGTCTCCAGTTCTTGCTCCAGTGTCCTGTTCTGGTCTTTGGTTGCGTTAAGCTCAGCGGTCACTCTTGTCAGTTCACTCTCAGCTTCCCTCAACTGTACAGAGAGCTGCTCTTTCACCGAAATCACATGCTGGAGAAGAAGAAAAAGAAGAATCTTCATTGAATTAGTCTGATCTTTTAACAACAATTTATGACACCACCTCCTTAACCAATATCGTGTGACATAGACTTTATAGTGTCTTTTTTTTCATGTGGAAAAAACAACAACAAACAAACAAACAAAACCTTTGTTGCTTCTTGGTTTTGTTGGTCTAGTTCCTCCAGCTCAGACATCAACGTGTCTCGTTCCTGCTCAGTGGCTCTCAGGAGCTTTTCTCTCCTCTCCAGCTCTGCCTTTAGATCATCCAGAGACTCCACTTCACATTCGGCTCCTTTGCTGCTCACCATTTGTTCTTCTGCCACTTTCAGTTTATGTTGCAGATTGAGCTGTGAACAACAACAAAAATAAGACAGCTTTCAATAAATTAAATTCATTAAATTAAACGCATTCAGAAAAACCAAAACCATGGTGTTGTGTTTTTTTATACATAAAACCTACATAGTTTATTTATTATGCAGGTGAAAGTGATTATGCTCTGCTGGCCTATTATAATACCATCACTTCTATCCAGTAGGAAGAATGTGTCAACAAAGGACAGTGGACACAATTATATAGTTGAAAAAAAGAGCAACAAAATGGATACAACTATTCAGGAGAATAGAGTCCTATCATTTTTGCAAAAAATATACAAACCTTTTCCTCCTCTAGCTCCTCCTTTTCTTGTCTCAGAGTTCCAATAATGGTGTTCAGTTCTAAGATGTCAGCATGCTCCACTTCCTCCTTTGGATCAGCCTGAAGGGTGACATTAGAAGAAATGTTAAACTAACTAAATGATCAGATACTTTTCCAAATCAGAGTGTAAACACATAGGGTTTATGTATTTGTTTTACTGTCTAAGCCCACATACCGCAGCCAGGAGCCTCAGTCTTTCCATTTCTGTTTCTGCAGCTAGAAAATTAATGTTTTAGTTATTAAGAGGCTTGCAGCAGACAAGATGAAGATGCTAATCAATCTGTATGAGTGGTTAATATGAGCCTCAACTACAATTCTATAGTTTCAGAGTGTTACCTATAACATAGTTAAGATGCCTTACGGAAAAAAAGTTAATCAACACAAACATACCTGCAAGATTATTCCTTAATGTTTGGATCTCGTGCTCCAGCTGAGCTTTTTGCAGAGCCTTCCCCTGCTGTTCTTGCACCCGTGTCTGGAGCTCTGCCACTGAGGCCTGCAGCCGTGAGTAGTTCTGCAGCAGCCCTACGTTCTCCTGCTGAGCGTCGTCCTTCTCTAGCTGCAGCGAGCCCTGTGTCCTCTGAGCCTCCTCCAGATGAGCGGCCAACTCGGCCATTTGCTTCTCACGCTGCTCTGCCGCTTCCTGCAAAGACTGGATGGTTTTCTGGTACTCCAGCAGTTTGGGGCCATCGGATGAGGAGCTGACTTGGCTGCCTCCTGGGGAGAGTTTCAAAAAAGAAATTCTTATTTGTGCGTCGAACATGAGTTTTCTTTTGCATTCATTTCTATTTACCTGATGTGACATACTGTCATGATAAACAAGACATACATTTGGTTTTAGTGTTCAGTCACTTCATAAAATATCTCAAATTGACAAAGTTAGGCTCACCGCTGTGAATCTGTTCCTCCAGCTCTTCTATCCTCTCCTCGTATTCTGTTAGCTCCTCTCTGTGACGCCGGGTGACGTCGGCCATCTTTTGCCGATGGACGTCCTGCAGAGCAGCAAGCTCATGCTGGTGTTCGTCCACCTCACGGCTCATCTCATCTCGCAGATCCTGTAACCCACAAAGGTCTCACCTCAGTCATTTCTGACAATAAGGTTCTCCCATGAATTGAAGATATGCGTTCTACAACTAAATCCAGTTTAAGAGGCGTTGACAGTCACCTTAATAGTCCTTTGAAGTTTGACAATCTCCCCCTGGTCCCCATTTCCATCTCCTGTCGCTGACGTGGCCTGAAAGACAAGTGAGATAAAGTTAAAGGAGAAATGTGTGCGATTTAGTGCTATATAGTGTTGGAACAAACAACCAACTGTCCCTGCTTAAACGTCCTCCTATGCTTGTAGATAAACTGCTGCTGGTCAGACACTAAAATATCACTGACATTTCTGGCCCCACCCCAAAGAAAAGGATTCTGATTTTAAAAATACATTCTAATTAATAAGCAACATTTAGTTCCAAAAAGTGGTAACTATTCGGAATAATACCTCAAAGGCAGTAACTGTATTCTTTAAACGGATTCTTTTACCTGAGACACTCTTCTCCAGTGTGACACCTCTGCCTCCAGACGCATGACTTCTGAGGACAGCCTGTTGATTTCCTGCTGCGACCAAAGAACGTCACTGATGTCGACCTCGTCGCCGTGGAAGCCCTGATGAGACCCTGAGGGGCGTGTCAGGAATGTGGAAGCAGAGGAGGAGGTAGTGGTCGAAGAGGTAGTGGCAGCAGGCAATACCGCCGGGCCGCCCGACGAGGACTGGGCGGAGTGCTGCAGCTTCTGGACTTCTTCTTGGAGTCCGCTCTGCCGAGCTTTCAGGTGACTGATCTCCACCTGGGGGAGCCAAATACATCTTTCATACATAATCTGTCTATTCATTAGAATAAACAACATTTCTGCTAATCTGACGCTTTCCTCTATGAATGAATGTATTTTACAGCAGCTGTGGTAAAGTTTCTAAACGGGTCACAGCCCTACAAAAATGTCTGTAATGATCGTAGCTAAGCACATATCTATGAGGAAGTTGACTATTTTGTTACATTTCAATCCTACAGGTCTAAGCAGTTCTCATCATTTAGAAGAAGAAGTTTATGTACACACGTCTTTCTGTTGCAGAAGGGTTCTGTATTCTGATGACTGCTGTTTAATCTGGATTTCCGATGCCTCCAGCTTTTCCTCCAGCTCTGCGTGCAGCTTCCGCAACCTGTCATACTGTAAGGAGGAGACATTCAGAATGTGTTAAAAAGAACGGGTAGCAAATACTGGGTTGTTTATTAATTTACTTATTTTGTATTGCTGAAAATTTTGGACAGCTACAACTTATTTGACAATTTAGGTGTCATTTCCATTCTTATCAATCATTTTCTTTTCACAATTGGATTGCCCCCTTTTTTCAAAGAATTTGAGCTTTCAAAACTTGCTGGCTCCCTGATGGTCGAAAAAACTACTCCAAACATATCCCATAATGTGGATTAGAGTTTAAACTGAGGTGGGCGACAGACATCCTACGATAATATTATAAAAGTTTATTTGTCAATTTGCAATTTTACATTATCCTGTTTTCATACGCCTTTAAAAGAAAAAAAAACGTACGGCGCATACAAAGCAAAGGTGCACGAGTCTTCATTCCAAAATGTGGGACTCGGAAGCCAATCAGTGGGCAGGATTCAGTCTTGCGACTCGTGACAACCAAAACACATTCTTCTCTCATGGAGGAAATATGTAGCAATACAAGAGACATAGGTCCACGTCATTGGCCAGGATATAGTTTGGTTTTAACAAGACTGATATCGGTCAAAACAAACATGTCAACAGAGTTCTAGCCAAATGTGTGTACCAGTGACAATCCTTCGTATTGTTTGTCTATTTAATTTTGTTTAGATTTTGATGTCATCTTTATCTCACAATATTCGTTCACATTTTTTAAATTCATCTTAAGATACTATTGAGCAAGCTTTATTCAGTACATTCTCTGGGATTTATGTAAAGCCAGGACATAACTTGAATTTGGTTATTGTATATAGGATCGTTTTTCAGAAGGCCGTAATATAGGTTTGTTGTGTAAAGCACATCAGAAAAAAACAGGAGCTGTTGTTCTGAAACACTACGTCTATCCACAGATATTGTAATAATCAAGTAGGTTATCTCAGAATGTTTCTTTTTTTAAAGGAAAAAGGATATTGTTATATTATCATTATCAGAACATTTTTTAAATAAGGATTGATTTTCTTTTAGTCCATATCATTCACCTCTTTTATATATATGCATTTCTTGTTCTTGGCAGAGAAAGTAGAAGAATCTAACCTCAGATTTCTGTGCAATAAATGCAGCTTCAACTTCAGCCAACTTGGAATTGGACACCTGAAGTTCTGTGGCAGCATCTGCAATTCAAGAAAACAACAAAAACATCAGTAGTACAGGCATGACATAGGATACTATTCCAGTTTAGAAACTGCTAAAACCATGTACCAACTATTATGTGAAGTAATAACAAAAAGAATGAATGATTTAATCTACTTAAGGCAGGGATGAAAATAAATGAAAAGGTGATAATCTTTCTCTCCCCATCAATCACACTTATCTGATAAACCAGGCTCACGTGACAAACAAGCATATCTGACTGAGAAGCCTATTGTTATTCATCTTGTCCAAGTAATGTGACTTAAAAGCCGGTTAAAACTCAGCCCGTATTCTTTACAACCCAAACTAAGCCAGTTTCTGAGCAAAAGGTGCAATTGCTGTCCTATATGTACATAATGATTATTTAAATCTTGTCCCTACATTGATAACAATTCATGCTTTTGGTTTTCCAGCAGTGAGTTGGAGCTTTGTGGCCAAAGTTCTCTATCTGTCGATGCTTTATCTGTTTTCCTTTAGGCTGAAAAATACACCTTAGCGACATCCCTGCATCAGATATACAATCAAAATATAAAATAACAATAACACAACCCTGAATCGCGACTACAGTTCAGCACTGTCAGAAAGAGCAGGAGAACAAAATAAAGACAACATTTAAGATTTCTAATCTCTTTCTACTCTGCTGAAACATACTTGATAAGTCTACTGAAACATATGCCCTTGTTTAGGATAAATTTTACTTATAATAAAAAGAAGTTCTTGTTTGAACGTAAAACAGTATAAACACCTAATCTGTGTTGTAAGCCGCTAAATTTGGGTGACAACACAAGCCTGAAGTTCCATTTTTACCCTAGCTTGGCTAACATCCTGCCTGGCGTCAGAACAGTCGAAAGGAGGATCACACGAAAAACAGTTTTCACATGAACCAACACGCCATAACAGTTGGTCATTGGCCGTAGCAATGTTGCATGATGGTCATTCTAAATCCCTGATTCAACAAGAACGATGAAGTCCATTACAACAACCTTAACATGTTATGGCTTTATTTATCATGCGTGATAGGTCACATTAATATGAACATTTCTTTCTGACATTTCAGACTGTGCTGATAAGATATGCTTCAACATTGTTGTAAATTAGTTAGTTACGTTTTCCTGTTTTACCTACAATAAGGTTGCTATATCCACAGACAGAGTATAATTAAGAGCCCAGTCAAAACATTAGATTATTGACATATTCTTGAAGAATAATATGCTGTTAAATGCAAACATCTCTGTAAACTCTTGGTGAGAGCATGATAAAGAAAAGGACTATGGATTTGTCCTGTGATACAAGAGTGCATGCCACGAGGCTGACAGGTTGGTAACGTGGAAAGGATTTAAAAGAGAAACACGAACTTACCGCCGACCTCTTCCACCCCTTCCAGCAGCATGTCTTTGGTGAAGTTTGAGATTTGCCCGGTGAAAGTTGACAGGCTCCCGCCGACCTGGCCCAGAGACTGGCCGAGGCCAGACCCAATTCCACCCAGCCAGGATGACATCCTCAGAGGCAGTGAAAAACAAACAAAAACAAAGAAGGGCCGAGGGGTACGTGGGAGCTAGCCTCTCTCTGAGTTGAAATACGACGAAGCGAGTTTCGTCATTAAGCTCCACTGTTGCTACAAATCCACGCAAAAACTGTTATCTTTAAAAAAATAAAAACACACTTTTTGGGTTGGCAGCAAAGTGACTTAGCAGGCTGACACACGTCCAATTAGCTAGCACAAAACCCCCAGCTAACAACAGCTGGTCGTTCGTCTGAAGGAATCCGTCAAGACAAGCGAGATACGCGACATTATTTCAAAGCCGGGCAGCTTTTACCTTTGAGTTGGGCATTTTACTGGAGTCTGCATTTTTTAGGACACTTTTAGTTCCGTAGTCAGCAGTTTATGGCCGGTCTAAAGAGCCAAAAGTGCCACCTCAACTGCAGCCATTATCGGCTAGGGTCCGCTGTCAGCTTTGACGTGGACACGGAGCACGGCACCGGTGCATTGTGGGATACTGGAGGACCAACAAAGTGAAGGCGCGTTCAAAAGCGTCGAGAACTGCGAGTTTGTCACAACAGATGATGAGTTTATTGTGTGTATATAATAATTAAAAATGCATAATTGGATACATTCAATCATATCATTTTCTCTGTCTGATTATATTTTCTTCATACCATACCATTAATTTTTTATTCAGGATTTGAAAAAGGTATGTTTTTAAATAAGTTTAACAAATTTCGTTTAACATATTTTCAGCTCT